ACAGAAGTCCAAGCCAATAGCCTACGCTTCACGAGAGTTGACAGCAGCACAACAGTTGTATGCCCAGATTGAAAAAGAGCATAGCGATTGTATTTGGGTGTACCAAGTTCTATCACTATGTGTTCGGAAGATCACTAGAAGTCGAGACTGATCACAGGCCGCTGGAGTCAATATTCAAGAAACCACTCCTTGACGCACCAGCACGACTACAACGACTTCTAATGGCACTACAGAAGTACAACATAAAGGTCAAATACAAGCCGGGTAAAGAAATGAAGATTTCAGATATGTTGAGCTGGTTATATCTACATGAGACAATGGAGAATCTAGTTCCAGAAGTTGACGTGAATGTCATTGTTGTCATACTAACCTGTCTCACCTGAAAAACAAGAATAATTTCAGATCCAGTTCTCCAAGAGTTATAAAGCGAGTAATTCAAAGTGGATGGCCAGAAAGTAGAGCAGAACTTTCACCTGAACTGAATACATACTGGACCTACCGAGGTGAAATCTCCAGTATAAATGGTCTGTTGTTCCGAAGTGTATGAGGAGAGAAATGCTTCATAGTTTCCAGGAACCACACCTGGGTATTGTGAAAAGTAAAAGCAGAGCGAGAGATGTGTTATATTGGCATCAAAATGTGAAACCTGTGCAATCCATCAGAAATCAAACACCAGGGAACCTATGATACCAGCTGAGTTACCTGATGGACCATGGTCCAAGATTGCTACAGATCTGTTTGAACACAAAGGTTATCATTACTTGTTGACAGTGGATTATTTCTCAAAATGGCCAGAAATTGCTAAATTGGACAATGAGACAAGTTCAAATGTGATCAGCTATCTGAAAAGTCAAATGTCAAGGTATGGAATACCTGATGAAGTTATAAGCGACAATGGTTCGCAGTATTCAAGCAGTGAATTTGACAAAATTTGCTAAACAGTATGGATTCAAGCACACAACTATCCCCAATCAAACGGACAGGCGGAAAGATGTGTACAAACTGTTAAAAACCTGATCAAGAAGGCTAGCGATTCATATCTTGCCTTACTTGATTATCTGAACGCTCCGAGAGACAGCATTGGTCTATCGCCAGCACAGTTATTCATGGGAAGGAGGCTGAAAACAACACTCCCAACCGCAGCGCCATTGCTGAAACCAGACTTTCCCACAAACATCAAACACATGCTGAAGAATAGACAAGTTAAACAGAAGTTTTACCATGACAAGGGTAAAAGTGAATTATCTCCCCTTGATAAGGGTGAGAAAATTGTTCTGATGAACAAAGGTAAATGGGTACCAGCAACAATTACTGAGAAACATTCAGCGCCAAGATCCTATATGGTATAAACCAATGATGGAAGAAAATATTGCAGAAATCGCAACCAGTGTAAACCGACAAAAGCAGCATTCCAAAAGTACAACTTTGATGAAGTGGTTGAAATGGTTTATTCAAAGACTATATATATATATATAGTACAACTTTGATGAAATGGATGAAATGGTTTATTCAAAGACTATATATATATATATATATATATATATATATATATATATATTAGGGCTGTTCTGATTCACTCACCTATTTGGTGAATCAAACCGTATCCCCTCGTGAATTTGTTATTCGTGGTCGCTAGAATCGAATATTTACAACAACAAAATTAAATGAGTGTTTTTTATCAAAGCAAGATATGCAAATTGGAATATATACGTGCCATGCAGTCGTCTGTCGTGTAGGTCATCTACAACTGCGTCCCAGTGAAACGACTTATTGTCCATAACGCTCATCAATTATTTGTTCCCCAAAGGCAGTGTTGTAGCAAGCAATAACTGTATTTTCCACTGAATATGATAATCAACACATCAACTGCTGACTTGTGTTCGTGAATAAATACTCGTATTTGATACCCTATATTCGTGATACATATCATATTCACCTCATAGTGTATTCGTTGCAGCCCTAATATATATAGGGAACCGTATGATCATCTGTGAGAACACTGTGTCAGTCCCCCCTGTGTGAAGCACATAAAATATGTACTCTGAATCTTTTGCACGTGCACCTCGCACTTTGCCGATTTGGGTTATGAAATGCATGTCCCGGGGCAAGCATGCCATTCATTTTGGTCTAACTCTAGCCTATTTATCAATCACCCAAATATTACTTGCCCATGTAGGTAGTCTTATTATGAACAAACATAGCCCTGATCAAGAAAATAGTAATTTCTTTCCTATCTGTTCGTTTCGTTGAACAAAAAAGCTACCAAATCACAAGTACGTACAACTTAAATAGGCTTGGGTAATCAAGCAGTATTGTTATTATTAAAAATATATATATATATGCATATTTGTGTGCAAGCAACGCAAAATTAATTGGATAATGGGAATTTATTTTGCTTATTTTATAGCAAATATGCAGCTTATCTGAAGTTCATTAATATAATATAATTTGGGGAGCCCAAACAGTGCTCCCTCTTACTCCTTGCTTCAACAGGTGTGAATTCAGTGTTTTCTTGAGTTAGAGAGGTGAAGGTCAGGTGAAAATGTGACACAGATATTCATATTATCCTGTAGTTAACAGATTTAGTGATAACCTTGATATACTAGTATATTTTGAATATATTTTGATGACTTTTCACACACTTTGACTTTGTTGCATTATATATACTAGCCACATAAAGAAACTGTGCACGGAGAAAATATATTCTGGATTGAAATACAACACAGCAAGAACAAAATGATGTAGACGCTGTAGCAGCTGAATGATCGGACCATAAGAAAATGTCAACGGGACCTGAACAACATCTGTTACGATGACGTCAGAAGATCAAAATGGAGTAGGGGGTCAAACGACAAAGTCACAAAGTCAATAACGGGTATGACCACCCTGTGCGTGAATCACAGCAGTGCATCAGCGACGCATGGAGTCCACCAAATGGGCATGGAAGGCCTGGGGAATGGCCTGCCATATCCTCCTCAAATCCTGTGCCAAGTCACGGACGTTATCTGGAGGATGTGGAAGACGACGCAGACGGCGCTCCATTTCATCCCACACATGCTCTATTGGGGAGAGATCTGGAGAAATTGCTGGCCATGGCAGTAACATGACATTGTTATGGTGAAGGAAATCCATTGCGACCCTAGCCGTGTGAGGACGAGCGTTGTCCTGTTGAAATGTCAATCCCGGGCCATGACGTTGCAGGAAAGGAATGACCACAGGCCTCAGAATCTGATCTCTGTAGCCAACACCGGTGAGATTGCCCTGAACAACCACCAAAGGGGTTTGGTGCTGCGCTGTTATCCCACGCCAAATCATCACAGAGCCACCTCCAAAACGATTCCTCTCCACAAAACAGTTGCGTGCATAACATTCTCCCAAACGCTGATAGACACGTTGGCGCCCGTCACTGTGGGAAATGTTGAACCTTGATTCATCTGTAAAGACAACATTTCTCCACCATATTCGAGGTTGGCGAACATGATTTCGACACCATCCTAGACGGTAGACTCGATGACGGTGTGTTGGGATGGGACGTATGGCAGGGCGTCGTGGTCGAATCCCGTACTGACGTAGACGATTCTTGACAGTGTTGGGATGGATACGGCGCAGTCCAGGAATTGTCTGGGACGTTGTTACTGCCGTTTGGAACCTGTGTCGGAGATGTGTCACTCGAACCCATCTGTCCTGTCTGCACGTCTTTACTCGGGGACGTCCTGAACGTGGGTGGTTGGCAACGTCATTTGTGTTCTGATAACGCCTCACCAATGCCGATATCGTGTTACGATGGCATTGGAAATGTGTTGCCACCTGTTGTTGCCTCATTCCCGCTCGGATCATTCCCATGGCTTCATGACGCTGTGGACCTGTCAATCTTGGCATGATTTGCTTGTGATATGCTTGTGTCTGCGCCTGAGAAGTTTTCAATTTTTGAATGACCACAGATCATGCTTTCCAAAGTGACAGGGAATTTTGAGTTGCACATGCTGTGTACAGCTGCACAGGATGCACGTGCAGTAACACATTGCACGTCCATAGGCCCCCATCAATGATGTCATATCGCATGGCACGTGCATGAGCGTTTGAATGTCTCCAATAATTGCTGTGTTCAAAGTGCAGACAGAAACTGCTCAGTCCTAACTGTTGATCATGTCCGGTCAAAATTTAAGAATGTCCGGACAATACTTTTTAAAATGTCCGGTAAGCAATATTTTAAACCGGACATTTGAGATTCCCAATCGGACATGTCCGGCGCATATGATGGTTTCCGGACCCCTGGTTCAAACCTGTATTTCATATATGGATGGTGTGCCCTTATATCTATATTTTCCCCTCGCACAGTTTCTTTATGTGGCTAGTATAGTTGCATATCTAATACAAGGAATACATAAACATGGTCTAAAGAAGATGTGAAAAGTGATCAAAACAGTCAAAATATGTATCAAGATTATCATTAAGTCTGTGTGAGTCGCCCTGTGTGAATGCATTATTGGTAGCCATTACTGAGATATGATTAGATAAAAGATATCTATACAAGTGCCAAGTTAATTAATCAAATGTTAATAATCTAGATCTAATACAGGGGCATATTTTGATCTGGTCTAAATAAGGTCTTCATTTATCATAAACTAGGATTATATTATATTTTGTTGAAACCACAAGCGCTAACAATGGTTGCAATGAGAATGTGTTTTTTTAATTTTTTTAATGATTTCATTTTTGTGTTGTTGGTTATAAGTGTTGCCAGTTGGGTGAAGTAAAAAAACCCTGTAAGTACAGATAATTTTTTACGGGATTACGTCCCTTCTGCTGACCAACTTTGAAGTTCCTTCAGTACTGAAATTACTTTTCAGTCAGAGGATATATGAACCAAGTAGCTTGGTTGCACATCAAGAATTTGATCAATTGTGAATAAAATATCTGCATGAACAGGCATAGTTTATACATAACGTAATCCTGCATGCATCCTAACAGACAGCTACAACTGTGGTGTTTTGTTTTAGGTTTAACTGTCCATTGGATTGGAAACGGAAACAGAGACAAGATGGATCGGAAACGGAAAGCTGATGATCCGTGTGATGTCACAGTGCCAAAAAAGGCAAACTCAGGCGATGTCACTGAAGAATGTTTGTCATCAGTTGATGAAGTGTTACCAACACCACAGGGATCCAGCCAATCCACCTCACACGATGCTATGAACTGTAAGTTTCCTTACCTGTTTGTATTGTTTGATGCATGGATTACTGATAAACTGGGTACTTGTTGCAGGAGAATTGGTAAAGTTTCTTAATTTTAAAAGCCTTCTTTTACTTAATTTCAGCCTTCTTTTACTTAATTTCAGCCTTATTTCAATGCAATGTAAGATTTGGGATAAAGCCATTTTTCTCTGTATTATATCCCTTTCTGGTGAAATGCAAATGAACTTGGTGAAAAAAACCATGATAATGTATATAATTCCAATTTGGGAATTTTTACAGTTTACAGTCATTTGCAATAGACTTAAGCTTCAGTCACACAGACAATGCGACCGCGATGCAACCTCCTGGCGACCAAACTATTTGACAATCTTAGAGGTTTTGTGGGTCTCTAAAAGGTTTCACTGAGGTCGCTACAAGGTTTCAGAGCGGTTGCAAAACCCATTCGGTCGCAACCAGTCTTTTGAACTACACAAAAGACTGACTGCGACTGATTTGGTCGCTCTGAGGTTTCATTGGTCTCCTAGAGGTCCCCAAGTTGTGTTATTTTAATCTTAGATTGGTTTCCACTGTGCGCAGATCGGTTTCGTCTACACAAGGGTGTTGACTCTTTTGCAATCTAGTGGCGACCTATCGGTGATTGATCAGTGATGAGGCGGTGACGACCAGCACTTCATCGGTGACTGGTTGTCGATCGGTTGCAAATCGGTTGCAAATCGGTTTCCAAGCGTGCGTCGATCATTCGCCGTTGGGTTTGCAGCATGTAACCGTCTATAAAAAGACCTGTCTGTGCATTACAGCATCATTTTGTCATATGTACTCAGAGAGTTCACATCAATTATTTCCATTCATCACTATGGTCCGTAAGGCAGGAACACAAAAGAACCAGAAATTGTAGAAGATACAATAGAGACAACTGCTGTGGTGCACAGGTCTGCTACAATTGAGCCACAGCCAACAACATCTCAACAAAAGAAGAGGCGGATACCTGATGAGAAGGAAGAGCCAGAGAGGCCCAATGTTGACAGGCTCCATTCTGAGATAGCCCACAAAATCACCACGACTTTCTCTCCAACTCTGCCATCGGATTCTCACAGTCTCCTAGCTGTGGCCTTCTTGCGATCCAAGGTCTCAGCCAATACTGCCTTCGCCTTGTCCTCCTCATTCTTCTGTACATCATCATGGCAGCAACTGCAGCATTTTGATTTATTCTTTGCAGGCGGATAAACTGCAACTGTTCTGCTATTAACATCTTGACAACTTGCAAAGAAATGATTCGATTAAGAAAATCACCCTTTTTTATATGAATTATGTTTTGATCGGTGATCGATCGACAATTAGTCATCGACCACTCCCCGCTCAGTTGCAACAAGTCACCGGAGATTCACTGACTAGTCACCGATCGGTCTCAACCAGTTGCACACATTTCGCTGTATCTGCGGTGAACAGTTGCCGATCTATCACTGACAAGTTGCAAAACCCATCGCTGATTGATCGGCGATCATACCCAAGGTCCAAATATGGGCAGAAGTAGTTGCACCGGTTTCAGTGATTGCCAGTCTGTCGCAAAGGAAATCAGTCGCCAAGAGGTTGCATTGCGCTCGCATTGTCTGTGTGACTGTAGCTTAAGGGAGAATGTCGGCGTCTAAGAACCGCAAGATAATCACAAACATTTACCCAACATTTTGATTTAGCTTTTGTGATTTTAACTTTCTTAAACATGTGTTTTACGAGTGAACATGTATACAGAAAGCATCCTGAAACTCAGCACTAAGTCAGCCAACACATCAGTCAATGAAAACATTTGTTACGCACACTGCACTGTAGGTTTAGGGCACAACCAAAATTAACTTTGTTTTGGAATCTGATTATGGAGCGTGTGATTTCAGCACTTTCGCTTGGACATTTAAATACTCTCTATGGATATCATGATATTTTTTCTCTGGAGAATTGACTCAATATATCTCTGACAACTGATACCCGCAACAAAATCAAAAAAAATTTTTCACTTTACTGTACTTGCCATTTAAAGCAATCTTTAAGGGAAGTAGCTTCAAGGGTCATGTTGATACAGCTTTAGTACAAAAACATAATTTAAATAAAACTAATACAAAATTGACGACACCATTTAATTATAATTACCAAATTAATTTGAGTTATTTTGAGTTACTTATGGAAAATAAATAAAACACAATCCATGTATTTACCCAAAGTATCCTTTTCAACTTGTGTACCTGTATTTCTTAACAGATCTGTATTTACGCATAGAATGTAGGCATCACACATACATTAGGTTGTACATGAACCCTACTGCAGTGAATAATGCATAAAAAAGAGCTTAGACGTGTATATTGCTGTCATGAGTTTATGAGACTTGTTGTACCCTTTCGAACAGATACAATCTAGAGCTCCTCTGAAACAGCATCTTAAGCAGAACTATTTAAAACAACTGTCTACTCACTGGTGTAAAAGTACCCAACAGACTGGACCCAAATGTGTAAAAATATATTGAGGGATTTATCATTTATATTGAGAGATATTACCCAATTCATCTTCACATAGTTTTAACTAATGTTATGGCTTTGTGGAGGTAACATGTGTATCACTGACAACAGGGTCAATAAAGCTGAAGAGACGTTAATGCTTAGTTTTACATTATCGCACTGAATGTACTGATTACCTCCAAAATTAGGTACCGGTAAATAAAAACTTAAAGAGAATCCAAATTTTGAATAAAATAATGAATTTTTCTCAATTAACCTGCCATGAGCACTTTGTTTAGTATTCATAAATAGATAAATCTCTGATATAGAATACCTAATGAAAACTATCCGTACAAAATGTTATATCTTGTTACTATATATCAATGGCTTAAAATATTATTTGGAACCCTGAAATGATATTTAACAATTCAATTTCATAATGTATAACTTGTTTCCCGTTAAAGATTGTATCAAAACATGATGTTCCAGCAACTGACACTGCAACAAATTATGAAAACAATATTTATTTGGATTAGGGGAGATGTTGTGATTGATAAGTTTACAAAACATGACATCTTTTTAATCATCTTAATGTTTTATTTTGTCAAAAATAAAATAAAATAGTAATATAATAATTAGGTATTTATGTCTTATAACAAAATTAAACTAATAAACTACCGGGACATCTTAATAATTCTCTACAAGGGTGTTATTACCCTCAGTAGGGATATATCTGGGCTTATCCCGCGATATGCCAAGGAGAGGCATTGGCCACCGAGCTGTGGATGCCCGTGCCTATAATAAAACACAAGATGAGATTGGATTAAATGGCCGAGGGTGTGCAGGTACTAGTGGGCTTCTGAGCTGCTAGTTGGGTATGCCAAAATGCTACCGTGGCCAACAGCGATTTGCAGCTAGCGCTGCTGGCCTGAGACCGCTACCGCTGTCCGGCCCCAACGGTAGCATATTTAAACGCTTTCATTGCTTGGCAACTGCCACGCTGCCAAAAGTAACTACCACTACTGGCCTAAGTCAGACTACTGCTGCCCGGCCGGTAGCCGGCCAAAGCAGATACCACTGCCTGGCCCTATTAGTAAAACCATTGTCGCGACTACCGCCACGGACCCAACTGTCAGCTACCGCTTGACAAGACGACTTCAGTCGCAGGGCCCATATACGTGGCAATTGGTTGCCCAGGTAAGTTATTTTACGATTTCCCGGCTGAAAAGTCGGGAAAGACAAGGTTCCCGCTGAAAAGCAGGTAGCCTTAAGCACGAGTATTAATTTGGAAGCAAGTTAATTTGTTACTAGCTGTGTAGCCCACAAGAACCCCGCACACCTCGACATAGTTTATTGTTGAGACTGGTATTCGCATATATACATATACAGCTATTTAGAAGACATATATTTACATATTCACAAATATACATATGTACAGCTATGTAGAAGGCATGTTTCTTTACATATATCAGAATCGTTTAAAAGGTAGTCATTTACATATATATATACAAGCGCAGGATCTACAGACTCAAGGTCTGATACTACATACCTATGCTAAAATTACCAAACTGGAAACAAACGGTGAAAACCCATGCGCACTAGTATAGTGCTGAGCCAAGCAACATCATCGGGGCGAACCTGGATTCGAACCAATGATCATAGCTTTCTGGTCTGTCTAAGGGATGCAACTCTGCACATCAAAATGCAGCGCCTTAGACTACAGAGCCAAGCCTCCTAGAATCAATAAAGACTTAATTTCTGAGTTATTTATGTTTGCTCTGAATGCAATGCTTAAATGATCTTTAACATTTTTCTCCAAATTTTGCATGTCACAGGCAGTTTGTTGAAAAACTCAACATTGATCCTTGGAAATAAGTTTTTTGTCCATGTGTTTGACAGTGCCAACGATTTCTCTGAATTTCAAAGGTATGGAAGGAGGAACAGCCACCAACTGTAACATTGCAAGTTTCATGAAGGTGAATTATGCAGGTAAATTGATCTTCTTTTGTAGGTCAAGGTCACTGTTTTTGAAATTACATTTTAGAAAAGATGTAAACCACAATGATCTCTTTATCATTTCCCCAATGATACCTTAGAACATCTCTTCTGAAACTACAAAGCATGTGAAGATGAATCTCTCCATGAATGATCCAAGCTATACACGGGTCACAGAATTCCAAGCTGACTTTAAACTATTTATATCAGATCTCAATGCTCGCTACACATAGATCTGTGGATGTCCCATAACAGGTCATGTCAAAGCAACATTTTGCAAACTTTTACCGACCACTGAAATAACTAACAAGGAGTTGACATTAGCCAATCAGAAAGCACTTTCTTGAGCTTCACAACACTAGTTTCAAACTGGCGATTTCCATTCCAGACTACGCTTTGAAAAATATTTTGACAAAGTTCTTGATTCAAAATTTGAAAACTGAACGAAGGAAAATTCTGGATGTCTATTAGATAGTATTGCAGTACTTCCCATGGGCTATGGAAAGTTTGTTTCAAATGTTTATCCCATTAAGCAATAAATAAATTATTATTCTGACGAAATCAGGCGTACAGCCAGTATCTGTCATAAGGGTTGTTCTGAAATGACCCGTAATGGGATGCCCTCAGATCTTTGTTTAGGGGTAGTGAGCACCAAGATCTGATTTTAATGAGATTGTCTTTAAACATGTCAATCATATTGAAATTATCATTTATGGCCATTATTCATCATGCTCGGACATTTCTGCAGGTTTCATTAAGACATTTTATATGCAGCAAGTGTGTGGTATGTTGTATACATATAATACATAGTTTTCAACATCGATTAATTCATGGGACCAGGGTGCATCATGGTTTCGTCTTGTGCAACTTGCGTTTCATGTCAACATGCACCTGGTGCAAGTTAAAACAAGTTCCTTAAATCGAGCCCTGACTCTATTTTTTCAAATTTGGGTTGTTAAAGAAAAGATACACATCAAGGAAGCTTCATAGACAGTGAAAAGACCTCAAACTACCTGGTGTCCAATCCCTTTTAACGCTATTTCAGATGAATAAGATTGCAGAACACACTCCCATTCATTTTGCAATACGAATAATGATTAGTGAATAAATATTTGTTTTTCAGCAGCTGAATGTTCACTTCTTCAACATCTTATTGGTAAGTGCTATTAGTGTATCTACCAATCTCAAAATAATAAAATCGTTTGCTCCTATTCATATCGGATTTCTGTATCTCGAGAACGAACTAAAATAGCCAGTTCCAAATGAAGATAATTAAAGCTGCACCATTATATTTTTGTTTCCGTGTGCTACAGCATCTTAACCCAAAAGGGAGTGCCATGGAAGGAATGATTTTTTTGTGTGTGTCTCATCTCGTTTGTACAAATCGAAATTGAGGTGGTGAAGAAATAATGGCAATAGGGTTGGACGGGTAACTCGGGTACTCGGGTCGGGTGGGTACTGAGTAGGACCCGGGTATCCACAGGACTACCTGGACACATGGTTAGTCATGTAATATATTGTTTAATGATTAAAAATATAAAGAACTCTATGATTACAGTACAACTCACTGATGTTCGCATTTCTTTCTGACTAAGCACCATTGCTTCTGACCATTATAGGTTTGATTAAAAATAACACTTCAGTCAACTTCAGTGTATGCATGACCAGATCATATTATACATATATTTAAATACATTTTACAAGGACTACGCTTGAACTATTTCCAATCAGACATTTGTTACCAAACTCTTGAGACCTGTAACGGGTACCCGGGTACGGTCGGGTAATAGCGGGGTGGGTACCTGGGTAGTAAATTTTTTACTTGTCCCAGCCCTAAAAGGCAGATTAATATAGAAAGCTGACATAGGTCATTGAGATTGGGTGGTCGAAATTTGCTAGGGCTTACCTGAAGTGATCTCCTAGGTGGTGAAGAGGTCTGGTGGAGAAGGAAATCTGAATGTAGTGAGATTCTGTATATATACTTTTGAATGTATGGAAACCATATTACAGGGTTACAAATTAATTTATTAATATTTTCACATGCATGCAACAATGATCAGCTACAGAGTTGCACTCTAGCTAATGCTAAAAGTGTTTGTCCACCAGGAAATGTCACTGGACCTTCCTGAATCTTGCTAGTCTTAGACTAGTAGATGTTAATTTCATACCCTGTTGTCATTGTTATCAGGAACATTATTTCATCATCTCCATATATGGCAATGATATGGCTTAGAAAATATACACCATAGGGTCATGGATTGGGTAAAGAGAATTGCATTGAGCATTATAGTTGCTGCTTTAGTTATTTTACGCCAACTGAAGCTGTTCCATGTTTCATTGTTTGCATGGAAGTGGCCTGTAGTAATACGATGCTATGTCAATGCATTGTCACAAATATGTGAAGGGGATGTCATCCACGGTTATGATGTCACAGTTGGATTGACTGAGCTGATGAACATTAGTGTCTGTGACTGTGAAATTTCATGACCAAGCAAAAACTGTCCTTTACAGCCTGCTACCGACACAACTCACATGGCAAACATTAACATTTTCAACTTATCCTTAATTACTCTTTAATGCATTTTCTGCTTCCTTTTGACAGAAAAACGTGCCCTCGGTAGGTCCAGCTGAAGAAGTTGTTGTAACCGGTTGTGAGGCAGACCCCATCGCAACGCCTATGTGACCAAGGAAGTGATGACGTCACACATCTTCACATTACTGCTTGTCACCAGACCGACAAGTTGTGTCCAGTAAATTTGTCCAGCTAATCTGTTTATCCTGTTTACTTGTTCATTATTTATGAAACATATGTGAAATTTCTCCTGGTTGGTTAACCTCCATAAAACTTGGTTCAAAACATTGGATTATTATCTCCTATATTTGGGTTCATTTGGGTATTGCAACTTCTGCTTAATTGCAGATTTATGCTTGCCTACTGCATCCTTTGTCGTGGTATGAAGTCACTTAAGGACCCTCACGCATAGTGTCTTGGTTATGCTGGCCTCTGCTCTAAGGGACATAAGTGTCACTTTTGTTCTCCCTTTCCCCGCCAAGCTTTTCAAAGTATCTTCAATTATACATTGCAAAGCAGACCTTACGACACACGATGAGGATCTCAGACTCTCAGGAATCCATTCTACTGGAGACTCCGGAGACCCCTGATGGTATGTCCCAGCCGTCTACTCCACCTCCTCTGTGCACTGTATTACCCTTGCCTCCATCAACGCGGATTTTGAATTCAATTGCAGACTCCTTTCCCAGCCCTGGTCTGTGACTTCCCTCTTCAATGGCCATATTGGACACGCATTCCTTGGTCTTGGAAGACCCATACGTCACAGACATCTTGCCCTACGGATATCTCCTCTCCCTGTCATCAGAACCCCCTCTGACTACCGCTCCCCAGTTTACCCCAGAAAGCAACATCTGGTGGCTAAAATCTACATTCTGTTGACCGAGAAAGCTATAGAGATTGTGAGCGCCCCAGCCATAACACTAGGCTTTTACTCGCCAATCTTCCTTGTCCCCAAGGACTTGGACAAAATGAGGATGATACACAAAATCTCCATCTTCAACGAGCTATACCTAGAGCGTCCTCCATACTTCTGAATAACAACCTTGAAACTGCTCAGGACCAGTATCAAAGCCAGCGATTCCCTGATGGCTGTTGTCTGATGTGCAGCACGCATGGCACATAAACAACCTGGAGTTGGAGGGGCTCATCTTAGTGATGTCACACTGGAAGGATCGCCACCACAACACCCAGCTCGCTACCTCAACTGACAATATCACAGTGGTTTGGTGTCTGGGCAACCAGGGGACAGATCACTCTCTCCTACAGTCTCATATGTCAGCGGCTCGGTCATCCAAACATCAACCATTTTGCCACCAGCCAGAACTTCCAGATCCGGACATATGTTTCTCCGGTTCTGGTTCCACAGTCATGTTCAGCATCCTTAGGGAAGGACTAAGTGTGTTCGCTTTTCCACCACCTGTACTTCTTTCCAAGTCGATGTAGAAGATCAGGACAACCAAGAGCCTCGCTCTGATTTTGATCACGCCTTAGTGGCCGGCATATCACACACACCATCCGCCTCGGGTCTTTATGATAATAAATAGTGCTCTGTTGAATCCTTTTGCAAGGAAAAACATCAAGACCCCACTGCAACGTCCCCACAATTCTAGGCCCAATATTTTGTTATCCGTACTATACCTTAAGGGCAGCACCATCACTACCTACCTGGTAGCCAATAACTCGGTGTTGGCAGTTCCAGGGCTTTGAAAAATGACCAAGATTTCGGAACTGCAATCCCTCCTGCACTCCTTCCACACCATCCTCCCAGACACCACAATCCTCATGAGATCCGGGCAGTCACCTAGTCGATGGCTCGCTACAGTAATTGGTGCATCAGATCTATCCTGGAAGGATGCTTTTTGAGATCCAACATGGACTTTGCAAGCCACTACCTGGGCCTTTGAAGACGTCGAAGGTGTACACAGTTTTGGCCCTCTGGTTGTCACCCAGCAGGTCACCAATCCCAGATGCAAATTTTCCAGCTGTCTGAGCGGACTTGCGCAATGTTCACACGCTCAATAGGAGGGTCTTTATACGGCCAGCATTGGCCTGGTAAGTCAGTTTTTAGACTCTGGCGCACACTATTTCCGATTACTGCATTTAACCTGGACATCCTCATGCTCTAATTCTTTCCATGGACATTTTCCAAGTGATGTACTGAGGACCACATCTGAAGGTGTGCCCACCCCCGTACTCTCCAATTCAGATGCATTAAGGAGTAATGCAGGATATGTTAAAACATTTAGTAAAATCTAAATATGTATAATTGTATACTAGCCACATAAAGAAACTGTGCACGGAGAAAATATATTCTGGATTGAAATACAACACAGCAAGAACAAAATGATGCAGACGCTGTAGCAGCTGAATGATCGGACCATTAGAAAATGTCAACGGGACCTGAACAACATCTGTTACGATGACGTCAGAAGATCAAAATGGAGTAGGGGGTCAAACAACAAAGTCACAAAGTCAAAAACGGGTATGACCACCCTGTGCGTGAATCACAGCAGTGTATCGGCGACGCATGGAGCCCACCAAATGGGCATGGAAGGCCTGGGGAATGGCCTGCCATATCCTCCTCAAATCCTGTGCCAAGTCACGGACGTTATCTGGAGGATGTGGAAGAGGACGCAGACGGCGCTCCATTTCATCCCACACATGCTCTATTGGGGAGAGATCTGGAGAATTTGCAGGCCATGGCAGTAACATGACATTGTTATGGTGAAAGAAATCCATTGCGACCCTAGCCGTGTGAGGACGAGCGTTGTCCTGTTGAAATGTCAATCCCGGGCCATGACGTTGCAGGAAAGGAATGACCACAGGCCTCAGAATCTGATCTCTGTAGCCAACACCGGTGAGATTGCCCTGAATAACCACCAAAGGGGTTCGGTGCCGTGCTGTTATCCCACCCCAAATCATCACAGAGCCACCTCCAAAACGATTCCTCTCCACAATACAGTTGCGTGCATAACGTTCTCCCAAACGCCGGTAGACACGTTGGCGCCCGTCACTGTGGGAAATTTTGGACCTTGATTCATCTGTAAAGACAACATTTCTCCACCATATTCGAGTTTGGCGAACATGATTTCGACACCATCCTAGACGGTTGACTCGATGACGGTGTGTCAGGATGGGACGTATGGCAGGGCGTCGTAAACGATTCCTGACAGTGTTGAGATGGATACGGTGCCATCCAGGAATTGTCTGGGACATCGTTACTGCCGTTTGGAACCTGTGTCGGAGATGTGTAACTCGAAACCATCTGTCCTGTCTTGGCGTCGTTACTTGGGGACGTCCTGAACGTGGGTGGTCGGCAACGTCATTTGTGTTCTGATAACGCCTCACCAATGCCGATATCGTGTTACGATGGCATTGGAAATGTGTTGCCACCTGTTGTTGCCTCATTCCCGCTCGGATCATTCCAATGACTTCATGACGCTGTGCAGCTGTCAATCTTGGCATGATTTGCTTGTGATATGCTTGTGTCTGCGCCTGAGAAGTTTTCAATTTTTGAATGACCACAGATCATGCTTTCCAAAGTGACAGGGAATTTTGAGTTGCACATGCTGTGTACAGCTGCACAGGATGCACGTGCAGTAACACATTGCACGTCCATAGGCCCCCATCAATGACGTCATATCGCATGGCACGTGCATGAGCGTTTGAATGTCTCCAATAATTGCTGTGTTCAAACCTATATTTCATATGTGGACGGTGTGCCCTTATATCTATATTTTCTCTGTGCACAGTTTCTTTATGTGGCTAGTATATATTTATCCTGCATTACGACGTCTAAGGGGGCCACCAGTTGCAGAGCTGCCTCCCCATGTTGTCTTCAGATGTTACGTTCAAGCAGTAGGTCCTTTGTGATGGGGTCTGCCTCACAACTGGTTGGAACAACTTCTTCTTCAGCTGGACCTCACACAGCTTTTCTGTCAACAGAAAGTAGTAAATGCATTTAGGAGTAATGCAGGCTAAGTATACAATATTTGATATCTAGCAATCTAGAAACATTACACATTTTGAATTATAATTCATGGATACCTGACTTGAGTTTGTTCTTTCAGTGGAGACCAGCCTGAAGATCAGATCAAGAGATTCCACAAAACATGTTCCAACCTACACGGAGAGGGCTGCCTACAGACATCTGAAGGCGTGTGGCAGTGTCATCATCAGGGGGAGGTCAGGGTCAGGGAAGTCACATCTGGGGTATACCTTGTTAGAAAGGATTGCAAAATCATGTTCAAGGATACCGGTGAAGGTATCGTTACCAAATGAGTGGAATTACATACACAAATCAAGTACTTCTGATGCTAAAAAGTTTGTTGTTCTGGTTGATGACATTTTTGGGAGAACTAATTTGATCCAATCAAGTCTTGAAGAGTGGAGGAAAAAGTTTGATGTTGTGTGGCCACTTGTGGAGTCTGGACAGATATGGTTAGTGATTACGTCACGGCCAGAAATCATTACTCAAGGTGAACCAGAAATATTTGGATATGAAGTAATAAATAGGTCAAAAGAGATCATTCTTGATGAAGGAGTGTATCGTCTCCGGGAGGTAGAAAAACTTAAGTTCCTTGACAAGTTGTGTGGAACATATGTTAGAAAGGAAGACATGAAAGAAATAGCCAATATGGACACTGCTTTAGGATTCCCACAATGCTGTACATTTTTTGCAACAAATGAGGAGGCAAGATCTAAAGGAGTGGAATTTTTCAAGAAACCTTTTGAATTTATCAAATATCTGATTGACTGTGTTAAGGATAATGAGGACTGGCCTGAAGTATATTTTGTATTGCTGTTGGTTTTCATGAATGAAGGACTTCTTTCTATGAAAGAGCTCATGTCATCTGAGCATGAGGGCAAATTCGAAAGGCAGTTTAAAATTATAACGTCCTTTTGTAGATTGAAGAAAACTTGTCCTTCGAAGGCTGACATTAAATGTGTGGCAAAATCTCTTTGTGGGGTGTATCTTTTAGAATCTGCCAGATGTTTCCAATTCTCACACCGATCAATATATGATGTCTTGTTTGTAGCCCTGTGTGAAGATAGTCCTGATGTAGCAATCAGAATGAGCACACCAGTCATGCTGCTTGAATTTGTCCGAACAAGTGCACAGAAACAGGAGAAATGCAAGAAAGGAAATATTGTTTTTCTGGAGGAACAAGATTATCCAATTTTGGCTGATAAACTAAGGAAATATCTGTCAAATGAGAAGGATCGTTACATTGTACTGTTTCACCCAGCTTTACAAGACACAGAGTTTTTACATGTGATATTTCGGGAATGGAACGCAGATGACATATACCAACTGTCCAGGCACAAGGGAGAGAAAGTCGTCAAAAACATTGCTATACCTCTGAATGAAAAACTTTGTATGCCCAAAATTGTAAATATTCTTGAGTATGGCTTGTTTCTTTCCCATGTTATCATGAATCACAGGAAGGATTTTGCTTTAATGATGATCCAGTCACTCTGTGGACATGAATCATATGCAAGCCAGCCTATTTTCAAAGAAGCCTTGCTTTGTGCAGTGTTTACTTGTCAGAATGACTTGGTGAATACCCTCCTTTCAAATGGAGCTAAACCAAACAAGTTGTGTTTTCGAGCACTTTGTAACTCACCAAGAATAGATCCAAATACCTCATCCACTATTACTCATCAGATAGAATGCAATGCAACTGACCTGAAACTGCTGTTAGTTCTTGCAATTAGTTGCTGTAATAAAACAGTGATCCAGGTTTTAGTTAAAAGACTCACTGCTCAAAGTGAAGACCACAAACAGTTTTACAGCCATTGCTTAGAGATGTTGCTAAAAATCAATGGTAATGGATACATTACTGCAATGATGACAAATGCTGGAAGTGATATACTTGAAGTGATGATGCTTCTTGAAGAAGGAGGTGGAAAGCTGGATTCCAAACAAATTAGCCTTGCATCTAGTCAGAAAGACTCGTCTGTGTTAGGGAAACTGTTGCTCAGATCATGTGATGATATACATGTGACTGATGAATTTGGTCGGACACCGTTACATTTGGCTTGCATGTATGGTGGTGCTGATGGTGTTAAATTACTGTTGAAACATGGGGCTGAGTTGACTTTGGACCAAGAAGGGGCAACTCCATTTCATTCTGCATTGAAATCATCTATTGACCAGAAGGAAAAGCTGAAGCTATTGCTAGATAAGAATTCAACTAATGATGACAATTTTATCAACTTGACTGATAACATGAAGTGCACAGCTCTCCATTATGCTGCTCAACTTTCAGATTCAGGTTGTGTGAAAATGTTGGTAGAGGCCCATGCTGACATCAATGTTCTGGATGTCAGCAAACAGTCTTCTCTGTTTTATGCTTCAAAAGCAGGTATTCCAGACTCAGTAGACATTCTTTGTAAGAGCAATGCCATAATAAGCAAAGACATACATGGTTTAGAACCAGTACATTATGCTGCTTATGGCTGTGACCTTGATGTTTTGGAAATATTCATTCAAAATGATTGTAACACATCAGTTTTGGACCACAAAGGGAGGACACTATTACACTATACAGTAACAAATCTCCTCCAAGGGCAAACTGGTATTGAGAGCAGATTGGTGAAAAGGCGATCTGTGAATAGCAACAACATGTTTCAGTGCATACGCGAACTTATTGCGACTGGTCTGAATGTTAACATTGTTGACAAAAATGGTAGATCCTGTGTCCTCGATTCTACAGTATGGCAGGGACTTGATGTTGTCAGATTGTTATGTGAAAATGGAGCAGATATCAACTGGAAAGACAAATCTGACAGGTCGATCATTACAGAGTCTGCCGTGTCAAAATTTGACAGTGCTGAAAAGATTCAGTATCTCATGGGTAGCAATTGTTTTAGAAATATTGATGATGAGAAACAGAATGCTCTATACAGTGCTGTTTTGAAGGAAGATGAGGAAGCATTTGAAGTTTTAGTTGACAATGGCATCACTATTGATCAAAGAAGACATGATGGGGCCACTTTACTACATGATGCAGCAAGGCAGGGACATCAGCACTTGGTTTCTCGACTCATGAAAAGGGGAGCGAGTGTTATAAGCCAAGATGACAATGGGGACACACCACTGCATTTGTATTTAATGAATGATTTCCATGATGATCAGCTGGTAGAAGACATGATTAATTCTGACAAAAGCATTGTGAGAATATCAAATAAAAAGAATCAGAGTTTATTGCATTTAGCGATAGCACTTAACTGTATTAAGTGTATATCTGGAAAGAAAGGACCAGAAGCAAAGGCTGCTTTGAAGCATGGTTCTGAACAAGCCTCTCTTCATCTTGCTCAGGGAACATCACACAGATGTTCAACTACACAAAGGTTAATCCGTCATGGAGTCAGTGTAAATATGCAAGATTACAATGGTAACACAGCATTGTCGCTTGCAGTGATGCATGGATGTAAGACTTGTGTCAACATGCTGTGTGATAATAATGCGGATCCTAAAGTTGTAAATAAGGATGGCTACTCAGCTTTACACATTTCACTGAACTATCCAGGTGTTGCGCATAACCACCAAGTGGCTAAAATCATGTGTGCACAAACAGATATTCAAGATAAAACTGAGAGGAATGAAACATCCCTACACCTGGCAGTCTCTCAGCAGTGCTTTAATTGTGTGACATTCCTTCTTGAAAATGGTTTAATGAGTCATATGAACCATCAAGACAGAGTGGGTGATACAGCTCTACATGTTGCTCTCCGAGATGATACACTACACTCCTATACTCCTTTGGTGGAAGGTACTAGTTATGGACAACATGGAGACCACGGTCATGTAGTATTACAGGCACTGATTGAGAAGGGAGCAGACGCATGTATAAAAAACAAACAAGATAAAACACCTCTCCACTGTGCAGCAAGGCAACATTGTATAGTGTGTGTTAAGCTGTTGTTTCCAATGTCAGATGTGAATGCCCAATGTAGTAATGGTAATACAGCTTTACACTGGAGCTTGTTGTCTCATATAGACCACAGTCATGAAGTAATACAAACACTGGTTGAGAAGGGAGCTGATATAAGGCTAAAGAACAAGGAGGGTGAAACACCTCTCCACTGTGCAGCATGGCAACAGTGTATAGAGTGTGTTAAGCTGTTTCTTCCAGTGTCAGATGTAAATGCCCAGGATAGTGATGGTAATACAGCTTTACACTGTAGCTTGTTGTCTGATAAACCCCACACTCATGAAATAATACAAACACTGGTTGAGAAGGGAGCTGATGTAGGAATCAAGAACAAGAAGGATCAAACACCTCTCCACTGTGCAGCATTGAAACAGTGTATAGAGTGTGTTAAGCTGTTTCTTCCAGTGTCGGATGTAAATGCCCAGGATAGTGATGGTGATACAGCTTTACACATTCTTGTCTTGTCTGATGAAGACCACACTCATGAATTAATACAAACACTGGTTGAGAAGGGAGCTGATGTAGGAATCAAGAACAAGAAGGATCAAACACCTCTCCACTGTGCAGCATTGAAACAGTGTATAGAGTGTGTTAAGCTGTTTCTTCCAGTGTCGGATGTAAATGCCCAGGATAGTGATGGTGATACAGCTTTACACATTCTTGTCTTGTCTGATGAACCCAACACTCATGAATTAATACAAACACTGGTTGAGAAGGGAGCTGATGTAGGAATCAAGAACAAGAAGGATCAAACACCTCTCCACTGTGCAGCAAGGAAACAGTGCATGGAGTGTGTTAAGCTGTTTCTTCCAGTGTCAGATGTAAATGCCCAGGATAGTGATGGTAATACAGCTTTACACTGTAGTTTGTTGTCTGATAAGCCCCACTCTCACGAAATAGTACAAGCACTGATTGAGAAGGGAGCTGATGTAACACTCAGGAACAAGATGGATCAAAAACCTCTCCACTGCACAGCAGTGAAACAGTGTCTAGAGTGTGTTGAACTGTTTCTTCCAGTGTTTGATGTAAATGCCCAGGATAGTGATGGTAATACAGCTTTACTCTTTTGTTTGTTGTCTGATGAAGACCACTGTCATGAAGTAGTACAAGCACTGATTGAGGAGGGAGCTGATGTAGGAATCAAGAACAAGAAGCATCAAACACTTCTCCACTGTGCAGCACGGAAACAGTGTCTGGAGTGTGTTGAACGCTTTCTTCCCGTGTTTGATGCAAATGCCCAGGATAGTGATGGTAATACAGCTTTACACTGTAGTTTGTTGTCTGATAAAGACCACTGTCATGAAGTAGTACAAGCACTGGTTGAGGAGGGAGCTGTTGTTAGAATCAAGAACAAGAAGCATCAAACACTTCTCCACTGTGCAGCAAGGAAACAGTGTTTAGAGTGTGTTGAACTGTTTCTTCCAGTGTTTGATGTAAATGCCAAGGATAGTGATGGTAATACAGCTTTACACTGTAGTTTGTTGTCAGATAAGCCCCACTCTCACGAAATAGTACAAGCACTGGTTGAGAAGGGAGCTGATGTAACACTCAGGAACAAGATGGATCAAAAACCTCTCTACGGTGCAGCAAGGCAACAGTGTCTAGAGTGTGTTGAACGTTTTCTTCCAGTGTTCGATGTAAAAGCTCAGGATAGTGAAGATAATACAGCTTTACTCTATTGTTTGTTTTCTGATGAAGACCACTGTCATGGAGTATTACAAGCACTGGTGGAGAAGGGAGCTGATGTAAGAATGAAGAACATGAAGCATCAAACACTTCTCCACTGTGCAGCAAGGAATCAGTGTCTAGAGTGTGTTGAACGGTTTCTTCCAGTGTCAGATGTAAAAGCCCAGGATAGTGATGGTAACACAGCTTTACACTGTAGTTTGTTGTCTGATAAACCCCACTCTCATGAAGTAATACAAGCACTGGTTGAGGAGGGAGCTGATGTAGGAATCAAGAACAAGAAGCATCAAACACTTCTCCACTGTGCAGCAAGGAAACAGTGTCTAGAGTGTGTTGAACGTTTTCTTCCAGTGTTTGATGTAAATGCCCAGGATAGTGGTGGTAATACAGCTTTACACTGGAGTTTGTTGTCTGATGAAGACCACTGTCATGAAGTAATACAAGCACTGATTGAGAAGGGAGCTGATGTAACACTCAGGAACAAGATGGATCAAACACTTCTTCACTGGGCAGCATGGCAACAGTGTCAAGAGTGTGTTGAACGTTTTCTTCCCGTGTCAGATGTAAACGCCCAGGATAGTGATGATGATACAGCTTTACTCTTTTGTTTGTTGTCTGATGAAGACCACTGTCATGAAGTAGTACAAGCACTGGTTGACATGGTTGAGGAGGGAGCTGATGTAGGAATCAAGAACAAGAAGCATCAAACACCTCTCCACTGTGCAGCAAGGAAACAGTGTATAGAGTGTGTTGAACATTTTCTTTCAGTGTCAGATGTAAATGCCCAGGATAGTGATGGTAATACAGCTTTACACTGTAGTTTGTTGTCTGATGAAGACCACTGTCATGAAGTAGTACAAGCACTGATTGAGGAGGGAGCTGGTGTTAGAATCAAGAACAAGAAGCATCAAACACTTCTCCACTGTGCAGCAAGGAATCAGTGTATAGAGTGTGTTGAACGTTTTCTTCCAGTGTCAGATGTAAATGCCCAGGAGTGTGATGGTAATACAGCTTTACACTGTAGTTTGTTGTCTGATGAAGACCACTGTCATGAAGTAGTACAAGCACTGATTGAGGAGGGAGCTGTTGTTAGAATCAAGAACAAGAAGCATCAAACACTTCTCCACTGTGCAGCAAGGAAACAGTGTATAGAGTGTGTTGAACTGTTTCTTTCAGTGTTTGATGTAAATGCCCAGGATAGTGATGGTGATACAGCTTAACACTGTAGTTTGTTGTCTGATGAAGACCACTGTCATGAAGTAGTACAAGCACTGGTTGAGAAGGGAGCTGATGTAGGAATCAAGATCAAACACTTCTCCACTGTGCAGCAAGGAAACATTGTATGGAGTGTAATAATATGATTACATTATTTCACTTTCTGCTAGATGTACATACAAGATAGACTTTGATGTAGCAGAGAAGCAAAGTTGGCCTTGAGAAACTTGAGTCAAACTTTCTTGTCCTGAAATCAACCGACTTGCCTCCATTTAAGACCCCTTGTGCCTGCAGTCCCATAATCAAGGCTAATACTACCTGAAAACTTAGTGGGAATGATGCTTTAAATACTGATGTTGAATGGACATTTGTTTTTACCCATTACAAATACGTGTATGTTGCACAAACAATGTATAGTGAGTCCATCTTTCATGCAAGGTATAAACATGCTGTGTTTACTGTTTCATCTTGACATTGGAACAAAATGTTTCATTGATGGGTATGACCGACGATGAAAATCCAAATCTGTGATACAAGTAAAAGTCCAGGATATCCTGTCATAATAAAGGGACTCAAAATTGCATCTTGACCACCATGTAGCCTGTCTGGACCACCACACCCGCTGTATGGACCATCATACCCCCTGTCTTTTTGCCACTCATATCCCCCTGTCTAGACCACCCATATCCCCCTGTCTGGATCACCATATCCCCCTGTCTGGAAACCACCCATATCCCAGTCTTGACCACCCATATCCCCCTTTCTGGACCACCTACATTCCAAGCCTGGACCACCCATATCCCCCTGTCTAGACCACCCATATCCTCCTGTCTGGATCACCATATCCCCCTGTCTGGAAACCACCCATATCCCAGTCTTGACCACCTACATTCCTAGCCTGGACCACCCATATCGGCCTACCTTTGGAATACAGTACCACAAACTTTTCAAACACATGATCATACCCTATGACGTAATTTGTAGTATTTTGTTGCCAGTCACACCAGCGAAACAATGCCCTGTGACGTCAGGGGTCATCGGGTGTGCATAAGCTCCCCCCAGTGATCTATCATCTCCACATGAAATGCCATTGAATACGCCAAGCAGTGTGGAGAGTTTTGAATATTTGTTTACTAAATATAGCCTGCGGCGGCGCATTTTATAGCAAGCGCTAGTTTACGAAAGCACTTTCATTTTTTATTTATTTTTTATTTCGTTTTTCTCGTAATTCAAGTGGCTTAAATGGTTATAAATGGGAACTAATATACATAAATTATTTTTTCGGTTCATTAATTTTCATTATTATGCACAAGAACGTAGTTTATTAGGGATATTATATTGGCGCTGAACACATCCAAATATCGCTAGTGTTAGGGTCGGTTACCCCGAACTCTGTCCTTAGCCCTTGGATCCCCTTTACGGTCAATCATCCCTTTACGATCATTAGGGTTAGGTAAATCTACCCGTTTAGTGACTATTATAGATTCTATAGCGGCTCCTAATATTCTTCACACAAAAACGTCGAGTAAAAAGGATGAAATGGTTTTGTGTCGAATACTTTGGCTACTGGAAACTGTCCTGGAACATTCACACAAGCCACTTTCACCGGGTACATTTTTTCAGTACTGATTCAAAAGCGAACTCACCGTTGTGTCGTCACTAGTCATGCTTATGCCTCCCTCGTTCCTTATTATTATCCACATCATCCTTACAGAGTTCCCTACCACACTTTTCTGTCACAAATATCACCATATCATTCATGCGTGCTCGCAAGTTTGACGTCTGACGCCTGAAGCCGTTTTCAGTTCGCGGCATATCGGCTCATTCCTCACCACTCGGTATCTTGTAGATTACGAAATCGGACGAGTGTGCCAAATGGCATCGGGATCATTCGTTGTAGATTACGGAATGGGACGAGTGTGCCAAATGGCATCGGGGATCATTCGTAAGTGTCCGTAGACTAAAGTCACGAGACACCATGCCTACCTGTAACCTTCGTAAGTGTCCATCACCTATTTGACCCTTTTCGTTCAGTTCCGTGACGTCATAGGCATGACTAGGTAAATTTACACTAAGTATAACAGTGTGGACGTAGCTCAGTTGGTTAGCTGTCAGGCTAACAATCTGAAGGTCGCGGATTCGCGTCCGACGGATTCTCACTAAAACTGGTTGCTTGTCTTTAGACGTGTGACCTACGGCAGAGATCGTCCTCACGAGAAGTTGTGGTACTGTATTCTAAAGGTGCTCCCCCATATCCCTCTGTCTAGACCACCCATATCCCCCTGTCTGGATCACCATATCCCCACTGTCTGGAAACCACCCATATCCCAGTCTTGACCACCCATATCCCCCTGTCTTGACCACCCATATCCCCCTTTCTGGACCACCTACGTTCCTAGACTGGACGACTAATATTCCCCTGTCTGGACCACTCAAACCCACTGTCTGGACCACCCATATCCCCTGTCAGGACCACCAACACCCTGTCTGGACCACCCATACCCCAAGTTTTATATTATGGCTACCCCGGGTATATAGGATTTTCAGAGTTTTTCACTTTTCATATTGAATTTATACTTTATATGCAAGTAAAATTTGCAAATGTATGTTCTTTTGCGTAAGCTCGTCTTATCTAGTTTACTTTGTATGTATTGTATGTCACTGTGTTACAACGTGAGTCTGTGTATTTGTTTTTTCAAGTTTGACTTTTGACACTCACATAGATGTTTAGGTGTACCAAACATATGCCATTACTCAGCCATTTCTGTCAAAAATGTAATGAATCATTGTATATATGTAGTTAGTAGTGTAGCTCAACACACGTATATGTTTGGTTTTTGATTGTATGTTAAAATTTGACCTTGTTTTGACCAGTCTCTTAAATCTCTCAAACGCATATTGACGTAAACTTCTTCTCCTGTGAAATTGACAAACTGAGGGAGCTTAACTTAGAAGCACTTTTCTCCTGTTGATGACATCATATTTCATTGAAGTCGTTGGGTGTCAATGTTAGTTTTTAGTCGTCAGCAGTTATGTTGAAAACATTTGAATATCAGTGCTGACAGCAATGAAAGTTCCGAATAAAATGTTTTATCATACCTCCATTTTAGAATGATGAGATCTGATTGGTCTACGTGATCATGATAAAGTACTATGTATCCCCTTGGAGGAGAATAAATTGCTCGGCAGGGAAATGAATCTCCTATACCCCGCCACGAACAAGTCAGGCTGCATGTGGATTTCTGAGAGGCAGAATAAATCTGTTATACCCCGCTTCAAAGCAAAAAGCCACAAACTTTTTCTGAGTCATTGGAACTTATATGCCATAGTGCAAGCTAACATCAGCTCAATCGAACAACTGTTTTATATCAATTTTGATTTTTTAAATTCTTTTACAAGAGACATGAGACATGAGAGTTGTAGCAGGATTACGAGGGGAGCATTATGTTTTATGTGTCCCACGTTTAATAATTTTAATATAGACAAAGAAAAAAGTTGAGAACACCCCTATTTCTGAACCATGACAAATGGCAAAAATCATGGCATGGGATGACTGACCACAGGAGCTGGGCGATACCAATGTCATCGAATAGAACAAACATTTGACAACAAATAAAGAAGATATTGGTGAGTTGTGATTGAAATTTACTGACAAAAACATCATGGTGACACAGGTACTGTTTTTGACCTTAGACAATAGCTAAAAAAAATATGGAGCTGCAGGATTAAGTTAACGAGTTACGTTTGATGTTTCATAAGAAAATGTTCCTTAAAGTCTTTACTTGACATGACGCGTGAAACAGATCAGTAGCGGGTATACCCGCCATGTGCCTGGATGACGCATTCCACCCTACATCTCATGCCGCTAGTCAGATGTTGGATCTGTTCATGGGTCAATGACAACCACTCCTGATGCAATGCTGCTTCCAATTGGCGTAAATCTTGTACCTGAGGATCTTGGGCCTGTATGCGCTGCCCTAGAATATCCCAAACATGTTCAAGGGGGTTCAAATCTGGGCTCATTGCTGGCCCTCATGTAATCCACAACTGCATTGAACGATGAGGCCTGGCATTTTCATCTATGTACTGAGGTCGAGTACCAAGAGGGTGGTTGTCAAAATGAGGAACAACCTGGCCTCAAAACGTCCCGGATGTACTGAGCCCCTGTTAAGTTGCCCCTTATGATGACCAAATCCAACCTGCAATCATGGGAGATACACCCCCAAACCATTACCGATCCCCCGCTGTATGCAACAATCGGTTTAATGTTCCTGGGGTGTAGGCCGTGTTCCAGTGCCTCCAAACTCTCGTTCTTCCATCAGTGATGTGGAGCAGAAAGCGACTTTCATCTGACCAGTAGATCCGTCTCCAAGTTCTCAGATTCAACTTCTGTCGCGCAATAAACCATGCTAAACGAGCAGCTTTGTGGTGATCTCTCAACAAGGGATGCTTTATGACTTGTCTAGCCCTCAGTCCTGCTGCTTTCAGACGGTTCCTGACGGCTCTGGTGCTGAAACGACGATTGGGCAACCACAGCGGTTTCTGATGAGTACTTGTTAAAAAGGGTTCTCGGCGTATGAGACGAAGAAGGTTCCTGTCTTCACTATGTCTCGTCACAGGTCTTCCTGATCTGGGACGGTCCTGTACATCACCGGTCTGAGCATCTTTCTCGACTAAACGGCTTACGACAGTGTGATAATACCCTTCATTCCGAACAATGGCATTACAAGACATTCCTGCGTTATGCATGCCGTTTATTTGCCATCTTGTGGCGCTTGATAACCGCCGTCGTGCCATGGTCACACGGACCCGCGAAGATCCGGGGTAGAATAGATCTTCAGCAACCCATGCTTGCCGTAAAAGGTGACTTTGCTTGTCATAAAAGGCAACTAATGGGATCGGGTTGTCAGGCTCGCTGACTTGGTTGATGCATGTCATCGATCCTAATTGCGTGGATTAAGCAATATTAACGTTTAGATATACTGTGTTTAGAGATACTCGAGGGCATACCATCCATGGCATGTGAAATTTTGTCACGCATGACTGATTACATCATCTCGAGAAAATGTAATTCTTCCCGTAATTATATCTTTCATGACTGTTACAAATATTAAGACCAAACAATAATGAAATATATTAGGGTGTGCTTAACTTTTTTCTGTGTATAGCAAGAGTCTCTGCCTCCAACTTGTATAAAACCTAATACCGGATGCATTAAACCCCTCGTGATCCTTCTACAACTTATATTGTCTCATGCTAAAGGCCTGATGATGTTGAGCTTCAGAACTCCAAACAGAATGGTTTGGTTACCATGGGTTTCTTTGATTTGTTTGTTAGTTGTTTAATGCCACACTCAGCAATGCCCAGGCGCTACTGGCACGATGCCAGGGATCCACTAAAGATCGAGGGGATGCGGAAGAATATCAACCGCCGACTGGCCAACCGAGTCAAAGAGCTTGGCGGTACAATGGTGCCACATCCCCAGATCCTGGCATCAGACAAGACATGGTACACCTGGGAGGGCGTCCACCTCAGTGACAAAGGACTGTGTGTGTTTACGGACAATTTATTGCATGCCCTGGCGCTTGTTTTGCACCAGTAAGGATATTATCTCCACAGGTTAGTGTTTACTTTCAGTACATAGGCAAGCCGGGCAACAATGCTATCTCCGCGTATCGCGAGGCCTTGGGTATGGGGTAGCACTCTGGTGCTTTGTGGCGGGGTTTTGTGCTACACTGCTAGTAACAAATTAACTTGCTTCCAAATTAATACTCGTGCTTAAGGCTACCTGCTTTTCAGCGGGAACCTTTCCGGGGTTACCTGCTTCTCAGTGGGAACCTTGTCTTTCCCGACTTCAGCCGGGGAATCGTAAAATAACATACGTTGGGGCAAACAATTGCCACGTATATGGGCCTGGCGGCGGAAGTCGTCTTGTCAAGCGGTAGCTGACAGTTGGGTCCGCGGCGGGAGCCGCACAATGGTTTTGCTAATGGGGCCAGGCAGTGGGATCTGCTTTGGCCGGCTACCTGGGGCCGGGCAGCGGTAGTCTGACTTAGGCCAGCAGCGTGGAGCTGCTTTTGGCAGCGTGGTAGTTGCCAAGCAATGGTAGCGTTTAAATATGCTACCGTGGGGGCCGGACAGCGGTAGCAGTCTCAGGCCAGCAGCGCTAGCTGCAATCACCGTTGGCCACGGTAGCATTTTGGTATACACAATTAGCAGCTAAGTAGCCCACTAGTCCCTGCACACCCTCGGCCATTTAACCCAATCTCATCTTCTGTTATTATTATAGGCACGGGCAACCACGGCTCGGTGGCCTGTGCCTCTCCTTGGCATATTGCGGGATAATCAAGCTATATGACAGCGGTCTGTAAATAATCGTGTCTGAACCAGACAGTCCAGTGATTGGCTTCACGAACATCGATCTACGCAATTGTGATACAATGACATGCATCATTATCAACCAAGTCAACAAGCCTGACCACCCATTCCCGTTAATCGCCTCTTACAACAAGCATAGTCGCATCTTACAACAAGCATAGTCACCTCTTATGTCCTATTCTCTATCTGGATCTTCACAGGTCGGTTACCTTGCAAGCAACTGATGATGTCCAATGTTTCATTGCACCCCATAGTGATGTCACTGTAGACATGTTATCCTTGACAAGTGATAACACACATTGTAGTTATCAATCATGCCGATGGCGGTCGGGTAGCCTAGTGGTTAAAGCGTTTGCTCGTCACACCAAAGAAACGGGTTCGATTCCCGACATGGGTACAATGTGTGAAGCACATTTCTGGTGTGCTCCGCTGTGATATTGCTGGAATATTGCTAAAAGCGGCGTAAAACCATACTCACTTAGTCACTAAATCATTATCATGATTATGACAACAAAAGGTGTCCAAAAAAAATGTCCACCCATCACAGCCAAAAGCTACAATAGTGAAATATTATAATAAAATAAAATAACATAAATACAACAATCATCAATTTTTTTGTTAATGCTTGCTTTTATATATAAGCGCCCACTCGCTAGCGTGCCGAAATCCGTTGGGGGCATTTTTTAGCAAAAAGGACCCCAAAAATGAGCTGGACGTGAAAAGTATGGTCTAAAACTCCGCCCGTGGGGGCCCGAGAGTTTTACAATAGAAAGTGAAGCCCAATTATCATGGACTGGTGTCGACTTTGTGTTGTTTATGGGCGGGACATAAATGACATAAGACGTCACGTGTATGATCATGTGACTTTCCTTATATGGACTCGTTACTAAGAAAGCAACTTCGCTCATAACTAGTAAATTCACAGACTGTGGCTTGTACAAATAAAACAGAGTCGACTTGAAGTACAGTGAAGACATCTTTGCATAGGTATGGGGCGAATGCAGGAATGTATGACAATTATTTTCTAAACATTATCAGAAAAGAAATATCTCAGCTGTTCAGTTGATCATTTTGTTCAGTTTCTTTGTTCATCAGCCGTGTTTACATTTATTAGAACTTAGAAGCAAAATGATCGTTTAAGAAAAAGATGAAAAAGAAGCAGAAAAAGAAATTGAGCTAGGTCTAGATGGATCCACAGATCCACAGTCAATACGAATTAAACGTCTCAAGTTATTTGTTTGAATGAGAAAGTATCTATCGATGGTCATCTACACATAATTATTTCTATGATTATTTGTACAGACCCAAGCTAAATAGGTTAGCAAACATAAACCATAAATTTAGAAAGTAGAAACCTAGGCAGAGTTCAAAACTTAAACTGTCCAGTTACCTTAAGGGATAGAAATGTGATATATTTCAAAACAATGATCTGATGTTTGTCATGGGGTTTTGTAGGATTTTCACACTTTCACACTTTGTTAGTATTCTATGTAATATGCATGGAGATTGTATTGTTTATGTACATTTGTGTCAATCTGTCATAACTACTGTCATTACTGCAAGTGCTGTATTGTTAAATGTATTTTACTTTGCATGTGCTGTATGTTACTATGTAACTATGTGAGAATTAAATTTTTTTTATCTCTGTTGTCTATATGTTTTACAAGTGTGTCACAGCGGACCAAGCTGTGAAGGAGTGCCCTATGGAATAGATGTATTAACAGTATTCTATTTGTTGGCACACAACTTCAACTCAGTGCCATTACTATGTTGAATATGCCATTGCCTCTCTCATAAATAAGTGTAATTTAGAAAGTTTGCCCTTTCCTTCATATTGAGATTGGTAACACATCCTATTCAATTTCTGAATCACCAGGTTTATTTTATGAATTACCTGCATTCCAATAGTAAATTCTTTATTTTATAATTTTACTTTTGCAAATGCTATTCAAATTTTGGTTAAAACCGCATAGCCAACTGTCATATTCTCCTTCTGTAGCTCAAGACATAACTCTGTCACAACGTCATCTTCCCGAGGCAAAGAGAGTTAACTGACTTTAATTTTCCAGTCCCTTGCCGAACTATGCTGGAATTTCTGGTCTTGATCGTAGCACAACCTGTGGTTATTACGAGTTATGTCCCTTCTATGGACCAATCAGATGCCACCTCTCGTATCACATGCATTTGCTTCAAACATAATGGCAGCACTCAGTCAGGACGATCTGATCAATAATCCATATTGTAATAAAAAGGGTCTTACATCGTGAAGTGCATCAAATCATGTGAGCACCTTGATTAAAAACATGAAAAGATTCGACAGTTTACGAACCGGATTTCGATTGGACTATGCATAGACTCGTTAGTCCATCCAAAATGTTACTCCAGAATATCGGCATTAATTGGCAAGGGTAGAAACTGGACTTTTATAGTTAACTCTCTTGTCTCGGGAAGATGGTCAAACGTAGGGTGGTACCTTTGACTTCTAAACCATCCAAACAGACACAACACAACCAATATTGAATATGATGATTTATTTTATTTTTCAATGATCCAATAAAATCGCAGAAAAAGTGAAAGAACTAAACAGAGGAAGTGTTCTTACTTGACAATTATGAATCCTACACTTAAAACCCCAAATAACCACATTTTGTACATAAATTTGGCAACGCAATTCACCAACCTCCTAATGTCCAAGCATAGAAGTCCTGTAGCTACAGAGTTATACAAACAGAAGTAGAGGTTAAGTCAATAAGCTATAACATATATTAAAACACTGTCTTAATGACACAGGTAATGCAATGTCCCATTGTCCAACATTCTCGGGAACAAGATCTACACCATATGCTAACTCATCTAGAGTTATTCCAATGGGAAAATGGGACAATGGCACCTCCACAAACATCACAATCCAACAGTCAACATAAATAAGGTTAAGGAGTATCACAAGCTGTGAATGAATGATGCATGTTGTGTGTATCTGTACAAGTCGCCGATGTTGTTTGTTCAGATGGCGAGGCCGAAGACACTGACGATGCAGTACATCATCTTGTTCTCCCACCTCACTGTGCAGCTACCTGTGAACAATTCAACCAAACAATCACATCACAAGCCATAAAACACAATGTGATAAGTTTTACTCAAAAAGGCAAGTGAAAGTTAAGGGATTTACTGGGTCTATCTAGGGGACTCTCGTTAATTAGTTTGAGGGGTCCAAGACATGAACACTGGTGTCCCAGCCTAGCGTGTGAGTGAGTGAGTGAGTTGGGTTTTACGCCGCATTTAACAGTATTCCAGTTATATCACGGCGTGTCAGCTTAATGTGGGAGGAAAGCCTGAAGTGATGCAGGTCTCAGACGTTTACCACTTCGGTGAAACCCACGTGCAAGGGAATGGTGGTGACAGACCTAGAAACATAATCGGGGCGAACCAGGATTCGAACCCACAATCATATAGGTTTCTGGCGTGCCCAAGGGACGCAACTCTGCACAGCGAATCGCGACGACTGGGCCACCCGTGCCCACTCCGAGCCTAGCGACACATGGCACACTTCACTAGATTTCCAAGAATGTTACTGATGTCATTATTTGCTCAGATGCCTTCAGCCTGTTCATGGTACAGATGGGTGTTTCAATGGTATGTTGAAGAAAATCAGGCAATGACACCCTGAAGTTGTAGTGTCTTCCTTACCAGAATAGAAAGGCAATTAATATGTAACATGCAATCTACAATTTTTATAAATGTAATTATTTGAACAGACACAGTCTTTTGTGTCCCACAGTACTTGCAATACAAATAATTCTCCATATGTACATATATGTATATCGTGATATATATTTGTAATGTTTCTATAGATATGACCAATTGATGTGATACATATCGTGGCAAAGAGAATTTAGATGCACTGAACTTTCAGTGAATCCCTACATTCCCAAATATCACAAACTGTGTCTAGGGCTACCAGCCTTGACTAGTACATAATCTATCCAACTGGCTTACACTGTGACACCAAGGGTCTCCTTATCAAATGTGTAATGTAACCATGGAAGCAATAGGATCCCCATATTAAAACACCACTGTCATTAGCAGGGGTAGAAACTAACACTTACAGTCCACTAGTCCTTATAATGATAACATATAGCAAAACCCTTAAAATTGGCAAATTTCTACTAGTCCTTATGATGCCTTAACTATCGGACAGATTGACAAGGACTATAGGACTAGTGCCAATTTCTAACGCTGTCATTAGCCTTCATGACCCCAGTGAATTTCAACCACTGCTCATGATTAGACACATACCTCATGGCAGTGTTAGAAATAGTCCTATATTCCTTGCCAAACTGCCTAATAGTTTCGGTATGATAAGGTCTAGTAGACATTTGCCCTTTTAAGGGTTTTGCAATATCTTATCACCATAAGGACTAGTGGACTGATACTGTTAGTTTCTTTGTAAAAATTGATACCTTCATTCAATCTTTTACTCATGTTATATATCATCACATATATGATAAAAAATACACAAGCATTTAAAACTTTATTCCTGCATGGTGCAATGGATAACAAGCAAGCAGTGACTGAAGTCAGCTATATTCCAGGTATTTAATATATATATCAAAGTGACCTGTGATCTCATCAAAAGCGTGGTTGATGGGAGATAAGCATAATGCACAAGGAGCAAGCATGGGATACTGGGGGACCTATTCTTCTGTGACCCTGAATCCGGGAGACAAGCATTGTATAAGGGCACCTATCTGGCTGCGGAATCTGCACAAGGAGACAAGCAATGACACTTGAGGACTATTCTTCCTTCAAGTACCCAGATGTGTAGAGGGCACCTATCTGGTTGCGGAATCTGCACTGGGAGTCAAGCAGGGTTGGAGCTAAATTCAAACACTTAACTGGTATGGGTACAGATAAAATGCTCTTGTAATGTTAAAACAATGGGAAATTGGGTAATTAGTACTTGCCCTTGGCTAGCAGGATAGTGTTAACTTCTAACCCTATCAAGCATGGGATACTGGGGACCTAATTCCCTTCAGATTCCCCAAAGTGAAACCAGCAGTTTACTGATGTATTCTTATCTGAATGCCCTGTAAGGTGGGAGACAGGCATTGTGTACAGGGCACAACTTCAGTCCTGGAAATAACACAGGGAGAAAAGCATGGGACACTGGGGACCTATTCTGCCCTTCTTGAGTATGGGTTGCTAATCCCCCTGGGGCAACAGTGAGAGATACTGACCATCAGTGGAGTTGTCCCAGAAGCAGGAACTAGCAGTGTGGAGACCGGCGCCATTCTTCTGCATGATCACACAAGTCACTGTAAGCAGACAACAGCACTACAGACATACATAACAACATCCAACAGTACATTCTCCACAACATGGAGCATCCCTATTGGTATTACCATGATTACATTGTTTGTGGTTCAACGCCGCACTCACCAATATTCCACCTATATGACTGTGGTCTGTAAATAATCGAGTCAGGACCAGACAATCCAGTGATTGACATCATGAACATCGATCCACGTAATTGGGATACGATGACATGCATCAACCAAGTCAGCAAGCCTGAACACCCGCTTCTTACGACGAGCATAATCACTTTTACGGCAAGCATGGTTGGTGAAGACCTTTCCTACCCCAGATCTTCATGGGTCACCATCAGGGTTCACTCTAGAAATTTTTTGACACGGGTCCTTTATGTGAAAATTTCAAATATTCCAGAGGTTAGCCTATACAGCACAATGTTAAAATGCCCCATTGTATTTGAAAATGTGGGCCTTTACTTCAAATGTAGGGGCTGAAAGCACAAGGCCCCACCTGAATTATGTCTCCCCCAGAATGGAGGGAGACATATTGTTTTTGGCACGGTTCCCGTCGGCGTCGGCGTTCCCACCGTTTCCGGACCATAACTCGGAAACCGTTTAATATTTTTTCGCGAAAGTTTGTATACATATTAACCCAGCACTGAAGTGGTGCCTTTTGCTATTTAGAGATTTTTGACATTTTTATTTTTTCTCGTTTCCATGGAGATAACTTGAACATAGACTCTGAATGGGGGTAAGCTTGGTTTCCGGACCATAACTCGGAAACCGTTTAATATTTTTTCGCGAAACTTTGTATACACATTAACCCAGCACTGAAGTGGTGCCTTTTGCTATTTAGAGATTTTTGACATTTTTATTTTTTCTCGTTTTCATGGAGATAACTTGAACATAGACTCTGAATGGGGGTAAGCTTGGTTTCCGGACCATAACTCGGAAACCGTTTAATATTTTTCGCGAAACTTTGTATACGCATTAACCCAGCACTGAAGTGGTGCCTTTTGCTATTTAGAGATTTTTGACATTTTTATTTTTTCTCGTTTCCATGGAGATAACTTGAACATAGACTCTGAATGGGGGTAAGCTTGGTTTCCGGTCCATAACTCGGAAACCCCTAATATTTTTTCGCGAAACTTTGTATACACATTAACCCAGCACTGAAGTGGTGCCTTTTGCTATTTAGAGATTTTTGACATTTTTATTTTTTCTCGTTTCCATGGAGATAAGTTGAACATAGGCTCTGAATGGGGGTAAGCTTTGTTTCCTGACCATAACTCGGAAACCGTTTAATATTTTTTCGCGAAACTTTGTATACACATTAACCCAGCACTGAAGTGGTACCTTTTGCTATTTAGAGATTTTTGACATTTTTATTTTTTCTCGTTTCCATGGAGATAAGTTGAACATAGGCTCTGAATGGGAGTAAGCTTTGTTTCCTGACCATAACTCAGAAACCGTTTAATATTTCAACATTGACCTCAATACAAACAAAGCGCAACCTCTTCTGCAAGAACCCTTCACGCAGCTGATTGAAGTGTCCACTACCAGGAAAGAAACTGTTATTGACCATATTTATGTCAAGGATCTTTCACATCAGAGAGCTGGTGTGGTGCCTTGCTATTACAGTTTCCATGACATCACATGTCATGTCATTGTGTAGAAGACCTGCAGAGTCAGATACACGGGCAATTACATCACAGAGACTTTCCTTTGTGCCATTAACATTGCTACATCATTTCTGATATGTTGGGGATATTGATATATTTGTGTCCAAACTCTATTAGTACTTTTAGTGGATTTTCTACAAATACTTCAGTAACAAGAAAACTGTGCTACTTAGATGACTACACTGTCAGGTGGGTAAATGATTGAGGGATTAGTGGTGTTGATTAGACGCTGAAGTGGCGCCCATTAGTTGTTTGAAATTTCTAGGAGTTCTATTTTTGTCTCTGTTATTTAGTAATGGAGGGTGGGAATGAAGAGATGGGGTTTAACGTGAAGTAAACGAATGAATGGGGGTTAGGGGAGTGGGGGGAGACATATGTTTTTACGAGTAAAAACACTTTCTAGTTATCCCTGCACCATGATTACAGGTCTCTGTTAAGTATTGTTAGGTTGAAATCTAAAGCCAAGGAATAAGGTTACAGCCCCTCACCTACTTGTTAAGATAGAAGTTTAACATTTTGAAAAGATGATTGAAAACGCACTAATTACATTCAACTGTATTCTGATATGAAAGATGGGATGTGGGAGGAAAGCCCGAAGTGATGCAGGTCTCAGACGTTTACCACTTCGGTGAAACCCACGAGCACGAGTATGGTGCTGACAAACCTAGAAATATAATGGGAGAGAACCAGGATTTGAACCCACAATCATAGGTTTCTGGCGTGCCCAAGGGACGCAACTCTGCACAGAGAATCGCAGCGCCTTAGACAACTGGGCCACCCGTGCCCCTGTTGAGGAGGATGTTCGCATCAATGATATTTTAAATGCATATAAAAACTCATTACAAACTGAAACTTTACACAACAGTCACATTCTACTAGTATAAGGGTAAATCTATCCACCCACCTCCTTGAACAGGTTGAGAGTGATTAAGTGTCCGAAATCTAATCACTGGTTTTGAAATATTGCCTGTGATATATAAACTTAAGGCTCTGATACATGATAACCTTACAAGACAAACTCTGTCATAGAACCATCTTTGTAAAAGCTTATCTATACATGCTATAAGTCAAGTTGCAAAAATGAAGAGGAGTTATTTTCTGTCAAAAACATACTTGCACAAAAACCATGTAAATTGCATTAACCAATTTGATTAAAGTGATTAAATTTTACATGCTTAAAAATATATTAAAAACAGCTATGGTTATAAGTGATATCTCCAACTCGAAAAAAATAAATCAACATGGCAAATATACGGAAAGTCAATACACCAGAAACAATATTGTCATCTCTTTTGTAGAAGTTTAGGGACACAATTAGACTAAACCAGTATCAAGGTGACAGACAGCAGAGAGAGGGTCAGCTGAGCACTGGACAATGTACTATGCTGTTTTAGTCTGTGGATGTTTTAGGGAGTGAGTGAGTATGGTTTTTACGTCACTTTTAGCAATATTCCAGCAGTATCACGGTGGGGGGCACCAGAAATGGGCTTCACACATTGTACCCATGTTGGGAATCAAACCTGGGTCTTCGGCGTGACGAACGAACACTTTAACCACTAGGCCACCCGACCCCAGATTAACTCAATTAACTACTGACCCTTGCCCTTTACCATGCTTACCACAATTAGTCTGCAATGATAACAACTAGCCCAAGGCTGACTTGTTTTCCAGCTATTTGAATTTGAACTGTGACAACAATGACTGTTAAAACAGACGAACATGTTTGCTAACACCATATTGTTTCAATCTTTCCTTTAAGTTCACCTTCAAGTATTAGGCAGACATAGTCCTAATTCTTTAGGCCAAGACAAACTGCATGCAACACTATCAGTGAAGTTTTTATGTAAGCACTAGTGAGTGCGTCTGGTTTTACGCAGCTTTTAGCAACATTCCAGCAATATCACTGTGTGGGGACACCAGAAATGGGCTTCTCACATTGTACCCATGTCGGGAATTGAACGCGGGTCTTCAGCGTGACGAGTGAACGATGTACTACTAGGCTACCCACCCGCCTCAATTTGAAACTAAACATGGAAAATGCTATGTGTTAAACTGACACCATGTTTTTGGATAATTAGGGCACCAGCTTTTGTGTACATTATTCAATTATATAAAACTTGAGTTGTCACCATGATCACATTGTCAACATTTTAGCAAAGAAATATCACTTACAGTATTTATTGTTTATGACACAATAATCACATCAATCATAAACATGTTAAAGAAAACAAATCATATGCTAACTTTTAAGCAAATTGGAAAAAGTTTCTTAATTAAAAACTGGATTTCTCTTGACGTATGAGTAACATGCAGCAATATTTCATTGATATCCTAAAATGCAATAACATCACACACAAGGGCACAATGCAGTGATGTCAGTCTCAAGAATGATGTGGCCATCTCACGCTTACAGTCCCTGTAATACTAACAAGTCAAATGTACCTGAATTTGCCTGTGATCTGATTTAACGATTAATCTTAGATTCAAGGCTGAATACCATGATGATAGCAACCAACAAGTCCAGTTTCTGTGTTACCATGGTTACAACAGTAATAACAACGTGTTTGACAAACAATAATGCCCTGAAACAACACGTAACACCATACTGCTAATTTACTGTTAACTGGACTGACCATCAGATGATTTGTCCCAGAAACATGAGGAGGCCACGTGAAGCCCTCCACCCGTCTTTTGTTTTATAGTACACGTCACTGTGTAATAAGTAGACAGAGATATTTCTTGTTGACGTATCACCATAGCAATATTAACCATATCAAACATAACGGTCACAGCCCTTCCTACAGAAGAGTTTACAGCATGGCCAATACTGGTTTATATTGATAATAACTAATTATCCATCAATGAAGAAGATAAACTAAGTAACTTGTGTTTCATATCTCTCTTAGTTTGAGACTGAAGCAAAATGGACATTGTCATGTTAGGCTTCATTAATTAAACTTCTTGTATACAGAATTACAATAATAATGACATGATAGTTAAAAAGTGATCATAGAATTCATCATTGAATGATGAGTTATTGAATGTATCTTAGTCAATAAAATGATATGAATGTCTGACCCTTGACATGTCTCTTATTACATTGTATATCTGTTCCTAATTCTCAAGACCAATTCTATAGTTTGTTAGACATGTTTGATCGAAAATATCATATTCATGATGGAAATGACATACCTATGTACTTAAAGGGTTTTCCCAGTTTTGTAAGCTGATTTAGACATTGCTCCACAACATTGGAGGTCCATTGGTTCACTTTGTTGTGTTGATAGGCATTGCCTCCAATCGCTCCTTCAATTGCCTGAAATTGACAGGAAGAAAGTATCATTTACTGAGTAAGCAATGTTTGGATGAATAATAAAAACAACACACTTATCAGAAGACTGAATTCTAAAACATGAATTATACCATACACAATCTGCAACTCTATCTGCATAGACTCAGCTTTAGAAATTGGCACGAGTCCTCTAGTCCTTGCCAAACTGCCCAATGGTCAAGGTATCATAAGGACTAGTAGAAATGTGCCCTTTTTAAGGGTTTTGCTATATGTAATCATTATAAGGACTAGTGGACGAAAACTGTTAGTTTCTAACCCTTTAGACTAGTCCTAAGTCTGTATCTCATATAATATTGTTAGGGCTAGTAAGCTAACATAAGCTTATAGTCCATATCTAACCATTTGATGACACTAAATACTACACAAACAAGTAGACACAAAAGTATTTGGCACAGTGACAGAATTTAGAATGTGGGAGCAGAGTAATTAACAAGGTACACTGTTTGAATTACACAAATGTTGCTACTTTAAGAGTTAGATAATAAACTACTTATTCATTTCAATCCTTTCTCTGTATGTACCTTGTGTGAATTCTCAACATTTTCAAGACATGAAACATAATTAATCCACTACAGTATACTATGTAATATATCAAATTTGCAGCGTTAGAAATTGGCACTAGTCATGTAGTCCTTACCAAACTGCCCAATAGTAAAGGTATCATAAGGACTAGTAGAAATTGGCCCATTTTAAGGGTTTTGTTATATGTTATCATTATAAGGACTAGTGGACAAAAACTGTTAGTTTCTAACCCTGCATTTGCCAAATGTGTTTAAATATACAGCTCTGACACATGCTTTGGACAGTCCAATTATCAAGTCAGTGTACTATGTGTACCAGTTCTTTATGCTGTAGGCAAATTGAGAAGACACCAGCAATCCAATCCAAAGGGGTTGAAGGACCAAGAATGTAGATATTATTATAGACCTATAAAATCACTGAATGTTTCAAGTGAGTCAATTAGCAAGATAACACTTATTAGAAGGCAACTGTGTCTTGTAAACAAACTGCAATCTTCACACACAATCCATCTTCCCGAGGCAAGAGAGTTAACTGACTTTTAAAGTCCAGTTTCCACCCTTGCCAAACTGGGCTGGAATTACTGGCCTCGATCTTAGCGCCACCAGTGGCTATTACCAGTTATGTCCCTTCTAAGCCTCTCCTATGGACCAATCAGATTCAACCTCTCGTATCACTTGCTTTTGCTTCACACAAAATGGTGGCGCCCAGTCACGACGATCTGATCGATAATCAAGATCTATATTGTGATAGAACGGGTCTTTCATCGCGAAATACATCAAATCACGTGAGCACCTTGATTAAAAATATGAAAAGATTTGGAATAATATCTGTTGAAAACGAGTTGGCGTTGCACATGCTTTGCAAATACTGCAGCCGATCGATATCTGCACGACAGTTTACGAACCAGATTTCGATTCGGTGCGCCATTTTGATTGGACTATGCATAGACTCGTTAGTCCAGCCAAAATGTAACTCCATAATACCGGCCTAGTTTGGCAAGGGTGGAAACTGGACTTTTATAGTCAGTTAACTCTTTTGCCTCGGGAAGATGCACAGAATCATGCCATGTGCTTACTTGTAAGTTTATAAACAAAATTGGTTAACAGTCGGTTGTCATGGTTTATGATCTGAGGGCATAGTTTGTATGCAAGATAAGCGATTGATACTGTTACCTAATCAGTTTTAAGCACACAAAGTATTGACTGACTACAAAAGGTTAGAAATTCAAACAGTATGACGGTAGAGATAGCAATGATATACAATAAAGGAACAATGACCACTGCTGAGTACCTACCTCTTTGATGATGTTTGTCACTTCATCAACAACAAATGAGGTCTGAAACAAAAATTACATATTAAAGAATTCATCTAAATCTATATCTGTATTTCAAGGAATAAAGAGAACTCAGTTATCAATATTGTACAAAAATCCTATTTGCTGAAGAACCACAAAAGTAGCACGGTTGACATCAGTGAGAACCTGACCAGGCTTACTTGTTTAGTCTGTCAGACACAAGATAGCAATGCATGATGAGTCAACCTGTTGGCGTTTGCCACAAATCTGGGTGTCATAAGTAACATATCAGAACGAGTGAATATATTACCTCTTCTGCTGATTGAAAATCGTCCATTTTCGATGCTACCTGGTCGAGATCCTGATGAAAACTGCGTCTGTTTGCAAACAGGTACCCGTTTTAGCTCGTTTCCTGACAACGACAACCTCTCGCGAAATCTCGTGGATTACAAGGGGCGTAACTCTGCAATTTAATACGACCTCCGAATAGCAACTTAACATTGTAGGTTCGTATCCCAGGGATTGAAAACAAAACGAATGAGTAGTTTATAATCTGTGCTTATGTTGAGTCTTTAGAAGCAAGACTTATTTGTTTTAACAATTCCATGTCATTCCGCATTTCGGAATTAATAACCCGTATTCCTCGCAGCAACAATCTGCTACTTTATTATAGCCAAAGAATTTATTCTTTTCGTAATCTCCCAATCCATTTCACATAAACTTTCATTTCCCCAGAAACTGTTTATATGTGAATAATTGCCGTTAGTACCACACTGCCAATTCTGAAGAAGCGCGGTGAAACCATTAAAACCACAATATTGGATATAAATTCACGTAGCACAAGCAGTGCGGGTGATTTTGCTCTCATTGACTGTTTGTGGATTACATGCAGTCGCATGCGGCACTGAGAATTTTCTGTTTTGTTTAGCCAACTTCTGGTCGCTACACTAGTCTGTATGTTAATACATGTTTTTGTGTGGATATTTCATTCAAGGTGACCATTATATCTGAGACGACATAAACGTATAAACATATTAGATCAACATGATATTTGTCTAAACGGATCTGCACCAGAAATACCTGTGACAAGTCCCCTCATCTGTGTGTGTGTGTGTGTGTGTGTGAGTGAGTGAGGGAGTGTGCGTGAGTGTCTGTGAGAGAGAGAGAGTGTGTGTGAATACTAGTATGTGTTTGAGAGAGAGTGTGTGTGTGTGCGCGCGCGCGTGTTTGTCTATAACTATTTAAAGTCAACGCCAGTGGATAACCAGTCACGATTATCCGACGAAACAGCTTCCATTGCGCGTAAAAGGCAAAATAGCCCTGAATAATATATGAATTGATCACTGAAGATTTAGAGATGGCACAAAGTAGGTATTCACGAAAAGGGTAAGCACGTCCTGCCCTAAACGTAGCACACGCCACTCGCAAAATGTCTGTCTGTTGTGATCCCTATCTTTTGTCATCCCTGTCTATTGTCATCCCTGTCTGTGCATGCATACGTGTGAGGTGAAATTGGGCTTAACGTCGCGTCCAAGATTATTGTGTGTGTGTGTGTGTGTGTGTGTGTGTGTGTGTGTGTGCGTGCGCGCGTTGTCCCGCGAAAAAAACGAAAGTACAAACTGCAGAAGACGCATTATGCCTCGCCCCGTGCAGTTAGCCTGTGTTTGTACGATTATAAGTACGAGCTTGTCGATCCATGCAGCATAGGTGTACACGTGGCTAGTGAGTCTTGTTTTGTTTCGCGTCGTCGCTTCGTTGTAGGCCAAACGAAAAGACCAGAAATAATTAATGCCTTTTAAAGGGGCCTAACATTCATGTTTACCTCCCTTAAAACTGTGAGGATTTCTGGTATGAATATGTCCTTAGAACCCTGGACTTCAGCCTTACGTGGTCGCGATATGTGTGACCTGGTTGAACATGTCATCGATTTCGTTGGTCTTTGCTTATGCTGTCAACCACTGGTTTATACTTTTTTATAGTCCAGGCTCAGTTGTTTACATGTCGAAGATCCGGGGGAGAATATAGGTCTTCGGCAACCCAAGCTTGCCGTAAAAGGCGACTATGCTTGTCGTAAGAGGCGACTAACGGGATCGGGTGGTCAGGCTCGCTGACTTGGTTGATGCCTGTTATCGTAATCCCAATTGAGTGGATCGATGCTCATGATGTCAATCACTGGATTGTCTGGCCCAGACTCGATTATTTACGGACTGCCGTCATATAGCTTAAATATTGCCGAGTGCGGCGTAAAACAACAAACAAACAAACTACCAAACACTTTTTTTTCTCTGTATGGTGATGTCATGTGATTTGATGTGATGTGATGCGAGGCGAGGTAGGGTTTTACCGATGGTTTTACCGAGTGAGGCGTTAAACGCAACAAACAAAAATACATGTCATGGTGATGGCCAGGATATTGCTGACTTCAGCTGTAAAGGAATATTCACTCATTCACTGTTGCCCCTCTCCTTATTCGGTCACTAAATATTCCCTGGAAATTAAGAGTTAGGGCGACAGGGGTTCACGAAGTGTAACTTTAGCAAGAAACTAGGAACATTTGGAAGTCCTAACTGATACACATTCAAAACAGCGTTCCAATCCGCGAAGATCCGGGTAAGAATATGTCTTCAGTAAAAAGAGACTGCGGTATGCTTGGCGACTAACGGGATCGGGTGGTCAGGCTCGCTGACTTTGTTGATGCATGTCACGTAGATCGATTCTCATGGTGTCAACCATTGGATTGTCGGGTCCAGACTCGATTATTTATTTACATACCACTGTCATATAGCTGGGATATTGCGGCGTTAAACAACAAACAAACAAACAAAACAGAGTTCCAATGTCTCAGATTCACACACGGCACTTACAACATCAACACGACAAAGGCAAGATTGCCACCGGACCGTGGTGCATATAATACCCTCTTAACTCTAAGAAGATTAAAATACCTGATTGTGTAATGACATTAGTGTATCAGATAAAATAATCCTCTCTTTGTTAAGAAAGGAGACTAATTAGATATAAATAGTCCTAAATCATACGTTTCCATGGTGATAATAAGAAACCCATTATTAATTACCTACAAGTACATGTAACCTTGTTCATTCTCGGCTCTTCATTATCGGATTAACCGTCCGGTTTCAGTCCTGACTGCCCATTGGGTAATTTGTCCGTTTCAACATGTTGACGCATATAAAGAACCTGTGTATATGTATAATTTTTATCAAATGGTTTGACACCCGTTGGTGACCGTCTCGTGTCATTTCAGGATTAGTCTTCTTGTAGGCTGGTTATGGACGGGCATGGTGACAAATTGTTTCATATCGTCTGGGGAAAGTGTTTTTTCAAACGCTGATAAAGTTTGGTAGAAGAAAGAGTAAATTTCCCGAATCAGGTTACAAATAGCGGAGATCATATACCGGTATATGGTCTCTGCAAATAGGGATCGTGAAGAAACTCAGTTTAATCAAAACTAGATCTTTCACTCCTATACGATACCTCTGTGCGTTAGAGAGGTATAGTATCCAAGCGAAACATAATATTTTAATGAGATTCGTAAAAAAAGTATGTGCAATGATGAATATATAGCTATGGAATTTAGAGCTGCATTGAAGACAATATGAATTGAACTTCTTTTTTCGTTATATAGGTTTTATACGATGTTTCAGTACAGACACAAGTAATTCCTCTATGAAGATCCATTGTCTTGATGAAGATACTTGTGTCTGTACCGGACAGATGTCCACATCCATAAGTTCTGTCTTGGGTGATAAATAAAACAAATTCACTCATCTATTCATCACTCTATTGGGGTTTTCGCAAAATTAGTGAACATTTTAAGATTTAGAAATAATGTTTTAGATGCATATATCTGTTGTAAATATAAAGGCTTGACTCGGAAAGTAAATTAGCTCGTAATTGTGTTTCGGAAATTAGCTCCTTTGTACGCATGCTGAAAAAGCTTCATTGGGTATTTACGCATGCTGCTTTTATACATTTGACTTTTTCATTTAATGCATGCGTTTCTGTACGCAAGTTCATTGAAAGTAATTGGGTTTTGAATATTTTTGGGGGGTATTTCACGCAAATACGCTTCTTATCTGTAGCTCTCTGTTATTAATTTTTTTCAGCACTAACCTCGTGCTCGTTTGTTTTACCAAAGTGGTAACGTCTGAGACCTGCATCACTTCAGGCTTTCCTCCCACATTGATCTGATATAACTGGAATCCTGTTCAAATCGGCGTTAAACCCAACTCACTCACCGACTCATTAATCATTGTAATACAATAGACCGGTATTATGAAATCTCATTAAAATCAGATCTTAGTTCTCGCTTCCGCTAAACAAAGATCTGAGGACATCCCATTACGGGTCACGTCAGAACGACCTTTCATCCAACCAATCAGAGCGTCGCTTACAAGATCATGAAAGTGACAGTCTGAATGTGTTTTCTAATTATGCAACCTCGAAATATTTAACAGAGGGTATTCTGAACGACAGTTACGGGTTTTATGATTATATCCATATAATCTGGACCAACTATAAGCCATTCCAGAATGATCTTTAGAATTAATCAAGAATACGTCAAAATATGTTTCGAAGCTTAGTCGCAAGTTTGAAACTAGTGTAGTAAAGCTCGAGAAAGCTGCCTTTTGATTGGCTAATGTCGATTTCTTGTCAGTCATTTCATTGATCGGTCAAAGTTCGCGAAAGGTCGTTCTGAAATGACCCGTAAAAGGATATCTTCAGATCTTTGTTTAGCGGTAGCGAAAACTAAGATCTGATTTTAATGAGATTTGGGTATTATGAAGTCACTAATCCTCCCGTGACGAGCAGAATAGGTTTCAGTACCGGATGTCTATTAACTAATGAGGACCTGGTGTTCACAATGGGTGACTTAGGTGAGGTGAAATACATGCACGTGTGGGTGTCTGCTTATACAGGTCCGGACTAATGCCGATTATATAGTACTAGCCCACTGAGATACCGTGCCACAGCTTTAATATGAATATCCCACACAGACGCAGTTTTCTGACTACGAGCCGACCAGTCCTTGTTTTAGCCCCTTAATGCCGAGAGCCATGCAGGGTAACAACAAGTACCATCTTTTAACGTCTTTTGGTATGACGCGGCCGCGGGGATCGAACCCCGGACCATCCGCTCTACCACAAGACCACGGAGGCCGTCTCGCAATCTATGACATGATTGAGTCGCCGTCCCTGATTTACAGGTTTTCCATCTTCCCGAGGCAAGGGAGGTAACTGACTTCAAAAGTGGAAACTAGTCAGTTACCTCCCTTGTCCCGAGAAGACGACGTCTTCATGAACGCTATTGTAGATGTCACTCATGACAGGGAGACATCCGTGTATTAATACTGAACAGGCGGCAGAGTGAGTCGTATATTGTAAACAATCAAATGTTAAATGTAACAATTAAACAAACAATAGATATCAGTAATGTTAATATCGGTTTTATTTTCTTGATTTACTTGTCAATGTATCTATTCCAATAAATTCCCAACGTGGACTGTATACTTTCTGGTAGAACAATCAGGTCTCATTCACAGTGAGGAACAGTTACAAATAACATAAGACACAACATCATAAAGTTTCTCTTCATACAAGGAAGTTGGTGCATGAACACTCATGCTAGAACACAACTCATAACAGGAATCAGTTCCAACGAAAAATGCAAAAATCGGAAGAGAATTAAACTGAAATGTCATGTTTTAATTTATATAGCGATGTAAACATTCTCGTTAAACCGCATGTTTCTCAATAGATCGTCCAGTTTTCCTTCTTCTATTCTGCTTAAACATGTATCTTAAAGAAGTCAAAGAAGAAAACTTATCGATCACAAATTATTCATGATACACGCGTACGTGCATGTACAACGATAACATTGGTCACCACTAGCCCCTTTCCGTAACCTGCAAATGACACGAGTTGGTCACGAATACAACGATAAGGGACCGATCATTTATTATTCGGGGGGGATGTTGAGCAAGAGGCTTTTGGTGCACTAATGTACTGAAAATAATGACCCTCCCCTAATGCTTGTGATATTTATGGATGACCTTCCCCTTGCCCTTGTACATTTTTTTCATGACCCACCCTTAATATGTATATTTTTTATGACCCTCCCAAAGAGACTATGGTGTTTATTTTTACCCTCTCCGGATTCCCAAAAAATATTAAACGCCCGGTCCCTAAAACCTTTTGGAAATAAATCATGAAAACGAAGGTGAAAATCTCTCAAACTGTTCCCCAACTGCTTTAAATGTGACCAAATTATTTAGGTGTTTAAAGTTTGTCGAAATAGTTCTCAAGAGGTGGTATCGAGGTGGTCATCTGTTTCCTCGAGCGAATGTCCACCACTTCCTGTCCAGCCCGTGACATTGGATCAGTGGGGTCACCCGGTAGTAGTTGCCAGTGGTCAAACAGGCATTGTGGGAATGCTTGACCACCTGTCTGGGCCCTCAACGCACTGGTGAAACCTGAGAGAATGGAATGGAGAAAATTAGGTTATTGGGCATAATATATTTAATATTCTATCTGATCTGATATTGATAATTAAAACATGGTATTGAGAATCAGTTTTTCTTAACTGACACTGGATTGGACTGTGAATCATAACGCTGCCTTCAGAGACAGGTGGTGTGTGTGTGTGTGTGTGTGTGTGTGTGTGAGTGTGAGTGTGAGTGTGAGTGTCTGTGTGTGAAAAGATGAAATATCAGGTTCCACCTAAAGAGGTGAGGTGAGGTGAAATGGGGTTTAACGTCGCGTCCAAGATTATTGCACTTATATAGCGACGTGCATGCACGTGTATGTGAGTGTGTGTGGCTGCTTGTACTAGTCCGGACTGATGCCGATTTATAGTGCTAGCACACTGAGATACCATGCCGCAGTTTAACATAAATACCCCACTCAGACACAGTATACTGACTCCGAGCCGACCAGTCCCTGTTTTAGCCCCTTAATGCCGAGCGCCAGACAGGATAACAACAAGTACCATCTTTTAACGTCTTTTGGTATGACGCGGCTGGGGATCGAACCCGGACCTTCCGCTCTCCGGGCGGACGCTCTACCATTAGACCACGAAGGCGGTCTCCATGTAAAGAGACAAGAACTATATGCATTGAAGCAGTGACCGAACGAATAATCTCTCTCTTACAGACATGTAAGCATCCGACCCCAAAACACACTTTACGTATAACAGTGTGTGAAAACGAAGCCTGGTTTTCAGTGTGATGTGTGAAGTTTGATCACAAGGACCTCCGTACTGAACACGAACCATGCACAGTTTTTAAGATTTGTGAAATATGTATTCGGTCTTCAACAACTCACCAAAAGACTCGTTGACCGGCAAGTGTGCTTTGATGGTGCACATAGGATTGCCCGGATGATGGGTCTCTTCAATAATCAGACCTCGTCTCTTGGCTAGCACATTGAAAACAGACCCAGCTACTGTCTCGTTACACTGCAAAAACAATATTAAAATCAATAATTAACGAAATCAATTTCCAGTTTTCAATTACACCACCACGCACTTCTCTTTCATGTAATGTAAACGACGGTTATAACGAACACGAAGGGACCACTTATTTTAGTTCGTAATAACCGTAGTTCGTTATAAGCATATATACAGCATTTATACAACAAATGGTCGGGACTGAAAAATATGTTCGTTATATCGGTCAATTCGTTATATGCGTGTTCGTTATAACCGTAGTTTACTGTATATTACATTCCAGTGTGAATTTTGTTTTATTGACTTCGAAACAAATATATGTGTTTTCCAAACTGGTGTTATTATGCCCGTGAGTATTCAGGGCTACCAAAGAAAAGCAGCAGACTATGGTTAAATCTTCGTGATTTGCTGTTTTGTTCCATTGACCATATGTCTCGAGTTAATTATTAACATTACGATGCAAACTTTATGGGGATTGTGTCTTTGTTTGTTCTTTGTATTTGTAGTGTGTACATATTCCATAGTGTGATAGCTCTCGACTGGTTTCCTTTGGTATGACTGAGGAACTAAAACTCACCTCGATACTGACGAGAAACACGGGCTCCAACAGCCTCGGTTTGGCTGTCAACATGGCGGCCATCATGCATCGTCTGGTGGCAGGGATGATCTGACCTCCACGTCTGTGACTTGGGTCACGATGGATGTTGGCGTCCACGATGTTGTACTGGACGCCACGTACCGTCTCTTCACAGAGAACACCCTCTGAGGACCCCCACTGGAAGCCAGCTACCACGCTATCCCGGATGTCTTGCAAGTACTGCACTGCTCGAGACTTGTCCACCAGCATGTTGGGACCACTTCCGGCGGGGCCGAAACTCCAGATTTTCCTTCCCTGGTTCAAATCAAAGTCGAAATGGTCGGCAAGATAACGCGCACGTTCCTTGCTGTCCTGGACTGCTGTCACTGTGTTCTGGAACAATATGATAGAACATATTGACACGCTCCACGGGTAGATGAAATAATGCTCATTCGACAAATGTAGATTACCTTTGTTGCTTTCATTGGACTGGGGTGGGGTTTCAGCCTCCTTTAGGAATAGAGGAGCAATGTCGTGGCCGTGCATCACACATTGTACCCATGATGGGAATCGAACCCTGGAGAATGTGCTACTGGTGTCACAAGTAGAATCTGAGGCGGTCGGGTAGCCCAGTGGTTAAACCTTTCGCTCCTCGCGCCGAAGACCCGGGTTAGATTCCCGATATGGGTACAACGTGTGAAGCCCATTTCTGGTGTCCCCCGACGTGATATTGCTGGAATATTGCTAAAAGCGGCGTAAAACCAAACTCTCTCACTCACTCACAAGTAGAATCTTGGGGTTCAGCAAGTTGGTAATTACACAAAGGACCTGTTTCACTTCGGGCTCTCTTCCCACATACAGCAGATCAAAACTAATATATATTGTTGAAAGCGCTCTTACCCAAACTATAGATTTTGTGTTGTTTAACGCCGCACTCAGCAATATTCAAGCTATACGACGGCAGTATATAAAGAATCAAGTTTGGACGAGACAAGCATGGATTGCTGCAGACCATTTCTAACTGGGATCTTTGCCAAACTAACTCACCCCTGACCAGTGCGCAGCGGGTGTCGTATACGGGTTGATGATAGGGGGTAAACCAGAATAATGGATGTCTGTAATTGGTTATAAATGTAATTAAGAAATTAAAGAATTTCGAGAGAAATTAAAGCAGTCAATGTCAATCCAATATTTCCCCTACCTCGTCAATCTCTTCAGCAAGTCCTCCCGGCATCGGCCCTGCAGTCATGTACAGCCGGCACAGCTTGTTGGAGGATTTGGCCAGGCACACTCTGTCGGACTCGGCGGTCACCGTCTCGCGGTAGCTTACAACAGGGTCGGATTTCTGCAACGGAATAATCAAGGTATCAGGAATAAGGGCACAATGTGTGAAATCTCTTGTTTGGGCGTGACCAGCGGTCGTATAAGGGGGACATTATTAAAGAGAGACTAATGAAACGGTTTTTTTCAAGGCTTCTTTTTTATGATGAATCAGTCAAAACCGGACTTTGACTAATCCGGATTAGATAACAGACCTCATATTTAATCCCAAACTTGCTTCATTGATTTAAGACCAAAAAAAATCTGACTAATCCGGACTTTCTTCACTCTGGAGTCCGGACATAAATTGTGGGACGACCGACTCGCCATGATGGGGGCCATGGGTGTTGTTGATAGGACGCCTGGTATACCTCTACTCAAAGTTTGTTTGTTTGTTTATTTGTTTATTTGTTGTTTAACGCCGCATTCAGCAATATGACGGCGATCTGTAAATAATCGAGTCTGGACCAGACAATCCAGTGATTGAAATGATGAGCATCGATCCACGCAATTGGGATAGGATGACATGCATCAACCAAGTCAGCGAGCCTGACCACCCGATCCCGTTAGTCGCCTCTTACGACAAGCATAGTCACCTTTTACGGCAAGCTTGGGTTGCTGAAAACCTATTCAACCCCGGATCTTCACGGTCCGTATACTCAAAGACGTATATAGATATGTACGTCTTTGGTATACTGAACGAACAAACGTTAGAGATGAATATGTTAGGGAACAATTTTATGAAATTGTAGTCTTCACTACAAAAAGAAATATCCCCAAAATTATTCATGATCCCTAACATTTTTGGTTCAGTACATGATAATACAACTCACCGTGATAGGGACACACGCGTGGTCCTTCTCCAGGTCCTGGAGGCAGATCTCCAGGTGGAGCTCCCCGGCCCCTGCCACGATGTGTTGCCCCTCCTCCGAGATGCACTGCACCATAGGGTCGGCCTTGGACAGCCGCTTCAGCCCCTCCACCAGGCGGGGCAGGTCGGCCGGGTTCACCACGTCCACCGCCACGCGCACCACCGGGCTCACGGAAAACTTCAGAACCTGAAACAAATAGTCACACTCAGCACGTTTTCGAAACTAAAGACTATCGTATGAAATACACAAACGCTGTGACTACAGGTATATGGTCATTTCAAGGGTCATATAGAATAGTAGTGTGCATGGCCACAGGCGTGTCGGGTGGGGTGGGGTGGGGTGGGGTGGGGGACGGGGTGGTGTGGCGTGGCCTAGCTAGTGATCGCTTCTCACTGAGCAGAATTGCTCAAGCTTCCCTTAAACGTTTGTCTCAGAATCCCAGATTCCACCCGACAATGGTCGATCTGTAGGCACCAAAGTGGTAAACGTCCTTCATGTTCTAATTATATATATAATACACACACACAAATACCACTGTTATGCATCGCCTGGGACTACAATGTAAGTTAAAGTTTTCATTACACCCGAAGAGCCGTTGAACGGCGAAAGATCTTGTGTGGATAAAGGAGTTTTGACAAGCACGAATTTATGGAAGATACAGTTTAATGCCGAATTTGTAAGATATTTTTGTTGCTATTCAACAGATGCCAGTTGAATCGTCAAGGGTATGTGGAACAGTGAGTGAATAGGTACGGTTCTACGCCGCTTTTAGCACTATTCCAGCAATATCACGGCGGGGGACACCAGAACTGGGCCTTACACATTGTACCCATGTCGGGAATCGAACCCGGGTCTTCGGCGTGACGAGCGAACGCTTTAATCACTAGGCTACCCGACGCCCTAAGTGGAACAGTGGGTTGACTGAGAGAAGACAGCAGTTTTACCTTGAGTTGGTGGGCCTGCATGTAGGTAGTTACGGTGCCTGTCTTCAGTAGGTACTTGTCAATGCCGACCAATCCCACCAGATTGCCGCACTGAACACTGTCCACGCGGAGGACAGTCCCACCCATCATTATGGCCGTGCTGCAAACATATTGACAGATAGATATATACATACATTGAAGTTTTAAAATAACAAGCCAAAAGTATCAGGAAAACTTTCATAAAGCACCATTTCAAGATTCCCAAAACATATTCAATTATTGTAGTTACTGGACCGCCTCCGTGGTCTAGTGGTAGAGCGTCCGCCCGGAGAGCGGAAAGTCCGGGGTTCGATCCCCGGCCGCGTCATACCCAAAAACATTAAAATATGGTACTTGTTGTTACCCTGTCTGCCGCTCGGCATTTAGGGGCTAAAACAAGGACTGGTCGGCTCGAAGTCAGTATACGGTGTCTGAGTGGGGTATTCATGTTAAACTGCGGCATGGTATCTCAGTGAGCTAGCACTATAAATCGGACTAGTCCGGACTAGTACAAGCAGCCACACACGTACATGCACGTCGCTATATAAGTGCAATAATCTTGGACGCGACGTTAAAGCCAATTTCACCTAACCTACTGTTTATGATTGTGATAACCTTCGCGTTTCCTTATTGCAGCTTCTTTGTTTGAGATGCGTTAAGCTCGTGGGACCTTTCACTTCAAACAAGCATATGATTAAAAATCTATATAATCCTAGAAAATTGGTTTGTCACAATTGTTATGCTTTACTTGTATTCGTATTATTCCTACCTGGCAATGTTCTTGTCGTAGAAATCTGTCTTCTTCTCAACGTTAGGGCTATAGTTGGGGCCCATTATGCGGACCTTTTGTCCTGTGAAGGCCCGGCCGGAGAACACCCTGCCGATGGCGTAGAAGCGGCCCTTGTCCGTTGACGGGACCATCTTGGAGACATACAGCATCAGGGGTGCCTCGGGGTCGCAGTTTTTCATTCCTGAATTAAAAGCAAACAATAGTGAGTGAGTCTGGTTTTACGCCGCTTTTAGCAATATCCCAGCAATATCACGGCGGGGGACACCAGAAATGGGAAAAGCAAACAATAAAAAAATCAGTCCAACTATACTCAATGAATGTTATAACGATGGTCTCGACCATACAATCAGCCCTTATAATAGGTATTTAAGTCGTCGATATAGGGCCAGATTAAAACCAATGTTTTAAATGTTCAAATGGATAGTGCGTTCCCTCCACATGTTTTGTTGTCTGGTTAACGTCGCAATCAGGAATATTTTAGCTATATGACGGTGGTCTGTAAATAATCAGACAATCCAGTGAATGACATCATGAGCATCGATCTGTTTGTAGAAGACAAAGACAATCCAGTGATTGACATCATGAGCATCAATGTACGCTTGTAGGAGACAAAGATTCTATTTCAAACATAAAACATATATGTTGGTGTCCTACACTCGCATTGCACTCTGCAACGTCAGCCAGCGAACAATTCCAAATACCATGAATAGAGATGGTTATGAATCGCTAGAGGCCCGTGAAGATCCGGGGTAGAATAGGTCTTCAGCAACCCATGCTTGACGTAAAGGCGACTATGCTTGTCGTAAGAGGCGACTAACGGGATCGGGTGGTCAGGCTCTCTGACTTGGTTGATGCATGTCATCGATCCCAATTGCGTGGATCGATGCTCATGTTGTTAATCACTGGATTGTCTGGTCAGACTCGATTATTTACGGACCGCTGTCACATAGCTGGAATATTGCTGAGTGCAGCGTTAAACAAGAAACAAACAAACAAAGACACAAACAAACAAACAAACAAAAATATGAATCTCCAGAAAGAACTTACCCAGCGCCACAACATCATCCTGGGGCCCTTCATAGAGCACTGCCGTCCTGTATCTCTGAGCGGTCACGGGGGACGGCAGGTGGGTGAGGATCATGTCCAGCATTGCGTCAGCGGCCGGCAGCCACTTCTTCATCATGCCACGCATGAACTCCTTGCCCTCCCGATCCATGTCTTCGGCCTTGACATTCACGCCAAGCTTCTCCAGAAGACTTCTCGTCTGCTCCTTGTCTCCAGCCTTTGCCAAGGACAGAACCTGGTGACAAATTGACAGATGTATTAATACAGTGAAACCTCGATGTTCTTGAGTCAATCGAAATGCACCGACTTATCCGTAGTTCGGCATAAGCGTTGCATCGCTATTAAACCATAAAACACTTACATTAAGATTCCGCAGGACTATTAACGAACATCGTCTTTAATGATATATCGAGTTCCTTTGATACCAGAAATCGTGGTTATCTGGTTAAGATAAAATCAAATAAACTGATATATACCCCTTTTCTTATTTTGATTCAAAGCTGTGGTAGAATAGTTTACAAACCTTGAACAAGGGCTCCACCACGAACTTGTTAAAACCCCTCTCTCCATTCTCTCCCTTTGCGGCGCGCCACCTCTTCGTCGTGGGGTCGTAGAAGTTTGCTCCCCACAGGCGGGACATCATCTTCTCCTCCTTAACACCGAACTTCTTGGCGTACATCCGGGCGAACTGCCGCAGGTTGAAGCCCCAGCCCTGCAGACCGGAGCCCATGGAGACGTTGCCCTTGGCAGGACTCAACTGCAGGACAAGGAATAGGGTGTCAACGCTTGAGTCAGGATTAGAGTTCCTTTGGCTTACTTAAACACTCCAAGGAGACATGCAGATTTTGATCAACGCAAGTAACATGTCAGAAAGGACACCAGGACGATTTGGAGTCCTTTCTGGAGATTCACAAACTGGTTGAATACATCCACATTTGCGTGATATCAAGATAAAAGACAGGTCAAGGGTCATGCCAACGCGCCTGTTTCAAGAAATTTCTTATTTTGAGGGACATAAAAACAGCCTAAATAATTATCATATGTAGGTCGAGATGGAAAAAATATTAAAACGATGGATGTTCCAACTGCAATATATTACTGTGGAAAGTAAGGATACGAATTTATGGATGAACAACTTCTTTATTACAATTTAAGAGCGACGTTTCGGTGTAGGTTCTAACACCGTTATCAAGCAAGTAATAACGGTGTTAGAACCTACACCGAAACGTCGCTCTTAAATTGTAATAAAGAAGTTGTTCATCCATAAATTCGTATCCTTACTTAGTACTCCAACTTCTAAATGCCTATCAAAGAAGTTACTCTAGAAAGTGTTTGGTTTCGAGTTGTGCTTCAGATCAGGTTACAAGTATGTATGAAGCGTGGTATTGCTGAAGGTGGCGTAAAACCATACTCATTCATATCAGCTACAGTGAAACCCCGTTAAATGTCCGGATAAACGAATCTTTGTTTGACACAAAGAAATGCAGTGTACGATCGTAGACTTAATAGAAGTATTGATGACATCGATTTGTTTGTGTCTGTAACATATTGCAATATATGCATTCCTAACTGATCCCTCACCATTATATCGCCCATGGTGGACATGGAGTCTTCATAGGTTGCAAGGATGACGTTGACATCCTCAACAATCTTCCTGAGCGTCTGGTACAGTTCTTCCGGTGCCAGCTGCGTCTCGAAGAACGCGCGGTCCAGCTTGTTCATCATCAACACCGGCTTGATCCGCTCCACCAACGCCTGCCTCAGGACAGTCTCAGTCTGGACACACACACCTGAGGACGAGGGGACACAGGCTATCTTACCAAGTCACGACCATTGGCTATGTATCAATAATATACTAAAGTGTCATAGGGGTGAGGTGAATTGGGTTTAACGTCGCGTCCAAGATAATGCACTTATATAGCGAAGTGCATGCACGTGTGTGTGTGTGTGTGGCTGCTTGTACTAGTCCGGACTGATGCCGATTTATAGTGCTAGCTCACTGAGATACCATGCCGCAGTTTAACATGAATACCCCACTCAGACACAGGATACTGACTCCGAGCCGACCAGTCCTTGTTTTAGGTCCTTAATGCCGAGCGCCAGACAGGGTAACAACAAGTACCATCTTTTAACGTCTTTTGGTATGACGCGGCTGGGGATCGAACCCCGGACCATCCGCTCTCCGGGCGGACGCTCTACCACTAGACCACGGAGGCGGTCAGTTTCATAGGGAAACTGAGATATTAGGACGTACTTTTCGCGTCAATATTGTTCGTTTATGTTGTTTAGAGACACGCTTTGCAATAGTTCAACCATATCACGTCGCCTGTAATAATCTCGTCTTGACCGGACAAACCAGTGGTTCATATTATGAGCACAAATTCAACGCTGTGGTGGAACGATGACACGTGTTCGTCTAATCTGGGCGACCCAATGCATTTTATCTTACGACAAGCATAGGTAACTGGGGACCAACACTATTCCGGAACCATCTGAGGTGCGACGGAGAAGACTGGCACCATGATTGATACACTATGGAACATTAATTCCGTGTCAGGTGTTTGGAAGGGGAGTAGAAATGTGGAATCTAAAGTATCTGAAGGGAGACCACTTACCACTGATGCAGTCGACCACGACCATTGCGCCGTCGGTGATGCGGAGCGCTGCCGTCACTTCAGATGAGAAGTCCACGTGACCAGGGGAGTCGATGAGGTTGACTACAAACAAGTTGTCAGCATCAGCGTTCACACCCGGCACATGCGACATCGTGTCCACGTCGACATCATAAAACAGGGAAATGGCGCTAAGAAATAAAATACATAAAATTACAATTATGTCACCATTATAGTGATATTTCTTTTTAGAAAGACTCCCCTTCCCCAAACTCGATCTATTTCTATAGACTTCACCAGTCTCCTTTTCATTTATTATAACAATCTGTGATTAATGCCTTTAAATCACCGACACAATAAACTATGCATAAAAAATCTGAGTGAGTTGGGTTTAACGCCGGATTTAACAGTATTCCAATTATATCGCGGCGTGTCAGCTTAATGTGAGAGGAAAGCCCGAAGTGATGCAGGTCTCAGACGTTTACAACTTCGGTGAAACCAACGAGCACGGGTATGGTGCTGACAAACCTAGAAACATAATCGGGGCGAACCGGGATTCGAACCCAGAATCATAGATGTCTGGCGTGCCCAAGGGACGCAACTCTGCACAGCGAATCTCAGCGCCTTAGACGACTATGCCACCCGTCCCCCTAAGCATTCTGAGGTTTTAATGCTATGCTCTCATCAATCTATGAATAATATACTCACGTTGACTTGATGGTGATGCCCTTTTCCTGTTCATCAGCCCGTGTATCTGTCGCGTGTTTTTCCCCCGCCTGTGTTCCTGAGATCACCCCTGCACGTGCTAGCAGGGAGTCGGTCAAGGTCGTCTTGCCGTGGTCGACGTGGGCGATGACGGAGATGTTGCGGATGTTGTCTCTCCGCTCCATCACTTGCATCTTCTGCTCGGTTGTAAGGATCACCTGAAAAAGCAAGAAAGGATTTTTTTTCGAATCATGTCGCTATTCAAACAACTTTGTACCTTAGAACCATATGGAGAAAATTTTCCAGCCTCAATGAATGAAGACAACAGAGCTCCACATAACTTTTTGAGCAACTGATTTTTTACTCAAGATTTTCTATTTTAATTGGGTTATGACATTTTTCATTGGGTAACCAATATTTTTTCACTCATCTATTCATCTATTTTTTCCCAAAAAAGGAGTGAACATTTTCAGGTTTAAAAAATAATAATAATTTTTTAGGTGGATATAACTGACACCGAGAGTAAATTATCTCGTAATTGTGTTTCGGAAATGAACTCCTTTGTACGCATGCTGAAAAAGCTTCATTGGGTATTTACGCGGGCTGTTTTTATACATTTGAGTTTTTCATTTAATGCACGCGTTTCTGTACGCCAGTTAATTGAAAGTAATTGGGTTTTGAATATTTAAAAAAAAAGATTTTTTTTTTTTTTTTTTGGGGGGGGGGGATTATTTCACGCAAATACGCAGCTTATCGGTAGCTCGGAGACAATATGCATCCCCTGAATAAATTGAAATTCCTGATTCTATAACATAGGCACACCCTATTATTAACATAACAGCACTACATACTACTCGTTATAATAGGTGGGGATGGGGATACGGGGGAACATAACAACAATGTTTTGAGGTGACCCATAAAATATTGCCTAGTGCGTCACAAATATCCTTTAACAAATCCTTTTATAATGGTTTAAGAATGTAGGTCAAAGAACAATGTGTTAAGTGTGCTATCGATATTCTCCCTTTGCCTAGTGAAGCATGGCACCGCCGTCAGATAGCTGGAACATTGTTGAGTGCGGCGTTAAACAACAAACACACTGAAGCATGGCGCGTATATTAATGCATACGGACACTGATCATCATTCCGTGTGCGACATACGCTTGCAGTCGGAAAGCGCACGTTAAATCTCCAGTATAAGTAAGTAATGATCATCATGGAAGGTCAGGATCGTTGTTCATTAACAGATTTGACAAAAAATGGTTTCGAGTATGACTCGTTTCTCTTTGCTAATGCTAAAGTTACACACATTTCAAATATCTATTGTCTTGGCAAATGCGATTTGTCAATATTATGGTAATAAAAATGAGATAAGATATCAATCTCGTGAATTATACATCTTTCACATGCACAACATTATAACATAAGTAATTTTACACACGTGTAACTATACATACGTGTGTATATGTAAATTTACTAAGCGTTCACATGAAAAGCATCTTAGGTGTGTAAATAAAGTATGTAAATTGTGTAAGGCACACATATTCGTCAGTCTGTTCACGACTTTCAACACAAAACAGGTTGTTTTCCAATCAAAGTTGAATGAGAAGAGAGTTACTTCACCAACAATTTTCGCGTGAAGCAACATGTGTTTGATTTTATTTGTACACAAAGTTTTGACTCCGTGAAACCAGATGAAAACACCGTCCGCTCAACTCTGTATATATGCATAAAAGTTGGCAACTGTTGACAATTTGTTTGGTGTTGGCGAAAGAACAGATATTAATTAGATCATCCTCTTACGTTGACATAAACGTTCACATTGCAACATATACGCACAGTGCATTTTTACATTTACACCTGCTCCAGACATGATGCAGATTTGCTCCTGGTGTAAATATACACACATGTGTAAACGCGTTCACATGACAAGTATACTCACGTATGTATTTCTACACACGTATGCACATATACACACATATGTATAGAGGCGCATGTGAACGGGGTTTTAGTGACTGAGTGATTGAGTATTGTTTTACGCCGCTTTTAGCAATATTCCAGCAATATCACGGCGGGGGACACCAGAAATGGGCTCCACACATTGTGCCCATGTCGGGAATCGAACCCGGGTCTTCGGCGTGACGAGCGAACGCTTTAACCACTAGGCTACCCGACCGCCCCTGAACGGGGTATTAGTATTCCAGCTATGTGATACCTCTACATAAGTTCTCCATTAAAATGTAATACTTCACCTCCAAAAAGGTGAGAAAAAAAGTAAAGCAAGTAACAGTATTTAGTTGTTTTTTCTCAGAGATAGGTCCATTATGAAAGATTCCTGGACCCATATACAGTATACTTCATATCGAAGCGAAAACACACATATAATTTTTTTCGAGAGAAAATCAATAAATAGAAAAAAAACATAAATCATTAGCTGCACATTAATACAAAATATTCTAAATAGCTGTACAAAAATATAACTTACCATGTTGATGGTCTTTTTCTCGTCCCGGAGTGCCTGCGGAAATCTGTAAGAATTAATCTCGAGCGCGGTGCGCCTGTCTGTTAAAGATCACATCTCTAATGACGGCCCGGGGAAGGCTCAAGCCTTATATACCGCCTGGCAAGCGGATTGCGAAATTTGCTTTTCCAGGCGAGTGTATTTCACAATCACCCGTCTGCCGACAAGCGTAGTGGCTATAAATAGCAACGTATGTAGTTTGTTGTGGAAGCAACTGGAACATTTTCTGAAACGCAGTATAGGCAAGCCGTGCTGAGGCGAGTGTATCTCGGCATCACCAGTCTGCCTTGTCATCCGTCAGCTTTTAAGTAATGCCTATCAAACAATTCAAGCGTAGCTGCTATTAATTAGCAACGGAGGTCGTTTGTTGTAGAAGCCACTGGACAGTTTCAAGCTGCGTTGAAATATAACTGACAGTTTGTTTGTTTGTTGTTTAACGCCGCACTGAGAAATATTCCAGTTACATTACGAAGGTCTGTAAATAATCGAGTCTGGACCAGACAATCCAGTGATTGATGTCATGAGCATCGATCCACGCATTTCGGACACGATGACATAAATCACAGGACAATGCATCTATAATAATAACAAACTCGCAGACGAGACCGAAGGCCAAGTTTGATGTTATCATCATCGTCGTCCACATCATCATCATCATCATCATTATCATTATCATTATCATTATTTTCATCATGGTACTTAGAAAACTTGAGTGGACGCAGTTCAATGTAACTAATTATATGTCAATTAACCCAGATGAATTAATACTAGTAATTAGTTGCAGCAGGACTGTTTGGTGGATTTCAACTTCTATATTTATTGCTTAACGAGTGGATGGTGCATAGTTACAATCAACTACCATGCACGTGGGATCTTGTTTTGCTACCCATTAAAACGCTTTTGGTGAAGGTACACAAGCACATGTGAATCGTCGCATTTTTAAGAAATGTTAAATCTATAGGTCAATCATGTCTTCCTGATAGTGCAGCCTTTAAATACCATTTAAAGATATGGCTTGCCTTATATATCAAACAACGTATACAACCTATTTCGAGAAGTCAACAATTGGAAAGAATAGTGCACACTGGTTAGAGAGGACATATTTATATTTGAGAATTTAAATTTGATGATGGTGAACTTTCTCCTGACAATCCAACACCACAAGCTGTCATTGTTGGTACATATCAGTGAAAAGACTATGTTTACATATTTGTCATATTCTCATTATTGCCACTGTTTCACCTTGACACACATAACACCTATTTTTTTTTATTGTAGCAAGCCATTTATTTCTTGAAAATGTTTAATAATAGACAAACAATATGATTACCAAACTTCAAATTGCAGTGACAATAATTCATTAATGCAGACTATGTTTAAAACTAGTGTACAATGTTGTAGTGCATTTGCCTTTAGGTTTGCGCAGTATCGTTAATATTCAAAATCGTGACAGATGGGATAATAGATAAATAAACAGCACAAAGAGAATCTGTTGAGAAAAATAAACTCTGAAACAGACTATAGATTGCATGGTGTTGCGAAATCGCGGTTTGACTGGTCTACTGTCTGTCTATGGCTTTAAGCTCCACGCAGCGATATTTCGTTGCCCGCGCCTACTTTATTGAGAGGATGGTGGGGCTTTCACGCAATGCTATGGAGATTTTGATGAGTGTAGCGTATATCTAAATGCGCGTATCACCAACATAACCAGATGAAATCGAACGGGCAGGTTAACTGGTATCGTTACTGAAATGCGCCCGCTTCTTTGCGCATTTTAAGATTTAGTAGACACGAACCTAGTTTACAGAATGACGAAGTTGGAGTTACACCCCCTGGCGTAAAAATGGAGACTTGACAACAAGTAAACAACCTACGAAAGTTGGAATAAAGGGACTTCGGTTGAAATTATGGTTGGAGCTTTACACATATTTCTATGTAATTATGTATGATTATATTTAATATAACTGACACTTGCCGAATCGTTGGTTCATGGACCCTTTTCATTTGTTTGACAACATTCAATGAATGATTCATAATTTTATTTTTTTAAATCTTACAAGCTGAAAGAAATATGCAGGATAATAATGACTTATCAGTTTTTAGTCCCACTGCTTGGACCTATCGTCTCTAATCTTAGAGATAGTGACGTCATGTTTTATTAATGACACTGCCAGGTTTAGTGACTGTTTAATTCTCATCTAGTTGCTTAACTTCGCCTGATTTGTGACCTCTGCACTGTGCACAGGACCACGTGGCACCACGTGACCTGTATACAAACTGTTTGAATTATCCCTAACACTTGTCGTGGGTCAACAGCTTACAGAAAGTATATAATCACTATGTATATCGATACATTTCAACCCATGCGAATAAAGGTTAAGACAGCCCCAAATTGGCACTCTGCCTTAGAATTGTTTTTTGTTTGTTTGTTTGTTGTTTTACTCCGCACTCAGCAATATTCCAGCTATATGACCATTGTCTGTAAATAATCGAGTCTGGACCAGACAATCCAGTGATTGACATCATGAGCATCGTTCCACGCACTTGAGATACGATGACATGTATCAACCAAGTCAGCGTGCCTGACCACCTGATCCCGTTAGTTGCCTCTTATGACAAGAATAGTCGCCATTTACAGCAAGCATGGGCTGCTGAAGACCTACCCTGGATCTTCTTAGAATTGGTACCTGGCAACCTATGCTGGCCATATGGATTAGATGGTCACGTATGACTCAGGATCAGTGACTTGGTTGATTGCGTGCCTTCGTTACGCTGAAGAAGTGGATCGTTGCTTAGAATATCAATCACTGGATTGTCAGGTCCAAACTAGATTCTTTACATATGGCTGGAATATTGCTGAGTGGGTTAGCAACAACAACAAAAATGGTTACATCTATGTTAGCACTAAGATAGTTTCATCAACATGCGTTGAAAGACTGATCTAGTGTTTATCTGTTGCAGGGGAACGCCAGTTCGGCATTGACAGAGGCCCAACAACGAGAACTGGCACAGATAACTCCATGTAAGTTTTTGGTGAGTGTGTGAGTGAGTGAGATAGTTTTTATGCCACTTTGGGCAGTATTTCATTCATATTTTGGCATGTCAGCTTGAAAGCCAAAAACGATGCAGTTCGTAAATCATTCACTACTTTAGTGGTAGTGTAATGATAATTATGTCCTCTCATAATGAGCTAGCCTCCATGTAGCAGTTCATGCTGAAAGCGCTACATTATTACCCCGGTCAATGGAATAGTGAGCACTCGATTTTCATTCTCAGCTCCCTGGAGAGTATACAACCCAAAGCTGCCTGTAAGGCGCTAGAAGGTTACAGCCACATTACCATCTCGCCTGAGAGTGGATGGTGGGTGGTTCAGTCCCTGATCATGTCATTCCCCACATGACCACTGTCCATATGACCACTGTCCACATGACCACTGTCCACATGACCACTGTCCACATGATCACTGTCCACATGATCACTGTCCACATGACCACTGTCCACATGACCACATGATCACTGTCCACATGACCACTGTCCACATGACCACTGTCCACATGACCACATGATCACTGTCCACATGACCACTGTCCACATGATCACATGATCACTGTCCACATGACCACTGTCCACATGACCACATGATCACTGTCCACATGACCACTGTCCACATGACCACATGATCACTGTCCACATGATCACTGTCCACATGACCACATGATCACTGTCCACATGACCACTGTCCACATGACCACTGTCCACATGACCACTGTCCACATGACCACATGATCACTGTCCACATGATCACTGTCCACATGATCACTGTCCACATGACCACATGATCACTGTCCCCATGATCACTGTCCACATGATCACTGTCCACATGACCACTGTCCCCATGATCACTGTCCACATGACCACATGATCACTGTCCACATGACCACTGTCCCCATGATCACTGTCCCCATGATCACTGTCCACATGTTCACTGTCCACATGATCACTGTCCACATGACCACATGATCACTGTCCCCATGATCACTGTCCACATGTTCACTGTCCACATGACCACTGTCCACATGACCACTGTCCACATGACCACATGATCACTGTCCACATGATCACTGTCCACATGACCACTGTCCACATGTTCACTGTCCACATGATCACTGTCCACATGACCACATGATCACTGTCCCCATGATCACTGTCCCCATGACCACTGTCCACATGATCACTGTCCACATGACCACATGATCACTGTCCCCATGATCACTGTCCCCATGATCACTGTCCACATGATCACTGTCCACATGACCACATGATCACTGTCCACATGACCACTGTCCACATGACCACATGATCACTGTCCCCATGATCACTGTCCCCATGATCACTGTCCCCATGATCACTGTCCACATGACCACTGTCCACATGTTCACTGTCCACATGATCACTGTCCACATGACCACATGATCACTGTCCACATGATCACTGTCCACATGACCACATGATCACTGTCCACATGACCACTGTCCACATGACCACATGATCACTGTCCACATGATCACTGTCCACATGATCACTGTCCACATGACCACTGTCCACATGTTCACTGTCCACATGATCACTGTCCACATGACCACATGATCACTGTCCCCATGATCACTGTCCCCATGACCACTGTCCACATGACCACATGATCACTGTCCACATGATCACTGTCCACATGACCACTGTCCACATGACCACTGTCCACCTGACCACATGACCACTGTCCACCTGACCACATGATCACTGTCCCCATGACCACTGTCCCCATGACCACTGTCCCCATGACCACTGTCCCCATGATCACTGTCCCCATGATCACTGTCCACATGATCACTGTCCACATGACCACATGATCACTGTCCCCATGATCACTGTCCCCATGACCACATGATCACTGTCCACCTGACCACATGATCACTGTCCCCATGACCACTGTCCCCATGACCACATGATCACTGTCCCCATGACCACTGTCCCCATGACCACTGTCCCCATGATCACTGTCCCCATGATCACTGTCCCCATGATCACTGTCCACATGACCACATGATCACTGTCCCCATGATGACTGATTCATTCCAGGCTCTAAAGTAATTATCTAATGCACAGTACAGACACCATTTTCCTTCTTTACAGGACCCTCATATTGTCTGCAAGGGCTCTTAAAATTATTTGTTTTGTAAGTCAAGGTAAAACCCTGCAAACCAAGGGACATAATTGTGGGAGAATCAAGGCCTTACAGCCATGATCAGAACCTCATAACTATTTTTAGGATCCTGTCAATATGAATTTGATATTCAGCTTAACTTGTCCCGTCTGAACAAAAACGTACTGATGATATGTTTTTATTTATTATTGCTCCTGGCCAAACTCTTTATCTATAAATGTCAAATTTTGAACCCCATGAACTTAAACACTTTCAGCTCTATTTTTTGAATAGATAAAGAGAAAACAAGCTAAGCTTTATACCAAGTAGATGTTGTATCTTGGTATTCATGACAACCATTGTCTTACCTATGTAACTCCACCCCGTGAAAATTTTTGGGTAGAATAGGTCTTTAGCAACCCATGCTTGCCATAAAAGGTGACTATGCTTGTCGTAAAAGGCGACTAACAGGATCGGGTGGTCAGGCTCGCTGACTTGGTTGATGCATGCCATCGATCCCAATTGCGTTGATCTATGCTCATGATATCAATCACTGGATTGTCTGGTCTCGATTATTTAACAGACCGCCGTCATATAGCTGGAATATTGCTGAGTGCGGCGTTAAGCAACAAACCAACCAACCAACCAACTTATGTAATTCTTATTTTAAAAGGTAAAATGACCCTACAGCTTGTCATCTTACTGCTTAGAGGCCCAACTGCAAGAGATGTCATGAATTCAGATTGACTTGAGGATTTCAACTTTTTATTATTTCAATGGGACATTTTGGTACGTGCTTTTATGAAATCAAATCAAGCACAGAAGTTGAAATCCATGTCACCACTGCCTTAGTTAAAGGGGAAGTGTACACGCAAAAATCACTTTCTTTCTTTTTCTAAACAAAACGCAATTTTAGAATTAGTTAGTATCTGTGTTTGAAAATATACACTCATTTTTTTCACAGTGAAAGTAGGAAGCTCACAATAGTGTGAAAATGATATGCCGTTATGAGGCCTTCGTTTTTCGAGCTAAACAGGCCTGAGTTATCCCCCTTAGATTATGACGTAATTGGTGCCAATTCAACTTGGTCCCTGTCTATTCTGAACGCAAAAGATATCAAGTACAAGTTTTCGGTAAAACAACATGGCCTACGACACACTCCGGCGCAGTGGTGACTCAGCATAACACTATGCTGGCTGGCATCTGAGACGCTAGAATCACACACCTGTACCTACACCACGTGAAGCGGCTCTAACAAAGCATGATGACGTCATAATGTTTATCAATTGGCACCAATGACGTCATATTGCAAGGGGCATAAGCCATGGTGTTTTTGTTATGGAAATAGAACACTTGGTAAATGTGAAAAATATAAATCGTTTTAATGCAAAACATATGTTAATTAATTGTGATATTTTTATATTTTTGTCTATGACACTTCTAGGTTAACACTTTTATTGTGGAAAAAGTACAAGTAAATTAGGTTCATTTCCGTGTGAACTTGCCCTTTAATATCACAACTTCGACAGAGCCATTTAGAGAAAATACAACTGTTTCAGTCAAACAGCGAGATCTCGAGCGTCTGTTGAAGCGTTACGCCGACTATGACCCATCGGAGAGAGGTGTTCGTGGGATCACATTCGATGTATGTGTCACTATTCCTGAGTTTTGTGGGAACAAGTTTGTCCCTAAGGTGATCGCAAGCTACCAGGACTCCAGCTCAAAGAAAATCTTCCCCAAACAGTTCCTGCTGATTTGTGCCGTCCTCAGCTCAAAGACACCTCCACAGAAAAAGAAAGAGTGTAAGATTACAATTGTTGTTGTATGAGAATATCCATATACAAAGCCATACACTCACAGCAAGCAGATGATACAACACATGGATAAAATAAATAAATACAAACACATAAGAACTATGTTAGTTCATTACAACTGATTTTCGTTTTTCATAAGCATATAACGTATTCGACGTAATAAGCACCCAGGGCGCTCTCAAAATTAGAAATGGGGGCTCTTATTAGAATATTATTTTGGTGAAAAAACCAGAGTTGAAAGATAAATATCGTGGTTTATACTGACAGCCTGAAATGTTTATGTACGACAGATCTATTTTTCCAGAATTTAATTGCCAATGATGAAGGGTGCATATAACACACGAGTGCGTATTATACGCGAATAGGGCTAGGAAGCTGTGCGTATTATATGCGAATAGGGGTAGGAAGGGGTGCTAATTGGGATTGTTCACTAGCCAATATATTAGCAAATCTTGACGCTTATTAGAGCGAGGCGCTTATTACATCGAATACGGTATTAAGTAATGTGATATATCTTTGTGTTGTAAGTACGAGGACGTATCGAAACGTTTTGTGTCTGGGAGACACTGAACTAAATATTGTGGGCCGTAGTTATTTTTTAACATAATCCCCTTGCAGTTCAAAACCCGTGAAGAACCGGGGTAGAATAGGTCTTCAGCAACCCATGCTTGCCGTTAAAGGCGATTATGCTTGTCGTAAGAGGCGACTAACGGGATTGGGTGGTCAGGCTCGCTGACTTGGTTGATGCATGTCATCGATCACAATTGCGTAAATCGATGTTCGTGATGTCAATCACTGGATTGTCTGGTCCAGACTTGATTATTTACAGACCACCGTCATATAGCTGGAATATTGCTGAGTGCGGAGTTAAACAACAAACATACCAACCAACCTTGCAGTTCAATACACAATTCATCTGTTCTCCAGAGCCCCATTCCACAAAGTGCTACGAATGTCGAATGTCGTAAGTCTTTTGCTAAAGTATGGAAGGTATGGTCGTCTTAGCGCTACGATTGCTTTGTGAAACGGGGCCCAGTTCAGTTATCCCTTGTTCGTAGAAGGTCAAATCATGGTCTATCAACCAGCCTTACACCATCTTCCCAAGGTAAGGGAGTTAACTGACTTTAAAAGTTCAGTTTCCACCCTTGCTGAACTTGGCTGGAATTCCTGGGCTCGATTGTAGCGCCACCAGTGGCTATTACGAGTTATGTCCCTTTAGCCTCTTCTATGGACCCATCAGATTCCACCTCTCATATCACTTGCATTTGTTTAAAACAAAATGGCGGTGCCCAGACAAGACCATCTGATCAATGATCAAGATCTATATTGTGATAAAACTGGTCTTACACCGCAAAGTGCATCATATCATGCGAGCACCTTGATTAAAAACATGAAAAGACTTGGAAAATATCTCTTGACAACGAGTTGGCGGTGCACATGCTTTGCAAATACTGCAATCGACCGAAATCTGCATGACAGTTAACTAACTGGATTTCGATTTCATTGCACGATTTTGATTGGACTATGTATAGGCTCATTAGTCCAGCCAAAATGTAACTCCATAATACCAGCCTAGTTCGGCAAGGGTGGAAACTGGACTTTTATAGTCAGTTACCTCCCTTGCCTTGGGAAGATGGCCTTCCACAGCAACAACCAGTTCTAAGTCCTATTAATACTCTGACCACACAATGGTTTTCAACATCAAATAACGGTAGGTGGCCAGTTGGGGACAAATTTAGTGAATAAGGTGGATGTGGTAGAAGCTGGTATCCATGTTTCCAGGAACAGAGTATCCTCAAATATACTGAAACACTTTGAAAACGCATTTTCGAAATTTGAACTTGACAAAATGGCCACAAAATCAAATTAACTTGTGCTGGGTATTTAGGTGTGAGGTAATCAAACAAACAATGTCCCAGTTGACACAAGCAATGGCTACTATGTATGGGGCATTTTTAAAGAATACTTAAAGATTCATCCAGATGTTGATCAGGGGGTGCTCATTGGGGAGGGGTGGGGGGGCTTAATATGGTGAATACGGTAAAGCAGAAACAATGTACTGATGGGTATCAGGTGTATGCACTATGTTGTAATATAAGGGGTGTGTTGGAAATGTTTGTAGGGCAACAGTTTTCCAGTGGCAAAAATCACAGGCTGCCTGTTCCACAAAGCGTTTGAAGCGCTACCACTGTCGTAAGTCTATGTTAAAGTATGGAAGTTTCGATCACCTTAGAGCTGCTATCGCTTTGAGTCCACAGGGTCCTAGGTGTCAGTTTTCTGGGGTTCAGTTCCCTAGAATGAAACACATGTGTTTGTGTGACTTCAGATCTGTTCGACATGTTCGATGTTTACAAGACGAATGTGTTCACTCATGACGAAATGTTCCGCATCTACAAGACACTGCTGGGATCTACTGTCACTGACGACGTCATCCTTGACCTCACATTCCGGGCACTAAGGCACCCTGACCTTGTGAATGAAGGAGAGATAACAAAGGAAGAATTTGTCAAAGTGAGTTGCACATTACTCCTTGTGTTTGTTTGTTTGTTTGTTGAACATTACACTCAACAAAATGCAGCAATATGACAGCGGTTTGTAAAGAATTGATTCTTGACCAAACAATCCAGTGATTGACATCATGAGCATCGATCCACGCAATTGGGATACGATGACATGCATCAACAAGTCAGCGAGCCTGACCACCCGATCCCGTTAGTCACCTCTTACGACAAGCATAGTCGCCTTTTACGGCAAGCATGGGTTGCTGAAGACCTATTCTACCCCGGAATCTTCACGGGTTTCTCCTTGTGACCAGTTCTGTACCTTTCAGCAAGTGAATGGCATGTATACTGATGGGAAGAAGTTATGCAACGTATGTGTAATTGAGACTTGATCAAGGACGTAGATTTCAGTGATCCATATTGACACAAGTAGCCCAGAGGTCTAAGGTGCAACACAGGCTGAGCAGAGTTGTGTCCCTTGTGCCATGATGTGTAAATTGTCGACTGAGTTGAGAACTCTCCTTATTATGAATAGTTAGTATTAGGCTAAAAAGAATAATAGCCTTGGTTCTCAGGCACCGCAAGCATCATCATAAAGTTGGCCGCATGTTTCGTTTTTATTTTATTTATTTAAAAAAAAACAACCCACCAATCTTTAAATATTCCAAGTCCAACGGTAGTCAAATACTGTGTTCCAGTAGTTTACTTATCAAGGAATACATTTATGTAGGGAGGCCCTCTCCAGGTCAATTGTACACAATTGTTTATTGATTACGCAACTGTTTATTGGTTACATACTAGTTTGAAAAAAAAGACAAAAAAAGACACTGCCCGCCCGCACTATATTTAAAAAAAACATTGCCTGAGAACCAGTGCTTTTATTTTTTAAAGGCTGCACAACTATTGTGGTACATTTGTGGAAATATCATGGTTTGCAAGTCACAGTGACCCTTGTCCAATGTAACACTTATTTTAAAAGGTTAAGTTTCCCTGTAGCCATGCAAACCTAATGTCCCTAATCAGTTACTTATCAGTAACGAATTGACCAATGCCCTCCCCCTAATAAATGACCAATCCCCTCCCCCTAATAAATGACCAGTCCCTTATGTTGTCTTGTTCACCGTAATATAAAAGCTTGATCTTGACTATTATGATTATACATTATCCTTTTTTCAAATGTCTTTAATTCAATGCTAAGGATGTTTTTTCAGTTGATTCCTGACAATGAAATCATGCAGCGGATGACAGTGGACCTCTAGAGTCCATGAGAAATATCCTTGCTACCTTGAACCAAAGTCCCCATCAGGATACGGTGTGATGTTGAGCCTGATCCACCCAGTCACTGTGCCAGAGTGAGTGAGTGAGTGAGTATGGTTTTAAGCCGCCATTAGCAATATTCCAGCAATATCACGGCGGGGAACACCAGAAATGGGCTTCACACATTGTACCCATGTCGGGAATCGAACCCGGGTCTTTGGCGTGACGAGCAAACGCTTTAACCACTGGGCTACCCGACCGCCCCTCACTGTGTCAGAAGATGGGGCTCAAGTCTGAGACTTGCCAGATAGGAGTGAATGGATAAGTTGTTTTCAACACTGCTTTGAGCAGTATTTGAGTTATATCATGGCACTGGATTCATATTGGAGAACAGCTCAAAGTGACAGAGTCACCGGTCACCGAGTGAGTGAGTGAGTGAAGAAGCGAGGGTAGAACAGCTCAAAGTTGGACAGAGTGTAGATGTCTGCTCACACATTATTCCACAGAGTTAGTGAGTGAGTGAGTGAGTTTGGTTTTACGCCGCTTTTAGCAATATTCAAGTACTATCATGGCGGGAGATACCAGAAGTGGGCTTCACACATTGTACTTATGTGGGGAATTGAATCCGGGCCTTTGGTGTGACGAGCGAACGCTTAAACCACTGGGCTACCCCACTGCCCAATTTGGTTGAGTGATTAAAACGAGTACACACAAACTATTTTTTTCATCAATATTAAACATGAAAATAACCAGATGTTTTATGTTTTTATTCAATATGTCTCTAGTATAACTGATGTATAATTCAGAATCAAGTTGTTATTCAACAAAAACACACAAAAAACCATAGTACCTAACTACACATATTTTGAACATTGCTAAAGACTGTCAGGACACAGTCAGTGAAAGTACTTGATGATTGTGTATTGTGGTAGATGAAAACCCTGACACGACAAAATGACCACCACTAGTATGTGATGACAGTATTTTGTTGGCAACATGTTTCAACGACTAGATTTGTACTGTAAACATCTGTGTATAATGCAGCTTGAAAAATATTTCAGTCCTATCACAATTGTCTTAATGAAAAGTATGTCCTTGATGTTTCCCTTGTCAATGTCAACAATGCAGCAGATCCTGGCAGCTAAGGGGGGTAACTCTATACAAACTGTGTCTTGGGCCACCAGTGCTACCCTGTTTCATACATTCATTAGGATTTGAAAATTGTGGTACAAAAATTATTTTCACTCATTTTATTTGGTGATCCACTGATGGCCCAGTGGTCCCAGGTGCTCATCTTACTGTGCAGAGTTGTGTCCCTTAGCCAATCAGGATCTGCTTGTATTTCAATCTGTGGTCATGGGTTAAATGTCAGTTTGGTCTTTCAGCACCACAGCTGTGGGTTTCCTCAAAGTGACAAACTTGACCTGTGTTAATTATGACTTTCGTCCCCAGTTATGCCATTATACAACTGAAATTCTGTTCCAAAAGGCCATACACCCAACTCACATACTCTCTAGGCTGTTTTGTTTCACAAGGACCAGTATACAAAATGTCAAACACTCTTTGAAACTCTGTATATTAAACTCTGTATAAATAACATCACACGTAAGCATATGGTGGGATTACAAGGAGCACCAATAAGTTCAACATTATGCTTGTACAGACCACATGAAAATAACTAAACATGAGACGGTAACAAATTATTGGATGTTCATCCCAACCAACCAAACACCCTGCCTCACAATCGGTTATCCAAGTACCTTCAGCTGAAGATGGGGGCACAGTGGCCCAGTCGTCTTAGGCGCCGCCATTCGGGACGCAGAGTTGTGTCCCTTGGACACGCCAGAAACCTATGATTGTGGGTTCAAATACCTGGTCGCCCTGATTATGTTTCTAGGTTTGTCAGCACCATACCCGTGCTCGTGGGTTTCACTGAAGTGGTAAAAGTCTAAGACCTGCATCACTTTAAGCTGACACGCCGTGATATGACTGGAATACTGTTAAAAGTGGCGATAAACCCAACTCACTCACTCACTCAGCTTAAGACAATTGCTACACTTGTGCCTGCCTTTATTATAGTTCATACAATGTATGTGTTGTGCACTAAACATTCAGGCATTCATGAATCGCATCCATTGACAGTAAACAGTTTTTTAAAGAAATTACAAACCATTATAGTAAATGCTTCCCTTCTAGCATTTCTGAAAATTTGGATGAAAATGTCATAATTTATTTGGCATAACACCTATAGTCCTAACTCACTGCATCAACATTAGTAATTAGATGCAAGAAATGTTTTAACCCTTTTATAGCTGATTCACTTCTGTTTGTTTTTTGTTGTTACAAGTACTCCACATATTAAGTGTAATATGAATCCCAAATAATATGCGAGCATTTCACGATTGAAAGAAAACAAACCTTTGTTACACAAGGAGGATTTTAAAAAATAATTTTGGGTTTGAAGTCTTCTAAATTGGACTGCCCATTAGGCATTTTACTTGCCACGGGCTAACAAACAATTACAATGTATAGCTTACTATTTGATAATAAGTCAATGAAAGAGAATACACACATTCTACTTCAATGGAAGTCTCCCACTCTAACACCAACACCAGGTCACACAGTTATTGCTAAGGAATAATGAGCTCTGCATAGCTTGTAACTGGAAATAATATCACAATAATAATATCTAGATTATATAACATTTGCAAGCAAAGATTTCCCTGTAAATATCCAACATTGTTTAACAGTACCTGTAAATATACAACATTGTTTAACAGTGCCTGTAAACATCCAACATTGTTTAACAGTGCCTGTAAATATCCAACATTGTTTAACAGTGCCTGTAAATATCCAACATTGTTTAACAGTGCCTGTAAAATATCCAACATTGTTTAACAAATTTATCAAAGTGAGTTGCACATTACTCCTTGTGTTTGTTTGTTGTTTCACGCTGCACTCAACAATATTACAGCTTTATTACAGCGGTCTGTAAATAATTGAGTCTTGACCATACAATCCAGTGATTGATCCTGAGCATCAATCCACGCAATTGGGACACATTGACCTGTATCAACCAAGTCAGTGAACCTGACCACCCGATCCCATTAGTTGCCTTTTATGACAAGGATAGCCGCCTCTTACAGCAAGCGAGAGAATTGCTGTTAGTGATAAAATAGATGGAAATAGTGATGTGCCCCTGGATGATCCAGGATACAATGGTCCCTCGTAAACACTAGGGTCATATATTGGTACACCCCTCATCTCCTACTAGGGATGAGGGACCAACCACTTGATATTCTTGGGGTGGGTGGCCTGTCTGTTTTTAAGAATATATTTAATCAAGGAAAAACTGGAAAAGACATTTGTTCTCGTATTTTACAAGAACAAACAACACTGACCACTGGACATCCTGGATATGCTGAAGCTATTGTGTCGTGAAAAGAACAAAATACTGCAGCTTCTCCTTCCACAAAATTGTTATGCTTATTTTGAAGCAGTGATACAAAAAATGTCCTGTCTCTCACAAATATCCCAGGCCTCTCCCTGAAATGATTAAAGCTGGTTCCTTAACCTGCTCTAATAGATCCTAGGGCTTTGAGTCAACAATTTCACAGTATGTCTATAAAAAACACAATCACCATAAATCTGACTATATTCGCTGTATTTAAAAGCAAGTTTTCAGGCATACTCCGGCTATCATACATCTCTTATTTGTATGTCGGTTCACATCACACACTCCAATCTTCCAGCTTTACAACAGTGACCTGTAAAAATTTGAGTCTGGTCGAAACAAGCAAGTGATTGATATTATGAACAATGTCACAAGTCGGGGTCCTGGGACATGCTGTCAAATATGTCTCCTAGTTTGATCTTTTCTGACCTGGAATCCCACAGCAGTATCACACTTAATTTGTGTCAACTGGGTCTTGTTCCACAGGGAAATACACTTACAAATGTCGTACTAAGATTGCTCTTATGGAACAGGGCCATGAAAGTTACAATAGTGCTATGAAGATCACAACTCTCAAAATCTAACACTGACTTACAACCTTTGTCGTACTAAGATTGCTCTTATGGAACTGGGCCATGAAAGTTACCAAAGTGCTACGAAGATCATAACTCTCATAATCTAACACAGATTTACAACATTTGTAGTACTAAGATTGCTCTTATGGAACAGGGCCATGAAAGTTACAATATTGCTATGAAGATCATAACTCTCATAATCTAACACTGACTTACAACCTTTGTAGTACTAAGATTGCTCTTATGGAACAGAATGCTGTTGTACAAAGCGATCTTAGCGCTAAGGTGATCACATGCCTCAATATGGCTTGGGGCAATCATCGCGCCACAATTGCTTTGTGGAGTATATCCTCCGGAGGTGAGGGTCCCCAAATGTTCAGTAACATGACATGTGCCTTCTCTTGTATATGTATGAGAAAAGTCTGAAGCTTCAATGAATTTCAGATGGAATGTATTTTGTTAAACATCTTATGCATTGACTCAAGCTGCTAACAATCTGAATGCATGAAGTTGCACATTTTACACACTAATCAACCCCTTCCTGCTTATACTATGTACTCAGGATTAATGTCTTTGTTGAACACATCGGCAATACTTCACAGTCTCTTGGACAGTCATGCTTCATTATCCAGTGTATAGTTTTTCATTCTATCATGATAAATACCACTTCTATTATGGTAAATACCAGACACCCATTTGCAACATCTTTGTTTGGGAAGTGGCGTCTCCACATAACATGCTTAATCCAGAATTTCACCTGCTCATTAGAGTAATGTGACTGGCTGGATATAATTAGCTTTGTTCCATTCAGACTTGAAACAAGTCTATGGTAGCTAATGGGCCTAGGGTATTCATAAACTGGATAATTGTGGATGTGAACAGTATGTTGAAGCATGTTGAAGCATGTTGAAGCATATACAACTTTACTATCCATACTGGGCTGTTATAGCTGATCTGTTTATAATGAGATCTGGTGCTGAATGAGGTATTTCCTTACAGCTGTCATTCTAGACATTTCAAAAAACATTTCCCATAAAACAAGTAACTAATTTTGTCTACTCTAAATTGTTAGTATTTTCTAAGATCAAGTCAATCAAGGCCAACACACTATATCCATTTGAAGCGTGGCAAAATTGCCAAGAAAACCTATAAGACAAAAGAACATTGGTCTGGCCATATATATCTATAATACTCTGGTCTATATATATATATATATCTATCACTTGAAATACACACAAATTTGAACATTTCATTCTTATGTGGAAAACTAATTTTGCTAAATTTGAAATACAGTCGAACCCCGTTATCTCGAAGCCTGTTATCTTCAACCTAGGGGGACTGTGTTGTAACTTCGAGATATCTGCAAATTCGAGATAATGAGGCATGAATATCATATAGCAAGGCGTTCGGTACCAGAGAATAGTTAAAAGATATCCGGACGTTCAAGATAACTGGGTTCGAGAAAACGACGTTCGACTGTACTTGTTTAAATAGTCTGCTTATCTAAAAAACATTATTCACATTCTCACATAAATAACAGCTTGCAAACGTTTCTTTTTCTATGTGAAGAATATACACAACAGTGATAGCACAGTAGGACGTGCCACTGTTGGGCGTTTGGCCCTCCTATCAGGTGGTCATCATCAAGAGAACAGTTCTGCGGTGTACAGTATCTTTGGATTTTCCAGATCATCTTTGCTCTGCACTAGCCTCAGCTCCATCTGGGCAGGCGTTGGCTTCACATGCTCGCCAGCTACCTCTGGAAGAAAAAAAGGTCAAACTTAGATTTTGCAATCATATTTACTGATGTTTTACACATCACTACTGAGGGAACCACTGAAGTATTTTTGAAGGCATACAGCCAGTGTTATCTTCTCTATAACAGCCGAGTCTTCCTTTATTTTGGAAGAGATGAAAAGAGTAATTACAAGTTGATATGTTCCAATTCTGTACAAAGTTTTGTTTCCAATATGAGAGTAACACATCTACTTTAACCATAAGTTACAATGGGCAAAGCATCTTGTACATCTGGGATAGGGCTAGTATCAGTATGACCAAAGGTACGTACAAAGCCTAGTGTCACTGATCTACAGAACCTACTTAGGGCAAAGCCTAGTGTCACTGATCTATAGAACCTACTTTAGGCAAAGCCTAGTGTCACTGATCTACAGAACCTACTTTAGGCAAAGCCTAGTGTCACTGATCTATAGAACCTACTTTAGGCAAAGCCTAGTGTCACTGATCTACAGAACCTACTTTAGGCAAAGTCTAGTGTCACTGATCTACAGAACCTACTTTAGGCAAAGCCTAGTGTCACTGATCTACAGAACCTACTTTGGGCAAAGCCTAGTGTCACTGATCTACAGAACCTACTTTAGGCAAAGCCTAGTGTCACTGATCTACAGAACCTACTTTAGGCAAAGCCTAGTGTCACTGATCTATAGAACCTACTTTAGGCAAAGCCTAGTGTCACTGATCTATAGAACCTACTTTAGGCAAAGCCTAGTGTCACTGATCTATAGAACCTACTTTAGGCAAAGCCTAGTGTCACTGATCTATAGAACCTACTTTAGGCAAAGCCTAGTGTCACTGATCTATAGAACCTACTTTAGGCAAAGCCTAGTGTCACTGATCTATAGAACCTACTTTAAGCAAAGCCTAGTGTCACTGATCTATAGAACCTACTTTAGGCAAAGTCTAGTGTCACTGATCTATAGAACCTACTTTAGGCAAAGCCTAGTGTCACTGATCTATAGAACCTACTTTAGGCAAAGCCTAGTGTCACTGATCTATAGAACCTACTTTAGGCAAAGTCTAGTGTCACTGATCTATAGAACCTACTTTAGGCAAAGTCTAGTGTCACTGATCTATAGAACCTACTTTAGGCAAAGCCTAGTGTCACTGATCTATAGAACCTACTTTAGGCAAAGTCTAGTGTCACTGATCTATAGAACCTACTTTAGGCAAAGCCTAGTGTCACTGATCTATAGAACCTACTTTAGGCAAAGCCTAGTGTCACTGATCTATAGAACCTACTTTAGGCAAAGTCTAGTGTCACTGATCTATAGAACCTACTTTAGGCAAAGTCTAGTGTCACTGATCTATAGAACCTACTTTAGGCAAAGCCTAGTGTCACTGATCTACAGAACCTACTTTAGGCAAAACCTAGTGTCACTGATCTATAGAACCTACTTTAGGCAAAGCCTAGTGTCACTGATCTATAGAACCTACTTTGGGCACTGTCTAGGGTAGCCTGTGGTACCTACTTCTGGCATAGTCTAGCGTCCTCCTTATCACAGCCTGGACGGTAGATATCGTCTTCTCGAAAGCAACCTGGAATAAATCCAATTCACATACACTCCTCAAACAATCAGGTAGGCATTTTAATGTAGAACAAGTGGTATTCCTTACAGAGCTCCAGATAAGCTTTTGGTGATGTGGGTATTTTACCCATGCATTTTAAAATCATTGGGTATCAGTAATTCTATCTGGGTATTCAAATTTCTGTTACCCACTAGTTTTTACACATGTGGGTATTTAAGTTAAATATTTAAAAACACTATTCATCTTGTCCCTGCAAACTGGTGTCGTGTGGGTTCGAGAGCTTTATAGGACTCAAAAATACCACGATACTTCCACAAGAAAGTGTGATGGCAAATGATCATGATGTAAATGTCATCGTGGAGTTTGGCAAGGTTGACGGAAAGCCCATTTATAATTTCAAAATAAGTTGCTGATTTGCTAATCGAATACGCAGGGTTACTTCACAATATTTTGATGATACGCACCAGTTTTATTTTTGTAGCGTATTTGTAATGTTCGTTGCATATTTGATATGCTTGGATTTTATTTTACTGCGTATTTCTGCATTCTGATGCGTATTTTACGCAGCTACGCAGCTTATCTGGAGCTCTGCCTAATTCAGTAACCACTGTGTATGGTCCATCAGTGATTTACAAAGTCTTATTTGGTACCCTTGAAAAATTAACCTTGGAAGGTACCTCATTACAAAACATGTCCAGGTACATGGAATGCTAAATGCTGTATAACAAGTCTGAACCACCACCACCTGCTGCATGGCTGTCATTAGATTGTTGCCTGTACACGCACACCTGTGCCAGGTCTAAAGGAGTTTCCTGGGTCTATCTACTTGTGAGTCCTGGGAACTCTTAAGTAATAATTCATGGGGGGTCCTGATGTCATGTCTGGGAAATTGACCTAAATCACATTCCATATTGCATTCCACATTTTGTAAATAAGAAGGGAGATAACTCTACATTAAAGTGAATGACAACAGCCCTCATATCAGTGACTGAATTTGTGGCATATGCGATTGAAATTTTGTGATGGCGAGTTAGTATACATATTTAAGTCACACTGTGGATCCTTTATTATTCAATGGAAAGCCAATTATTCCATTCAGTTCTTCTATGTCATTAAAATCTGAAATACATTTTGACTATGCTTCTCAAAACTTTCCGTGTGGAATCAAAACATGATTCTTTTCGCATACAATATCAACTAGAATTCTTTTTTGAAATCTCTCAATATTAACATTGTACATGTGTGATCATAACCTGACATAGAACACAGTTTTTTGTATTCTGTATAGAATTTGCTGATTGGCTAAAAATATGACCAATGGCAAAGCACAAACCATGAGTGTAACACTACTCTATATGGTTGAATAGGCTTTGCTATTTCACCATATCATTGTGACATGAGGTACACAAAGTAGGTCTACTAGCAATGTATTGAATCCAGCTTATATCCGACTTATATTGGACTATCAATGCTAAAACATCGGTCACTGCCGAAGCTTTGTCTGCTAACGGTAATGGGCGTGGGGACAAAAAAAAATCAGCAAAACAGTCACCTAGGCCAATGCAACGTGTATTTCATGAAGGCTCGCTGAAGATTTTGATTTGCTTCAATTTAACAAAAGCATGAATGTTACGACTTTGCTGGAAAAACAGATTTTGTGAAGGGCAGTAATTTTAAATGAGTAACTATTGTCAAACGTATACTGACTCCGAGCCGACCAGTCCTTGTTTTAGCCTCTTTATGCCGAGTGACAAACAGGGTAACAACAAGTACCATCTTTTAATGTCTTTTGGTATGATGCCCGCCGGGGATCGAACACCGGACCTTCTGTCTCCAGGCGGACACTCTACCACTAGACCACAGAGGTGGCCCCTAGGAAACGAAAGGGGGTTCAGGTTGATCACTGAGACCTTGAGACCTTGGCTGGTGACATGTGTCACTCTTCTCTAATACTTGATACTAGTGTTCGATCTACACAAGTTAGTCATCCCTACTTGTCATCGCCTACCTTGAGACTGTTGTCCTTCTGCATCCAAACCATGAGTGATGCAGCAAACAGGTCACCGGTCCCAACAAAGATGGCTGGTAACAGTGGGATTTCTATACGGTAGCATTCCTTAACTCCATCTGTTGGGGGAACACCACAGCATTACGTAAAGGACTGCTTGATGGAAACACGTACCATATATTCTTACTTCAGGCCATAAGATTTGTTTGTTTGTTAGTTGTTTTACGCCGCACTCAGCAATATTCCAGCTATATGACGGCGGTCTGTAAACAATTGAGTCTGGACCATCATGGGCATCGATCAACGCAATTGGGATGCGATGACATGCATCAACCATGTCAGCGAGCGGGGCCACCTGATCCCGTTAGTCGCCTCCTACGACAAGCATATTCGCCTTTTATGGCAAGCATGGGTTGCTGAAGACCTATACTACCCCTCAGGTTGGTGAGGTGAAATGGGTTTTAACGTCGCATGCCAAGATTACTGCACTTATATAGCGATGTCCAGGCACGTGTATGTGTGTGTGTTGGTGCACGTGTCTGTGTGCGTGTCTGGCTGTTTGTACACCTGTGAACAAGTCTGGACTAATGCTGTTTTCAAAGTGTTAGCCCACTGAGATACAATGATGCAGTTTAACATGAACAACCATTCAGACACAATATACTGACTTAGAGCTGACCAGTCCTTGTCCCCTTAATGCCAAGCACCAGGCAAGGTAACAAGAAGTACTATCTTTTAGCGTCTTTTGGAATGACGCATATGGTTATCAAACCCCAACCTTCCTTTCTCTCGGCAGATGCTCTACCACAAGGCCGCGGAGTTGATCAGACAACATGAAACCCAAACCTAAATACTAAGTAACTTTAAAGAATAATTTTGGCTCAGGTTTTAGATAGGAAATCAACTTGTTGCTGTGTCAGCCTTAATATATACCTGGTAGGTAAAAATATAAAGAGTAGCACAGAAAAAAAAAGCTTTGCTGATTGATATACAAGAATATTGTGTATAGTGCAATGTTTTGGAAGAAGATGAATTCCACTTAATATTCAGTTGCGAATAATCTGCCAAGATGATCAAACAAGTCTTACAATAAAAAAAATTAACCTCCTTGTTGAACGTGAAGATGTGGCCATATTGAATTATGTATTTCCATATTTATATTGGACAGTGTGTCAAACATGATTATATCATATACAGTCAAGTCTCGTTAATCCGACATCGTTGGTTGCACATGATTGTGTCGGATTAACGAGTATGTCGGATTAACGAAATTAAGTGATTTGTGATCGAAAATCGGACGTCTTCACGATAGATAATAACCGTGTGTACCTTGTAATAAAATCATTAAAAACGAAATATTAATATTGTTATGTTGTTTATTCATTCATTCCTTAATTTATAATTAATGACTGTGCAAATATAATAATAATTTTCCCATTTATACATAACAATAGTGACATTACTCACTGAATTTATCACATGATCAACGACACACGTTTCCTCGTGTAAATGCAAGTGCTACTGTCTTAACAACTTGCTTCATCTACTTAAAATGGCTGAATGTGCGATGTGGTGTTTGGTGGCAAAAAGTGACATTTCACTTGACTATTTGAAACAAGAATAGCGGATCATGGACAAATTCACCTCTGTTTGAACTGGCAAGACAGATGAGCACCCCGTCGCGGCCGAGGCTGCTGCTGCTCAGGACGACGGTCTTCACCCCCTTGTTGTGCAGCATCTCCATCGCTGCTAGAGCCTCCGTCTCATTGGTTACTTTAGACCTTGTTAAAAGTCTGAAATAGTGGGAAAAAGTGTGTTTATGATACAGTAAATCTTGAAATAAATGTGAGTGTGAATTAAATGCAAAAAATGCGAGTGGTCTTTGCTCGCATTATTAAACATCGCATTTATATCAACAAAAGGACATTTTTGATAGCAGAAATACCAACTTAGACATACGCTGAAAACAAACAACTATGTATTCCACATCACTGTTTATCGAGCAGCACCTGTAACAAGTATATAAACAATGTCATTCAAACACTAATTACATCCTGTGAATTGTCACTGCTGGGGTCAAGACAAGAGTTCTACTCACTTACGTCATCACTGATCACACCTGCAAGTCCAGATAGACGTTACCCACGCAACACGGTGTCTTTGTTCTTAGCGACTGCATCAAAGGCCGACACGAGCCAGCGCACATGTATTGTTTTAGCTGAAGTACTCTACTCAGCGCTAATCATGTAATAAGCGCTGCTATTTGGAGTGTGATTGGATTAATGTAAGGTTGGATAAGGTGAGGATTCTCCTGTATCCCTGACAGAGGACATTTTCTTTAGAAATAAATCCACTGATGCTTGAGAGACATGCATGGCAGATTTCAAAATTCCAAATTTGTTCTCCAAATTAAGTAAGCAACCCTAAAAGCCCCACCTAGGTTGCCTCACCTTTTCGGACATGCCCTTTTCAACCAAACACCAAATGGCCTGGCGGGCCCGTGCGCGAAATACACGAAATTGCGCGCATTAAATTCCTAATTTAAGTAAGTAAGAGAGCAGGAGGGGTGTTGCATTCATATTGAGTCACATTTTTGGCTGGGGGCCAGCGGTTGCATTCTTTGGGAGACGCATTAATTTCACGATTTACAGTATTCGGTGAAGGTTGAAAATCTAAACATTTTCAGGAATGCTCACTCTTGATAATCAGAGTGTTTACATGTCACAGCTAAGTAGTCTAAAAATGTAGCAATACTGTCGTACGATGGATACTGATTACTACCATTAGGGTAAATTAGCTGTTTGATTGGCATTCTATAAGCATGATAAGTCGGGGACTAAGTAAGAAAACATACATCTTTATGGATAACAAATTCTGGTTTATTGTATATAAGCGATGTTTCGATGTCGATTGTTGCACCCTCACTCTAGCTTGATAACAGTGTAAGAATCTGCACCGAAGCTTCGCTCTATGCAAAACCAAAAAGAAGTTATCACTAAATTTGTACGTTTTCTTCAGGTAAAATAGTCGAAGAATGACGTTTAATCATGATAATCATCAATCCAAATATGATAAATACCCTGGACCCATTTTCCATCAAAGTTTTGGTTTTAGTCCTGTTAGAATGACACAACACGAAAATAGTCATACAATCAAATTTCACTGTACTGGCTCCATGAACTCTGTGAAGGGGAAGTTGTGTTCGTTGTTAGATGCTGCACTCAACAATATTCATGCTATATGACTGTAAATAATCAAGTCTGGAACAGACAATCCAGTGATCGATATTGTGAGCAACAATCCAGGCCATCAGGGTTTGATGACACGTTGTCAACCAAGTCACCGAGCCTGACCACCCTATCCACTTGGTCGATTGTAATGCCCAGCAAAGATTCTGGGACCTATTCTAATCCTGAATCCCTATGGGGTACAGGGGAAGTAGCGCTATCACAAGTATTCGACTTGTGTAATGTACCATCTCAAATACAACTGGGAACTGGGAACCCAGTAGCATAAGGGCTTCCTTCACGCTGTCTTAATACAAAAGACAACAAACATCTTTTCCAGCTAGAAGCTCATTTTGATTCGAAGTAAAATCTTTTATTTGGAATATATGAAAAGTTTGCTTGAATGAGGCCACTATTTTTTACATAGGCCTATGCCGAACCCTCATTAAGAAGAGTCATTTTGATTGGATGATGAGTTCAAGCTCAGCAGCAACCAATCTCATTAAAATCAGATCTTAGTTCTCGCTACCGCTAATCAAAGATCTGAGGACATCCCATTACGGGTCACGTCAGAACGACCTCTCGTGCACTTTGACTGATCAGTGAAATGTCTGACAAAAAAATCGACATTAGCCAATCAGAAGGCAGCTTTCTCGAGCTTTATGACACTGGCGACTACACTTCAAAACATATTTTGACATAATCTTGGTTAAAAAAATTAAAACTGATAAAAAGTACATTCCGGAATGGCTTACAGATGGTCTAGATTGTATGGAGATAATCATAAAACCCGTAACTAACGTTCTGAATACCCTCTGTAAAATGTTTCGAGGCTGCATGATTAGAAAACACATTCCAACTGTCACTTTCATGATCTGGTAAGCGACGCTCTGATTGGTTGGATGAAAGGTCATTCTGACGTGACCCATAATGGGATGTCCTCAGATCTTTGTTTAGCCATAGCAAGAACTTAGATATGATTTTAATGAGATAGAGCAGCAACTGAAATCCTGTGCTAGGTCAGTGATATCGGAGATGGATATCATGTGGACACTTCCGCAGCGCAGCTTTGGTGGTGTATGGTAGACATTGAGACATTTAGTCCAAGAAATAAAGTTATCTTATTTAAAAATATATCTACAAAATAAACAAAATAAATCCAAATGGAGCCCAGAACAATCCTTAATTTAGAGCTGAGGCAAAATAGACTTGCCAAATCATTCAAGACTTGAGTTGGACTCCATTTTTAATTTATTCTCTCGGGTCTGGGAGACAGACAAAGTGTATGGATCCAGGCTATGTATTTCATGAGATGAAGGAGATAAAACAATAAGCTGTCTAAACAAGGATATGTCAAATACTGTATTCGATGTAACAAGCGCCCATGGCGATATTAGATGATATATTGGCTAGTGAACAATCCCAATTAGCACCCCTTCCGATTGATGTGTAAATGACTTATTTATTCATGTATAATATGCACTGATGTGTTATATGCACCCTTAATTATGGGCAATTAAATTCTGGAAAATGTATCTGTCGTGTAAAATACGATTTTTTTTTATCATTTCAGACTGTCAGCATAAACCAAGACATTTACGGTCTTTAACTCTGGTTTTTCTCTCACAAAAATTATATTCTAATAAGAGCCCCCTATTTCTAATTTTGAGAGCACCATGGGTGCTTATTACGTTGAATATGGTAGTTTATCAATACTGTTATACAGTGTATGTGTACTCACTCTAGTTCAAACTGGTTGGGTGTTACAATGTCTGCTAAAGGAACGATGGACTCCCTGTAGACCTCCAGAAGGTTTTCTGGAACATACTGCAAGCAGAGAGAACGAGTGAGTTACGCATTGACGTAACCATAGTAACCAATTCTTGACAACCATTGTCCAGTGAAACATTGTATCTGAAATGTCACATTACCACACAGCCATATATGTATGTCTAAATACGGTCATACATCATAAATGTCACTTTTCATCATAATTTATAACTACAGTATCTTAGGAACACAAGAATACAATTCACAAACTTCAATTCATATTTATTACAGAAATACACGGCTTCAAATATTTTGATTCATTTTCCGACTTATAACTGTTTATGTAATAACTGCAGTTTGAAGACATAATGTCTGATTTATTGAAAGTAGACATGTATGCTGAAACGTTTTGAAATAATGTTTTTATTTTTATGCACACATGGCGATTTTTACTGATTGGTTGGTTTCTTGCACTCAGCAATATTCCAGCTATATGACGGCGGAGTATAAATAATGGAGTCTGGACAAGACAATCCAGTGATTGACATCATGAGCATCGATCAACGCAATTGGGATCGATGACCGTGCATCAACCAAGTCAGCGAGCCTGACCACCCCGATCCCATTAGACGCCTTTTATGACAAGCATAGTCGCCTTTTACGGCACGCATGGTTTGCTCGATTTTTACTGAAGTAAGCTGACGTCAAACGTAACAGCACAAATGTATCCTTGAACCAATAAGGTCCCTTTCTCCTGGTGGGTCACATTTTATGCGAATGACAGTGCTGATAAAGAAAGGATCATAACAGGTGAGAATCAAAGAGTCAAGACACCTGACTAGAAAATGTCATCACGGTGTCTTTTGATGGCAAATATATCAACACAAGTCGATAAAAGTTTAAAACCCTGAGATATACCATGGAGTTTTAAACTTTTATTGACAAGTGTTGATATATTTTCTATCAAAGACAAAATGGTGAGATTCTACTCATCATCCAAAATGATTCTTCCACCTCAGTTAGTAGAGTATCTTAACAGTTAACAGTCTTACCATTTTTCCATTGTCCCCCATAACAGGATCGCACACTGAAACAAACAACAGGCTTGGCTTTCAGTCACAAGCACACATTTCCATGTAGCAGTCATTGTCTATATTTGTATACAGTTTAGTTTTCCTCCTGGGTGCCTCTGAAGGACAACGGCTGTGTTCTAAATGAAAACACTGGCAACTCAATCTCATTAAAATCATGTTATTTTTTCATTAGGTTACAAATGTAACATGTGATTCTAATGTACCACATGACCTCTTTTCACCACACACCCTGTGTCCCAAAGTCAGGGAAGAAAGGGCCGAGTCTGTATGAAGACCATGACCAAATTCTCCTGGAATCTGACACCCCAGGAATGGTAGGGTTTGTTCAAAAGTCAGAATGCAGAGCAAAAATGAAATATGAGTTGCACAAGTCATTCTTATACAGTGCTTAAAAACAACAGCCATAGGGACAGGGTCAATACTTTAAATTATGAAATTAATGCATCACCCAATTAATGCCAGCATCGTCACCTGGCCTAAAATATGTCATGAAATTAATTTGAGTAGCCTTCCCTATGACCGCAAACTGATCTTCCTTAAAAATTACATGACATAGTATGGGGTGAGAGAAATTCAATTGAATAATATTATTTGCTGTCCTCACAAATTTCAACTGCTTGACATGTGATCCCATTTTCATGAAATCAAAAGCTGGAAATTAGGCTAAAAAAATAAAGTCTTGGTTCTCAGGCACCACCTACAACATCATAAAGTCTGCCGCATGGTTTGTTTTTATTTCCATTTTCAAAAAATATAGAAAAATCCTAATACTTAAACACAATGCAAAAAAGACCAAATGAAAATGGAAACAAAAAAGAAACGTGCAATGAACTTTATGATGATGTGGGCAGTGCCTGAGAACCAAGACTGTTATTTTTTTTAGCCTTACAAATAACGCACATATGAATGGGTCACCGATGGAGCCAGTTTACCACACTTGATACAGAACTTGGTGAGAAGCATTGTCTAAATATAGCACTCAGTTACACTGTTTACTATGGGTCTTGTATGCATGTCACTGTTTCCGCCTATTTGCAATGAACCTCACATGACATATAACTCTAATATGTCCAGTTAAAAAGGGTCACTTAATTTATGCAGGACACGGGCACTCACATTTTTCACACATATTTCATGCTCGTATTAATTTCATGATTTACGGTATGTGTCGTAACACATGTTCATTTTGCGTATTTGACAATAGGCTTGTTACAGCTCGAATAAACTCACCATATATCAGGCTAGGATTATGACTTCTCAGTTCTTGAATTATTTCTTTAACTTTTTCTAGGAATGACTTTGAACCTATGTACCCTGAAATGAAAGATTGGAGGGAGATCTGTTAGTATGTGTCAAATGAAATGTATTCAACTGCAACTCAGATCCGGGGTAGAAAAGATCAACCCATGCTAAAAGGTAACTATGCTTGTAGTAAGAGGCGACTAACGAGATCCGGTGGTCAGGCTTGCTGACTTCGTTGAAGCATGTCATCGATCCCAATTGCGTGGATCGATGCTCACGATGTCAATCACTGGATTGTCTGTCAAGTATTTACAGACCGCCGTCATATAGCTGGAATATTGCTGAGTGCGGCGTTAAACAACAAACCAACCAACCAACTGCAACTCAATCTCATTAAAATCAGATCTAGGTTCTCGTTGCCGCGAAACAAAGATCTGAGGACATACCATTATGGGTCATGTCAGAACGACCTTTCGCGAACTTTGACCGACCACTGAAATGATTAACAAGAAGATGACATCAGCCAATTAGAAAGCAGCTTTCTCTAGCATTATGGCCCACGTTTTAACCTGGTGACTTCCATTTCTGACTACTCTTGATAAATATGTTAACACAGTTCTCGATTAAAATTTTGTAAACTGAACAAACGAACATTCCGGAATGTCTAATATATGGTTAAGATTGTATGGCAGTGGTTCCCACGTTCGGTGCATCGCCCCCTCCGTTCAAATGTTTATCCCACGGAAGCGAGAGATAGACGATAATTTTGATAGAATCAGTCGTACGGGCCGTAACTGTTGTTTGGAATACCCTGTGTTAATGTTTTCGAGGTTGCATGATTAGAAAACACATTCCCTCTGTCACTTTCATGATCTGGTAAGTGACGCTCTGATTGGTCGGATGAAAGGTCGTTTTGACGTGCCCCAAACTGAGATGTCCTCAGATCTTTGTTTAGCAATAGTGAGAACTAAGATCTGATTTTAATGAGATTGACTGCGACTATACTTATTTCAAACCTCAACTTCCTGTTCATGATCTTTTTGCTTAAAACAAAATAAGAAATTCTTAATAATAATATTAATAATAATGTGAATTTGTAGTGAGCCAAACCCATCCATAAGCATGATCAAAGCGCAAACAATAGTCTCGTCAACACCTATTAAACTGCCCCTTGAAATATCTTGTGATACAATTGCAATTCAATTAACACTTTTCTTTATTCTGTCCATTTCCTGTTACCATCAATCCATTAGACAAGATACAAATGTCAACGTTTCTGACCAAATGTTCAGCCTTCAAATTCATTTTTTTTAAACAAAGATGCTGCAGTTGTGGTTTGTGTGTAATGGATCTTGAAATGCAATCAAGAATGGTTTTGTGAGTGAATGAAACTACATAACCAGATGCCTAGCTGGCCTAATGAGTTGCCGTATCAAGAGACTGTTAATGCCATAACCTGATCTGTTTGGGGTAACTCCGCCTCTTACATAAGGAAACAAAAGCTCCACCCCTTGGATTGATGTTTAACGCTGCACTCTGCAATATTCCAGCTATATGACTCTGAGGGATTCTTTGACAAAGAACTTGAAATCATGCGCGCATTCTTATTGGTTTGTCGTACTTTCGCACATAACATTCATCGATAGGGGGACGAGTCTTCTTGCAGGTTACGGAAAGGGGCGAGTGGTGACGAATGACAGTTTGTGTAGCGTGCGCAACAGAGGCAGAGGACTAGTCTACAGCGCATGCAGTGTAGAGTAGTCTCCCTTTAACTCAATGACGTCATACATTGTTTTCAGATGCAAATCTTCGCTCTCTCCGTAGTTCTGCTACTTACTGGCGCATGCTCAGTTGAATCCGCCAGAATAGGTGAGACGTTGTGACCAAAACAAATTATTGTTTGTTTGTTGTTTAACGCAGCAATAGTCCAGCTATATGATGGCGGTCTGTAAATAATTGAGTCTGGACCAGACAATCCAGTGAATGACATCATGAGCATCAATAGAAGCAATTAGGATGCAATGACATGCATCAACCAAGTCAGCAGGCCTGACCACCCAATCCCTTTTGTCGCCTCTAACGACAAGCATACGGCAATCATGGGTTGCTGAATACCTATTCTCTCCCAGATCTTCACGGGTCGCCATGCCTTGGAAGCAAATCTGGAGTTATTTATGGTTTCACATCAAAGAAACAATGTCGCGTGTCATAATCATATTCATAATCATGATAACAGGGATGGCGGGTCACGAAGTTAGTGACCAACACTCATGTTTTCCATTTCTTTTCAGCAATCTCATTTTAAATACCATACACAACAACTGAAGTGACAGAAATATGACTTGTGGTTACCTGTTAAAATATGTGAAAATTGTACTAAATTGTTGAGCTTTAGACCCTCATAGAGATCGGTGACGTCTTGATCATCTAACACTTGACCTTTGAACTTTCCATACCCTGAAAAGAAAGTGATGTGGAGAAATTAACATGGCGGACATGTCTATCCTTGTAGGCAAACCTATACAAGTTATATAATATCTATATATACTCATCTTGTTGATTTGCACAGAAACAGCACCTGAAGTATGACACTAGAAATTTTAACATAGGTTCAAACACTACTGAAACATCATATGATGATCATAAAATCGCTAGTGTTATCGGTAGGATAAACAAATCCGATAAACTTACGATCATGATCCAATAATCAGTGAGTGAGTGAGTGGGGTTAAACCCTGCTTTTAACAGTATTCCAGTTATATCATGGCGTGTCAGCTTAATGTGGGAGGAAAGCCTGAAGTGATGCAGACATTAACCACTTCGGTGAAACACACGAGCACGGGTATGGTGCTGACAAACCTAGAAACATAACTGGGGCGAACCGGGATTCGAACCCACAATCATAGATTTCTGGCTTGCCCAAGGGACGCAACACTGCACAGCGAATCGGGGCGCCTTAGACTACTGGGCCACCCGTGCCCCATGATCCGATAATTAGGTGGCCCAGAAGGGATAACTTTCAAGCTCCACACATCGCTGCAATGTCTTCTTTATCACTAAAAACTATTGACTAACATTCCCAACATGCTAAGAAAGGCGTTACTCAATGTGTTGACATAGACTAAAATAGCTGACAGGAAGTCATTTTGAACTATGATATATTGTGTGGTTAACATAAACATTGTATTCATGCTGGGTTCTATCATAAATATACTCATTGCCAAGAGAAACGTGAATTCCATAAATATTAACTAATCATATTCAAAAGATATTATATATATTACAAATGAACATACTGGTATTCATAGCTAAAATGGATAGAATTATCATAAAAACGCCCGCATGTTATCAGAAATGAGGGGGCCACTGTAACTTGATAATGCCCTCATATTACTTGACGACGGGCCATTATCACGCCTGTTGTTAGGTGACGTCATAGGATAGGGATAGGTGATGTAACATTCAATAGTCACGTCATCTGGTTTGTTCTATGACGTTTCCATATTTGTAAAAGTGGGTCAGTGACATTGGTGTTGCTTGTAGTAAATGTCTCAAAATCGACATTGTTGTTTCTATTAATTTGATAACAAATTCCATCCATTTTAGCTATAATAACAGTAACGCTATTTTTCAGGGCATTATCATTTGCAGAAGCCCTCAGTCTTTTCAACTGCCCTCCTTCGTCGGGCAGTTAATGGAAGACCTTGGGCTTCTGCAAATGATAATGCCCTGAAAAATAGCGTTACCCTTATAGTATAGATCCATGACTCAAGATGCACCATTTGTCTCGTGCAGGATTAGCGTGTACAGTTTAGAAATCACGTGCAGCATACCGTGATATGAATAAAGACACTCCGTGGTAACACTTGACTGATTGTTATTTTTGTCAATAATTGGTACACATTGGAAACATCTCTTCTTAATGTACATACTTCTCTATATGTTTCTATGGTTCACGTTGTTTCTTTTGGTGGTAAGAATATAATATTCAATGTATTAGGAATAAAAAATATGTACTATGCTAACTAAAGGCTTGCAGAATACAATTTGTATTCCTAATCTATGATATATATGATACAGAAAGACCAGGAATGTATCAAGTAGAGGATGTTTCATGTGTCAAGTCCAATATCATGTTTCTCTCATCGAGAATGATTCGGGGGAATAGAGGTATTTTCACGAGTGGCATAGCCACAGTTCTGTGTTTGCAAAATCTTAAAAAATATATCAAAAGTAACAAAAAATATTTAGGGTCACAGAAATTCTTTATCAGACGTTTGCAAATGATTATATACAAAGTAAAAAAAATCTCTTGAAATCTACGAGACAGCTCATGGAAGTGAAAGAATACATGCTGGTCAAGCAACAAAAATGGTGCTTTGCAAACAAAACAGTCACAATTGAAAAGTAAAATGAGAAATTTACAATTAATATTTACAATTTATTCAAGAGAATAACAAATGGTTAAAAGCAAGGTAAGCCTTGTAACGACAAAAGTTCCGTCAAAGTGTTATGTTCACTGCATTGAAATATCAAGTGTTATGTTCACTGCAATGAAAATGTCACTTTTCTCAACTTGGAAAACTCTTTCACACTGAAATATACGATACCATATTCGAAGTAATAAGCGCCCAGGGCTCTCTCAAAATTAGAAATAGGGGGCTCTTATTAGAATATTACTTAGGTGAAAAAAAAACAGAGTTAAAAGATAAATTTCGTGGTTTATGCTGACAGCCTGAAATGTTTATGTATGACAGATATATTTTTCCAGGATTTAATTGCCCAAAATTAAGGGTGCATATAGCACACGAGTGGGTATTATAGGCGAAAAAATAAGTCTTGTGTACATTGATCAATCGGAAGGGGTGCCAATTGGGATTGTTCACTTGCCAATATATTAGCAAATATCGCCATGGGCGCTTATTACGTCGAATACAGTAATATCTATTTATCATGCTGTTCTGCTTGACTCAGGGATCGGCGATTTAGCATAGGGTGGGATGAGTCAGAGGGCTTCAGGGGAGTGTCACCCCCAAACTATGACAGTCTCCAAGGGAGTGTCAAATAAAATATTACTAATATTTGGGGAGAGTCACGAGAAAATGGGACAGTTTAATAAAATATAAGCGCTTGCATTTGGTCTTTTCAGGGAGGGTCATGAAAACATGTACAAGGACATCGGGAGGATCATCTGTGGTATGACAAGCATAAGGGAAGGTTATAATTTTCGGCACAAATCAAAAACCTCTGTAATAAATGACCAGGATCTTAATATAATTTATTACTTTCATAAACTTTGCAGTTTTCAATCTTATTAAAATCAGACCTTAGTTTTCGCTACCGCTAAACAAAAATCTGAAGACATCCCATTAGGGGTCACGTCAGAAGGACCTTTCATTCGACTAATCACAGCGTTGCTTACCAGATTATTAAAATGACAGTCGGAATGTGATTTCTAATCATGCAACCTTGAAAACTTTAACATGGGGTAAACCTAACGATAGTTACGGGTTTAACAACTGAATCCTTACAATCAAGGCCATCTAATAGCCATTCCAGAATGTTTTTTTGTTCAGGTTTCAATTTTGTAATCGAGAATTTGTCAAAATATGTTTCGAAGCGAAGTCGCCAATTTGAAATTAGTGCCATAAAGCATGAGAAAGCTGCCTTCTGATTGGTCATTCCATTGGTCGGTCAAAGTTCACACAAGGTGGGTCTGACGTGACCCGTAATGGGATGTCCTCGGATCTTGGTAGCGAGAACTAAGATCTGATTTTAATGAGATTGTGCAGTTTTAGACACATTCGTAAGTTGAGTGAGTGAGTGAGTTGGGTTTAACGCCGCCTTTAACAGTATTCCAGTTATATCGCGGCGTGTCAGCTTAATGTGGGAGGAAAGCCCGAAGTGATGCAGGTCTCAGATGTTTACCACTTCGGTGAAACCCACGAGCACGGGTATGGTGCTGACAAACCTAGAAACATAATCGGGGCGAACCGGGATTCGAAACCACAATCATAGGTTTCTGGCGTGCCCCATTCGTAAGTTGCAAATATGAGTTTGGATATAATATTGCATAAAAAGGGCTGAACATTCTAAATTGGTACTTTTCACATCAAAATAATTAAATTGTTAAATTGCGTTCATTTTAACTCCTGTATTCCGATTAGCTGAATTGGTCATGTGTTATTGGATTAATTTCCCAAAGAATGTAAACAATTAGGCAACGCCCACCAAAGCGGACTTCTTTTATTACTAAGGAAAATCAGGGAATCCCAATACTACAGTTGAGGGAATTCCCTTCCAGCTAACGTATATCGTCATGCACAGGGCATTTAACGAAATTCATGCATATTCATTGTCCAAACCACTCTTTGAGACTGAAGGCCGAGAAGAAATGAAACAGCAACTGTGAAGGGTCCCTTGCCTGTTTTTTCCTGCTCGCCTCGGTTCCACAAATTTCATGTCTTCGGGTTTCATTTCTCCAACTGTGTCTTCCCGTTCTCAGGGATTTAATGTTTGAATCTGGTGGTAACTGATCATGTCATTTGAAACAGCCGCCTTCTCCCGGACATATTGTTCCTGTTTGTTACCGTCTGACTGTTGCAGGTCTTCTCGCCGCTTGCCTTGATTGACAGGTCCTATGAACTTTGTTTTGATGCTACTCTCTGTTGATTGGCTACCGACTTTGTAGGTGTGTCAAGTTATGTGCATAAATTAAACAACCACCTGATTCATATCATGCACAGTATGTATTCCCACACCTGGAATGTTTATCAATCTCGACATTTTTGTCTACTTTGATATATATGGCTATTTTGGGTAAACTATTGTAGATAACACATGTTTTCGTTGTTGAATTTAATTATATAAGGATTGACTGTGGAATTTCTTCTGTTCATTGAGGTATGAATCGAAAAACGGAGGTGCAAACTATTGTAAGAATCTCCTACGCGGAATGAACCAAAAAATATCCACAATTAATCCTTAAATGAAGCACTTGTTCAACAACATGTGTCAGCGGATAAGAGTTACCATGGAATCGTCATTCTGTCATAATACAAAATCTTTCAAAATTAGACCTTTCGATTTGCAGATCGATCTTGCACAATAAAAACTTTGCAGATGATCTGAAACTTTGGTAGGAAATAGGTTATCTGTCCCCGTGTCTTTCCACAGGGCTAAGCACTGTCCATGCCAAACCGAAAGTTGGAAGGTAGCAGATCATTGGGCTCGTTTAGGATTTCTATCAATGTATATCATTGGTGTGATGAATATATTCTGAGATATTTAACAAAACAACTGAAAAGTTGATGGTAGTTAGCTGCATGAACAAATGTACTGTTATTGAAATAATACAGTCTGGGTCGTTAGTCTAAGAATGCTATCAAGCCTAATAAAGCTACAATTGACACAAAAGTTAGCTAGTATGAATTGATAATGTCTTTTTCATGCTGCAAAGCACCTAGTTTTCCACCTGTTGCTATTCTGCCAGTTGACATTAAGAGTAAAGACAAAATATTGGTACTGTTCTTCGAACTGTTGGATATAAGTACCGTAATGATTAAAACCCAGAAGTCCTTTGGTGCATGATAAAACTTTGACTTAGTTCAAAATATTACTTAAAAGAGATAAAAACTGGCCTAAATCATGCTTCATGTGCTTGGGTGCCATCCCCTTTATCTCTGTGCATCAAGAACATGGTGGCTACCAACCAACACCCGGTTTGACACAGACAGAGCATACCTTCTTGTTACCTGTGTGATTAGAAAACTGAACCGAGTTGATTGTGCTGACGTCAAATCCATGTACCTGTAACAGAAACAAAGACAGACTTGATGAAAATGACACTGAAGTAAACACAACCTGTGTGTGCATCTGTTGTCTGTGTGTGAGTCTGTCTGTCTCTGTGTGTTGGTGGTGTGTGCATGTTTATGTGTGTGTGTATCTGTGTGTGTGTGTGTGTGTCTGTCTCTGTGTGTTGGTGGTGTGTGCATGTTTATGTGTGTGTGTATCTCTCTGTGTGTGTGTGTGTCTGTCTCTGTGTGTTGGTGGTGTGTGCATGTTTATGTGTGTGTGTATCTCTGTGTGTGTGTGTGTGTGTGTCTGCTTGTACTAGTCTTAACATGAATACTCGTTTAAGACACAGTATACTGATGCCGAACCAACCTGTCCTTGTTTTAGCCCCTTAAGGCCGAGCACCAGACAGGGTAACAACATGTAACGTCTTTAAACTTCTTTTTGTATGGCAAAATAGGAGGAGAAATGTGACAAAAGTGGAGGAGTAGTGTGACACAAGTGAAGGAGCAATGTGACACAAATGAAGGAGAGATGTGACACAAGTGGAGGAGTAATGTGACACAATTTGAGGAGTAATGTGACACACAAGTGGAGGAGTAATGTGACACAATAGGAAGAGTAATGTGACACATCTGGAGAAGTAATGTGACACAAGTGGAGGAGTAATGTGACACAATAGGAAGAGTAATGTGACACATCTGGAGAAGTAATGTGACACAAGTGGAGGAGAAATGTGACACAAGTGGGGAGAAATGTGACACAAGTGGAGGAGAAATGTGACACAAGTGGAGGAGAAATGTGACACAAGTGGAGGAGAAATGTGACACAAGTGGAAGAGTAATGTGACAACTGAAGTAATGTTATACAAGTGGAGGAGATATGTGACACAAGTGGAGGAGTAATGTGACACAATAGGAGGAGTAATGTGACACAACTGGAGGAGAAATGTAACACAAATGGAAGAGTAATGTGACACAATAGGAAGAGTAATGTGACACACCTGGAGAAGTAATGTGACACAAGTGGAGGAGATATGTGACACAAGTGGAGGAGAAATGTGTAATGGGATAAAAGAAACATTATACACCAGAAGGAAAATTAAAACACTTGTTGTAGCGATTAAGTACATGAAGCAAAAATTGAGTCAGGAACAGTATGGTCGCCAGATCTGCCTCAGCACAAACGGAGCAAGCCGATACACTCAGGTTAACATAAACATTGTATTCATGCAGGGTTCTATCATAAATAGACTCATTGCCAAAAGAAACGTGAATTCCATACATATTAACTAATCATATTCAAAAGATATTATATATATTACAAATGAACATACTGGTATGTTGTGTAAACTGACACACATTAACTCATCACAAGTGATGTCATAGATCCATGACTCAAGATGCACCATTTGTCTCGTGCAGGATTAGCGTGTACAGTTTAGAAATCACGTGCAGCATACCGTGATATGAATAAAGACACTCCGTGGTAACACTTTTGACTGATTGTTATTTTTGTCAATAATTGGTATAAATTGGAAACATCTCTTCTTAATTTACATACTTCTCTATATGTTTCTATGGTTCACGTCATTTCTTTTGGCGGTTAGAATATAATATTCAATGTATTAGGAATAAAAAATATGTACTATGCTCACCAAAGGCTTGCAAAATACAATTTGTATTCCTAATCTATGATATTTATGATCCAGAAAGACCAGGAAGGTATAAGTAGAGGATATTTCATGTGTCAAGTCAAATATCATGTTTCTCTAATCGAGTGACGGGGGAAAAGAGGTATTTTCACGAGTGGCATAGCCACAATTCCGTGTTTGCAAAATCTTAACAAATATAAACAAAAGCAACAAAGAATATTTAGGGTCACAGAAATTCTTTATCATACATTTGCATATAATTATATACAAAATCAAACAATAAATTCTTGAAATCTACGAGACAGCTGTTGGAAGGGAAAGAATACATGCTGGTCAAGCAACAAAAATGGTGCCTTGCAAACCAAACAGTCACGATTGACGAGTAAAATGAGAAATTTACAATTAATATTTACAATTTATTCAAGAGAATAACAAATGGTTAAAAGCAAGGTTGGTTGGTTTGTTGTTCAACGCCACACTCAGCAATATTCCAGCTATATGACGGCGGTCATAATGTAATGTGAGTAATGTAACACCATAGGAAGAGTAATGTGACACAATAGGAAGAGTAATGTGACACAACTGAAGTAATGTGATACAAGTGGAGGAGATATGTGACACAAGTGGAGAAGTAATGTGACACAACTGAAGTAATGTGATACAAGTGGAGGAGATATGTGACACATGTGGAGGAGAAATGTGACACAAGTGGAGAAGTAATGTGACACAAGTGGAGGAGAAATGTGACACAAGTGGAGAAGTAATGTGACACAAGTGGAGGAGAAATGTGACACAAGTAGAGAAGTAATGTGACACAAGTGGAGGAGAAATTTGACACAAGTGGAGAAGTAATGTGACACAAGTGGAGGAGAAATGTGACACAAGCAGAGAAGTAATGTGACACAAGTGGAGGAGAAATGTGACACAAGTGGAGAAGTAATGTGACACAAGTGGAGGAGAAATGTGACACAAGTGGAGAAGTAATGTGACACAAGTGGAGGAGAAATGTGACACAAGTAGAGAAGTAATGTGACACAAGTGGAGGAGAAATTTGACACAAGTGGAGAAGTAATGTGACACAAGTGGAGGAGAAATGTGACACAAGCAGAGAAGTAATGTGACACAAGTGGAGGAGAAATGTGACACAAGTGGAGAAGTAATGTGACACAAAGGGAGGTGAAATGTGACACAAGTGGAAAAGTAATGTGACACAAGTGGAGGAGAAATGTGACACAAGTGGAGAAGTAATGTGACACAACTGAAGTAATGTGAGACAAGTGGAGGAGATATGTGACACAAGTGGAAAAGTAATGTGACACAAGTGGAGGAGAAATGTGACACAAGTGGGGAGAAATGTGACACAAGTGGAGGAGAAATGTGACACAAGTGGAGGAGAAATGTGACACAAGTGGAGGAGAAATGTAACACAAGTGGAAGAGTAATGTGACAACTGAAGTAATGTTATACAAGTGGAGGAGATATGTGACACAAGTGGAGGAGTAATGTGACACAATAGGAGGAGTAATGTGACACAACTGGAGGAGAAATGTAACACAAATGGAAGAGTAATGTGACACAATAGGAAGAGTAATGTGACACACCTGGAGAAGTAATGTGACACAAGTGGAGGAGATATGTGACACAAGTGGAGGAGAAATGTGTAATGGGATAAAAGAAACATTATACACCAGAAGGAAAATTAAAACACTTGTTGTAGCGATTAAGTACATGAAGCAAAAATTGAGTCAGGAACAGTATGGTCGCCAGATCTGCCTCAGCACAAACGGAGCAAGCCGATACACTCAGGTTAACATAAACATTGTATTCATGCAGGGTTCTATCATAAATAGACTCATTGCCAAAAGAAACGTGAATTCCATACATATTAACTAATCATATTCAAAAGATATTATATATATTACAAATGAACATACTGGTATGTTGTGTAAACTGACACACATTAACTCATCACAAGTGATGTCATAGATCCATGACTCAAGATGCACCATTTGTCTCGTGCAGGATTAGCGTGTACAGTTTAGAAATCACGTGCAGCATACCGTGATATGAATAAAGACACTCCGTGGTAACACTTTTGACTGATTGTTATTTTTGTCAATAATTGGTATAAATTGGAAACATCTCTTCTTAATTTACATACTTCTCTATATGTTTCTATGGTTCACGTCATTTCTTTTGGCGGTTAGAATATAATATTCAATGTATTAGGAATAAAAAATATGTACTATGCTCACCAAAGGCTTGCAGAATACAATTTGTATTCCTAATCTATGATATTTATGATCCAGAAAGACCAGGAAGGTATAAGTAGAGGATATTTCATGTGTCAAGTCAAATATCATGTTTCTCTAATCGAGTGACGGGGGAAAAGAGGTATTTTCACGAGTGGCATAGCCACAATTCCGTGTTTGCAAAATCTTAACAAATATAAACAAAAGCAACAAAGAATATTTAGGGTCACAGAAATTCTTTATCATACATTTGCATATAATTATATACAAAATCAAACAATAAATTCTTGAAATCTACGAGACAGCTGTTGGAAGGGAAAGAATACATGCTGGTCAAGCAACAAAAATGGTGCCTTGCAAACCAAACAGTCACGATTGACGAGTAAAATGAGAAATTTACAATTAATATTTACAATTTATTCAAGAGAATAACAAATGGTTAAAAGCAAGGTTGGTTGGTTTGTTGTTCAACGCCACACTCAGCAATATTCCAGCTATATGACGGCGGTCATAATGTAATGTGAGTAATGTAACACCATAGGAAGAGTAATGTGACACAATAGGAAGAGTAATGTGACACAACTGAAGTAATGTGATACAAGTGGAGGAGATATGTGACACAAGTGGAGAAGTAATGTGACACAACTGAAGTAATGTGATACAAGTGGAGGAGATATGTGACACATGTGGAGGAGAAATGTGACACAAGTGGAGAAGTAATGTGACACAAGTGGAGGAGAAATGTGACACAAGTGGAGAAGTAATGTGACACAAGTGGAGGAGAAATGTGACACAAGTAGAGAAGTAATGTGACACAAGTGGAGGAGAAATTTGACACAAGTGGAGAAGTAATGTGACACAAGTGGAGGAGAAATGTGACACAAGCAGAGAAGTAATGTGACACAAGTGGAGGAGAAATGTGACACAAGTGGAGAAGTAATGTGACACAAAGGGAGGTGAAATGTGACACAAGTGGAAAAGTAATGTGACACAAGTGGAGGAGAAATGTGACACAAGTGGAGAAGTAATGTGACACAACTGAAGTAATGTGAGACAAGTGGAGGAGATATGTGACACAAGTGGAAAAGTAATGTGACACAAGTGGAGGAGAAATGTGACACAAGTGGAGGAGAAATGTGACACAAATGGAGGAGAAATGTGACACAAGTGGAGAAGTAATGTGACACAAGTGGAGGAGAAATGTGACACAAGTCGAGAAGAAATGTGATACAAGTGGAGGAGAAATGTGACACAAGTGGAGAAGTAATGTGACACAAGTGGAGAAGTAATGTGACACAAGTGGAGGAGAAATGTGACACAAGTGGAGAAGTAATGTGACACAAGTGGAGGAGAAATGTGACACAAGTGGAGGAGAAATGTGACACAACTGGAGGAGAAATGTAACACAAGTGGAAGAGTAATGTGACAACTGAAGTAATGTGACACAAGTGGAGGAGAAATGTGACACAAGTGGAGGAGAAATGTAACACAAATGGAAGAGTAATGTGACACAATATGAAGAGTAATGTGACACACCTGGAGAAGTAATGTGACACAAGTGGAGGAGAAATGTGAAATGGGATAAAAGAAACATAATACACCAGAAGGAAAATTAAAACACTTGTTGAACTGATTAAGTACATGAATTGAGTCAGGAACAGTATGGTCGCCAGATCCGCCTCAGCACAAATGGAGCAAGCTGATACACTCAGGTGAACCCAACACACAATGGCCGGGGTGCTGCATGCACGCTTCACAACACCCCACATACCGGGGACACAACTCACTGCCTACACACCTGCAACAGGAATGTAGTGACACTGCTTCCTGAAGAACCCCATACAAACGATGGCTGCAAGGACAGTACCAAGCTACCTGCCTTCATCGTCCCCATCTCACCAACCTGCATACCTCGACCTCCTCAACAGTACAGCGACATCTGTCATCGTCCCCATCTCACAAACCTGCCTGCCTCAAACTGCACGTTATACCTCAACCTGTACTAACGTAGTTCCATCTGTTTCCTCGTTATTGCTCGTCACAACCAAACAAATTTATAATGTTCGTAACGATAGGTTTTGATACTAGAAATATTACTCTATGTAGAACAATAGTTCATGATTTATACCGTATTTGACGTAATAAGCGGCCAGGGCGCTCTCAAAATTAGAAATTGGGGGCTATTATTAGAATATTATTTTGGTGGAAAAAACAAGAGTTGAAAGATAAGTTTCGTGGTTTGTGCTGACAGCCTGAAATGTTCATGTACGACAGATATATTTTTCCAGAATTTAATTGCCCATAATTAAGGGTGCATATAACACACGAGTGTGTATTATACACGAATAAATAAGTCTTGTGTACTTTGATCAATCGGAAGGGATGCTAATTGGGATTGTTCACTTGCCAATATATTAGCAAATATCGCCGTGGGCGCTTATTAGAGCGGGGCGCTTATTACGTCAAATACTGTATATGTTAGTTGCTAACATGATGGGCTTATGCAAGGCAAGTTATTCATGAACATAGGAGCTGGGTAATTACTATTGCATGGTCACGTAGAAGTCACGGAACATTTACATGGGACAATGTTTCTACATTGGATCAACTAATGGTGTAGGTCTACACACTGAGGAGAGATTTTACACAACCTGTCTTAATCATTTTTATTCAAATTAGGCCACATTAGGCAAATGTCTTGCTGCTCATCAAGACAAGTTTTGAGTCGTCATTCAAATGTTGATAGAGAACAAGCTGTTTTCAACATGAGTGGCAGAACATTGCAGGCAGAGTGAGCTGTTGTACCGAAATGTCCAATCACTGTTTATGGAGAAATTTAATGTAAACAGCAGAATAAACATGATATTTGTCAGTAATGTCAGAGAATATGTTCAAATTTCTAGTGCCACATCTTTAGTTTTGCTTCTCTGCCAGTCAACAAACATCAACAGACAACTTCTTTGATAAGATCAGAGCTCAAGATAAGCTGCGTATCTGTGTAAAATACACATAAACATGATAAAAAATGCAGAAATATGCAGTAAAATAAAATCCAAGCGTATCAAATACGCAACAAACATTACAGATTCGCTACAAAAATAAAACTTGTGCGTATCGTCAACATATTGTGAAGTAACCCTGCGTATTCGATTAGCAAATCAGCAACTTATTTTGAAATTATAAATGGGCATTCCGTCAACCTTGCCAAACTCCACGATGACAGTTACATCATGATCATTTGCACTTTCTTGTGGAAGTATCATGGTATTTGTGAGTCCTATAAAGCTCTCGAACCAACATGACACCAGTTTGGAGGGACTAGATGAATAGTGTCTTTAAATATTTAACTTTAAATACCCACATGTGTAAAAACTAGTGGGTAACAGAAATTTGAATACCCAGATAGAATAACTGATACCCAATGATTTTAAAATGCATGGGTAAAATACCCACAACACCAAAAGCTTATCTGGAGCTCTGTAAGATGACCAAAAGTCTGCAGTAAAAACACAACCATTTTCCCCTCAAAACTTAACACAAACTCCTGTCTTTTCCTTACAAATGTTAATCCCTTGCATTCAGACATATCAAGTGTCAACTTCATGTCATCAAAATACAAGATTGTTTAAAAGTGAGAATTATTTATTTCACATCTTGTTTTATTGTAGGATTCATATTTTGCATGTCTGAATAGCATGTTAAATATTCGGGCATCATTTGAGCGTTTTCATGATTTCAAAATGCAGATTTCGGTGACTGCAGGATTTGCAAAGCATGGGTTCCATTGACTGGGCGTTGACTAATATTTTTCAAATGTTTTCAGTTTTCTACTCAAGGTGCTCAAGCACCATAGTAAGTAAGCTGCGCTGGTAATCATGCCAAACTGCATTGTTAATGAAATTTTTATATTAGGATGGAGAAAGAGTGGTAGGTTTTTATCCATTTAGTTTTAGTTTTTGTTGTCATTTCAAACGCGAAATTTGCCTGCATTTGAAACTTTACCTGTGATTGTTTTGTTGATGTTTTTTCTCACAATTTAAGGGACAAAATAATAATTCAAAAGCTTTAAACATGTTAGATAATTGTTTTAAATGGAATAAGAATCAGGGATCAACAATGTTGCACACTCCAGTCACATGATGCAAAGCTCTATAACAACGATGGCAGAATATTGCGGAATCTCAGCTTTAGTCAATCACTGTGGTGATCTGTAAACATCGACAATAAAGTGCATGACATCATGAGCATAATTCCAACCAAGTCAGTAGGTCTGGGGCGGGTAACTCGGGTGGGTACTGAGTAGGACCCGTGGTTAGTCACGTGAAATATTGATTCATGACAAAAATTCACTATATAACTACATGGTTACACGACAAGTTTAAGTCTCTAATGTTCACATTTCTTCATGACTTATGTATGTTTGAACAAAGCTAAAACTTCAGTCAACTTCAGTGTGTGCATGACCACATCGTTGAAAACGTGTCTCTAAATACATTCTGCCAGGGCTACTGTCAAAGTATTCCCAATCGGACATTTTGTACCTATCTCTTGACACCAACAGCGGGTACCCGGGTAGGGTCGGGTAATAGGGGTGTGGGTACCCGGGTAGTAACTTTGGACTCGTCCCAGCCCTACAAGTCAGCGAGCCTGACCACCCAATCCTGTTAGTCACCTCTTAAAATAAGTGAGTGAGTGAGTATGGTTTTACGCCGCTTTTAGCAATATTCCAGCAATATCACGGCGGGGGGACACCAGAAATGGGCTTCACACATTGTACCCATGTCGGGAATCGAACCCGGGTCTTCAGCATGACGAGCGAACACTTTAACCACTAGGCTACCCGACCGCCCCTCTTACAATAAGCATGTAGACCAATTCTAACCTGGATTTTCATTGGGGTGAACTTGATTGCCCTATCAAAATAAGGAATATGCAATGTTCCATAAATATCACAGCAGAGGACACCACAAATGGGCTTCACACATTGTACCTATATGAGGAATCGAACCAGGGACTTCAGCATGATGAGTGAACGCATTAACCACTAGGCCACCCCACTGCCCATGAATACATAGATGAACACTGTTGTGGTCCAAGCTGATTGATTTGAAGCCTTGTTTTATAACAATACCTGACAGGACCTGTAAATTGTGGATTTCATTATCCAAACTTCTCCACAATTCAACATGTTCAATGCATGCTGTGCTAGAATCCTCTGTCGACAGCAGGGATGTATCTAGAGTTTCTTATAGGATAATATTCGGCACTAAAACTGCAACAGATGTCAGTATTCATTCCCAAATTGGAAACAAAATTTCCCATGAAATAATATTTCTCATAATATTCCCTTAATGTTATTGCTTTGAAGAGGTGACAAATATTTAAGTCATAACAGGACCAGTAATGGTATAAGGTTTTTATCTATTTTTATGACATTCCGTTGATCATGTAGATACAGTATTAAAACTATGTTTATAACGACCACGCTAATAACGAACTGATGGATACAATGAAATCAATTTTTAGTCCTGGCCATATGCTGTATATAAGCTTATAAGGAACTACGGTTATAACTACGGTTATAGTGTAAATATAATCATATTTTTTTAACTTTGTTAGATTGAAATCTAGATAAATCACTGATATTGTACAAATATTTGAAACCATTGAAACAATATTTGTTTTTAATACCTGGTTTAATTGTTAATTCACAACCAAATTGTCATGCTAACTGTCAATTAATTCATGTAGCTTGACATAGAATTCAATTTTCGTAGTTATTGTTCAACTATTTTCATTTTAGCATACTACTATCATGACAATTGCTGTATGAATTTAAGGAAGCACATACATATTCTTTCTGCCATTAACTATTGCGTATCATTGTAGACATGTTCAGATATAATCATGGATGTTAAGAAAGTAGCATATCTGAAACATATGCCGGGACAAGCCCAAATAGCGACTCGTGCCCCTCTCGTTGCCATATTAGCAAATGGGTTCCGTCTACTCGCAAATGGGCAAAGCTGAAAGAATTGTCAGTGATTGTCTGATGATTCATGTATATATTTCCTCCATATGTTGAATGTATTCCAGATGCTATTGAAAACACATCGGAACTTACAGTCTTATACAGTATGATTGAACACATTCAACTGTATCTAGGGTATACATTGTATTTTCAAATGCAAGTCATATGTAAAATAAAAAAATATTCCTGAGGGATTTTTGGACCGAAGTACACGCATGTGCTGATTGGTTTGTCGTAATTTCGCACATGACATTCATCGATAGGGGGATGATTCTTCTTGCAGGTAACAGAAAGGGGTGAGTGGTGATGAATGCTACTATCTGTGGACCCACATCCATGCTGCCATTCGAGTAACTATACACTTTTCATTGATCGATTTTGTTATCTCCCGTGTGTTCACCTGAGGTGATGCGATGTAGTTTTTGACTGCATATAATACCAAAAACAAGTTTTCCAAAATACTGCACTTCAAAATACTGGGTGAGAACTAGAGAAAATATGGTGGTTCAGCCATTAGGACAGGCAGGTAATAATGAACTCTATGCAAATAGTTAAAATGCTTTCTGAATGCAAATGGCTGTCATTTGCATCACAAAAATAAACTAAAGATCTACACTTTCACCACTGAACCCACATAGGTACAAACATGGAGTACTGGGGACATATTCTGCCCTGGAACCCACATAGGTACAAACATGAGTACTGGGGATCTATTCTACCCTGGAACCCACATAGGTACAAACATGGAGTACTGGGGACCTATTCTGCCCTGGAACCCACATAGGTACAAACATAGGGTACTGGGGATCTATTCTACCCTGGAACCCACATAGGTACAAACATGAGTACTGGGGATCTATTCTACCCTGGAACCCACATAGGTACAAACATGGAGTACTGGGGACCTATTCTGCCCTGGAACCCACATAGGTACAAACATGGAGGACTGGGGATCTATTCTACCCTGGAACCCACATAGGTACAAACATAGGGTACTGGGGATCTATTCTACCCTGGAACCCACATAGGTACAAACATGGGGTACTGAGGATCTATTCTACCCTGGAACCCACATAGGTACAAACATGGAGGACTGGGGATCTATTCTACCATTGAATCCACATAGGTACAAACATAGGGTACTGGGGACCTATTCTACCTCTGAATCCACATAGGTACAAACATGGAGAACTGGGGATCTATTCTACCCTGGAACCCACATAGGTACAAACATGGAGGACTGGGGATCTATTCTACCCTGGAACCCACATAGGTACAAACATAGGGTACTGGGGATCTATTCTACCCTGGAACCCACATAGGTACAAACATGGGGTACTGAGGATCTATTCTACCCTGGAACCCACATAGGTACAAACATGGAGGACTGGGGATCTATTCTACCATTGAATCCACATAGGTACAAACATAGGGTACTGGGGACCTATTCTACCTCTGAATCCACATAGGTACAAACATGGAGAACTGGGGATCTATTCTACCCTGGAACCCACATAGGTACAAACATGGAGTAGTGGGGACCTATTTTACCCTGGAATCCACATAGGTACAAACATGGGGTACTGGGGATCTATTCTACCCTGGTACCCACATAGGTACAAACATGGAGAACTGGGGATCTATTCTACCCTGGAACCCACATAGGTACAAACATGGAGAACTGGGGATCTTTCTACCCTGGAAACCACATAGGTACAAACATGGAGGACTTGGGACCTATTCTTCCTCTGAATCCTCATTGGTACAAACATGAGTACTGGGGATCTATTCTACCCTGGAACCCACATAGGTACAAACATGGAGTTGTGGGGACCTATTCTACCCTGGAACCCACATGGGTACAAACATGGAGAACTGGGGATCTATTCTACCCTGGAACCCACATAGATACAAACATGGGGTACTGGGGACCTATTCTACCCTGGAACTCACAAGATACAGAAGTCACATATGTTGGTCTGGATGTTCATTCCCACTCATACCCAGAAATTATAACCCACGATGCTGATTGGCTGATACGAAAGTTCACCCGACATGTTTACCTGTGGACACAAATGGTGGAGGTGTCACAGTTCTTCAAGCAGAGAGGTATTGTATTTGAGTAAAAGATCTGGGCCCGGTTGTTCAGAACCCGGTTATTTTAATGTCAGGTTAACTCCTAACCAACCGTTAAATATTTAACCACACGTTAGTTAACAAGCAGTTAAAATACTGTTGCAGGATCAATAGATAACCATTAGGTTAGCTAACCACTCGGTTAAATTTTAACATCTTGGTTAAAGCACCGATTAGGTTAAATATTATCCCAGAATTCCAAGAGTTAATACTTCCGTCACTGTGTCGTATCGAATAATGGCCGAAACAGCGTCTATGACTGAGGAAACTCCAAGGTAAATAAGAAAGAAAAGAAACAGGAATTTTTCTGTAGATGAAGAAAATCTCATCCAGTCAATGGTGGAGAGTAATTCACAAGTACTTCATGAAAAACTGAGCAGTGAAGTTACCAATAAGAAGAAGTCTGCTATTTGGATGGCTATGATGCTTTCATAGTAACATATTTTATAAAAGCTGTCAATCTGTGCTGAAATAAGTGTATATCTATGGAATTTTACTAAGCCGCCTACTCATTTTCATACGTTCGAAAGTCGTCTGTTTATGTTGACACGGAATATCCCTTTTCTATATTTAGACATGACCTTGAACTTTTTCGAAAGAATGTGTTTGCCTCCCATCTCTACAATATCTGAACAATGCAGCCAACATTGTATGAACTTTTACTATTCACATGAGATTCACGAGTATTATTATTATATCAACCCAGTCCACGATGCTGTAAACCGTAGAAACGAATATAAGATTGTTGAACACTATTTCGTGAACCTCCATCAGGCGACGGAATGTGACGCAATTTCTCTTCTGTAGTGTCAACATCGAGTCCAAAGCCTGTTGTTTTAGCAAGAGCGGGATATCTGCTGTTACAGTGGATACGTAAAGTAATGCTATTCCAAGAACTTATGACAAACCTGACTTGGTCACGTTTATATTTCACAAATTCATCTGTGAGCAAAGATCATCATTTATGAGCACGTTTCCGCTCCTCCATATGTAGAGGTCAAGGTCAGTAAGGTAGATTAATCTGAAGTGGTAGTAAAATGAATTTAATGAAAATATAATAAAATGAATAATTCAGTTACACACATTAAGACGAAATGAATAGTCAGAGCCATAAAGACACAGTCAAGATAATTTCGGTCTCCTGAATTTGCAATGAAGTGAATATTCGGTTGATGTTAGTCAATACATTAAAAGCCAATAACATTCATAGTATATTGTCTTTCTCTGAATCATAAATGATTAAAACAAGAGTAGATCCGTATGTAAGTACATGTATTCTTAAGCCGTAATCCCCAATAGAAACACAGACAAAACCATAAATATTTATATTGATAATTGTTTATTCCTCCAGGTTGTGCTGAACGTTCATCAGTGGCTGATCCTGGGCTGCCAACTGGTGCCACAGATCCTACTCCAGCAGCTACTACCTCAACCCCAACATCACAAAGTCCTGAAGTCAGAGAATCTCAAGAAACTGAGCACAGTGAAGCAGCACCAAGACTTGATGACGGACATCCAGCCAGGCAACTCAAGTACAGAAAAGAAAGTACAAAACTCAGTTCTTCAGAAAGAGTCTATCAATTACAGGAAAGAGTTCTATCAGGAGAGCTAGAAAAACAGGAAATGGAAAAAAAGAAACTTAAGCTAGCTACAAATTCAACTCCTTGAGCAAATACTGCAACGTGATGATATTGACAATTTCAGTCCATCTCAACTGTTACTTTCTATGATGTAATAAACCTGCAGTTTCATTATCACTATATTTAATTCTTGTGTCCTCTGTTTGTAGTTTATTAGCTGGAGAAGAAGGTATTGGCAATATGATCTCTACTTTTGTCCACCCCCATCGTATCACCAATCACTTGAAGGAAACTACCACTTGCATAAAAATGGAAAGCTATCATCAGTTGTTGATCGACGTTTAGAGCATGGCTACGTTGTGTAGGGCACTCCAAATCTTCCCTCAGTATATTGGCGATGTAGTTGATAGATTCCCGCCCAAATCTGTACCTATCACGAAGTTCACTGTCTGTGTAGTTCATTAATGCAAAATTTACAGCTCGGAATCGCTTCTGTTGCCTCGCATTAACCTCTGGAACCATGAAAGCTGCGCTAGGCCTAACCATGAAAGCCATTTTGTTTCAAAGATAACCAAGGTGTTAAGTATTTAACGGGGGTCGGGAGGTGTGTTAACTTTAACGGGTGTTTAACCAGTCGTTAAAGATAACCATGCTTTGGGAAACAACATAACCATTTGGTTAAATTTAACGGAGATTTAACACTGACTTAACGGCTGGTTAAGAGTTAACCGGGTTCTGAACAACCGGGCCCAGATTATAATGACACTGACATTATGAATATCACTTGGCTACTTTCACAGATCTGGGAACTGAATAAAGATTTTTTTTGAACAGATTTGAACAACTGACCAATTCCATTAGTAAGCCACTGTTAAGTATACATAGTAGGGACATAAAAAGTTAACAACAGGTTAGGATGTCTCCATCTGATTTTCCCCTCCTTAAGAACTTAGCAAATTATATCAAAGATGCTGTCAATCTCCGATCTTTAGACCTGTGACTAATTAGACATGCTGTTTTACTCAGTGTTGTAACAACGTGTGTCGGTCGGACGTTGATTAATGAATAATTTGCATACTCATATATGCAAGGGGCCGACGTATGGTTCTCGGTAGGAAGTGACAACTTGGAGACGATGGCTTGCGGTATATACTGTTTTACTTTATACATGTTGATATATACATACAAAAAACACTATGTGCCAGGTCAGCACATAGTGGTAGTGGTTGTTGTCTAGGTGCCCCGGAGCACCCAGCCTTACCCCAGCTAGGCTAAGGGTAAGACCTTTCTTTTCTCCTTCTCTCTGGACCAAGGCTTATATATAGCCAGGGTCACCTGACATTTAGTAAGTAATAAATATAAATGTAAACAGTAATTCATCAGCAGGGTGACAGACAGTCGATGTACACAAAAATGGAGATTAACAATTAGGATTAGCATCTTATAAATAACAGCAATTAAGTGTTTCAAGGCATATAGATGTCATGGCTCCAGGGTAATGAGCCTTTGCAATTAAATGTTCTTCAGACAATGGGTGTCGTAAATCAGTCGCTACGACAGTTGAATGGCGTTCACATATAACCATTACAAATATTAGACTTGATGCACATGTATTTGCATTACTTAATGCCTTGATATTTCTGAATGCAAGTGATTAAACATATTAAAGAAGATAAATGGATTTGTATTAAGGTCTGAGGGGAAATTAGTTATGGTTCACCGCAGAATGGGGTACTGGGGACCTTTTCTTCCCATGGCAAAGGAGTCAACTATACCTACAAAGGTCCAGTTTCCGCCCTTTCTGAACTAGGCCGGAATTTCTGGGCTCAATTGTAGTGCTACCAGTGGCTATTACAAGTTATGTCCACTCTATGTCCCTCATGTTGACCATTCAGATTCCATCTCTCATATCACTTGCATTTGCTTCAAATAAATAGCAGAGCCCAGTCAAGATGACCTGATTTATAATCAAAATCTATTTTGTAATTCATTAGTTTGTCAAATCATGTGAGCACCTTGGTTAAAAACAACAAAATATTTGGAAAATTATTTGTTGAAGCCGAGCTGGTGGTACACATCGTTTGCAAATCCTGCAATCGACTGAAATCTGCATGGCAGTTTACAAACCGATTTTGATGGATCTATGCATAGACTCATTACTCCAGCCAAACATAACTCAATAATTCCAGGCTAGTTCGGCAAGGGTGGAAACTGGACTTGCCTCGGGAAGCTGTGGGAACCTTTCTAACCTGGAATCCATGTAGGTACAAACACCAAGTACCGGGCTTCACAATAATTGGGAAATTATACTGCATAATTTTGATAATGTAAATTTATCGAAGAACTCGTCTTGATGAGTTACCATTATATTCTTTGGATGTAATGTTAACTGTATAGCTGTCAATACAGACTACAGGTCCACATGGAAAATAATGTATTAAATTCAGACACGCATGCGGCTGACAATATCACATTTCTTCAGGTGTTATACTGACGTCTTCTGGGGGACACATTCAGGTAGATTTGTAGTTAGCACATTAATCGGAGATCTAGGTTGTAAAAACTGCTTGATAATTTATCAAATCATCATCATAATAAACAAGATGTCATAGCAAATTAATACATGTACTCGCACTTTTAGACATAACCTACGTTAATCCTTTTGTCCACAATGGGTATATATAACGAGCATAACTTGGAATTTTTATCCAAAAGGTGTGTAATAGTTGAACATGAAACACAATTTAGTCATAAAATAAATACAGCATGTGTAATATTGAATTATCAATTTTCAGATCAACGTTGCTCAGAACACACACTTCGGCCACGCCCCTCTTAACCATGAGGCCCTGCACAGCACATAGCTTCATGTCAGTCGCGACTGCTAGAGCATCACGTGCTCCCGTCGTTTTTAAATCTATCAGGAAAGCTTTTCCGATTCATTTATGTTACCTGGAGAGGAAAGGTCGCACTCTTGTTGCCGACATAACCGTAAACCACCGTACTTTGAATTGATAGAACTCGGCGATCGTCTGTATCCGTCCTACTCGACATGTTGCTTTCGTGCTTATGTTACTGACCTCTGAACACATGGTAGTGTTTACTTCCGGTTCAACGAGGCTCCTGCTTAGACTGCGTTCATGTTTGTGGTGCGCAGTGGTAGGCGCAAAGCCCTCTGCTCACTTACTTATATTAGTTTAATTGGGAATTTAACGTGCGCTTTCCGACATATGCGTATTTGGCGCACGGGCCCGCCAGGCCATTTAGTGTTTGGTCGAAAAGGGCATTTCCGAAAAGGTGAGGCAACCTCGGCGGGGCTTTTAGGGCTACTCAAAGCCCTTTGAGTACCGAGGAGATTTTCAAGGTATTCTCACCTCGCTTATTTTCAATGTTGAGTCGGTATATTGCCTCAGATATAATATATACGTTCAGTGGTGATTTTGTTTTGATCAGTTATGACCTACGTTTTAAATACAGTACCATAAAGTTTGCAAACAGGTCACAATACTAATTTGTGAAATAGTTTTGCAAGATGTCCCAAGACACGAAAACGGCTGGTTTGTTCGTTGGAAATGTTGTCGCACTCCGCACGGGCGCCATTGCGTATGAATGTTAAATGCTACAGAAAAAGAATGAAAACAAAATGCAAATTTCATAATAACAACCTACCAAAGTTACAATTTTAGGCAGCCACCTTGTTCAAGGAATGTATCCGTGAATATCCACATAAAGGAACGATATCCCATATATCTGCAGCTGTACAAAGAAATTTTTTCGATGTCATGTGTTTCAATATTTTAAAATATATATAGCGTTTCGGGATATTATAACCCGTGCTCGTTTCTCAACTGACCACTTGGTTTGTTTCAGTTATAATATAGGTGTGAAGTATCAAAGGTCAGCTGAGAAAGGGGGCGGTCGGGTAGCCTAGTGGTTAAAGCGTTCGCTCGTCACGCTGAAGACCCGGGTTCGAATCCCGACATGGGTTCAATGTGTGAAGCCCATTTCTGGTGTTCCCCGCAGTGATATTGCTGGAATATTGCTAAAAGCGGCGTAAAACCAAACTCACTCTCACTCACTCTCTCAGCTGAGAAAGCACACGTGACAACTATTTTCATTATGTCCACTGGTTCTTCCACTGAGATATCGCTTGATCTCACTCCTGTGGGAGCCCATCTTCCCGAGGCAAGGGAGTTAACTGACTATAAAAGTCCAGTTTCCACCCTTGCCGAACTAGGCTGATATTCTGGAGTTACATTTTAGCTGGACTAACGAGTCTATGCCTAGTCCAATCAAATTCGCGCAACGAAATCGAAATCCGGTTCGTAAACTGGCGTGCAGATTTCGGTCGATTGCAGGATTTGCAAAGCAATTGCACCGCCAACTCTTTGTGTACAGCTAGATATTTTCCAAACCTTTCATGTTTTGAATCAAGATGCTCACGTGATTTGATGCACTTCACGATGTAAGACCCGTTTCATCACAATATAGATCTTGATGATCGATCAGGTCGTCTTGACTGGGCGCCGCCATTTTGTTTGAAACAAATGCAAGTGATGGAATCGGATTGGTCCATAGGAGAGGCTTAGAAGGGACCTACCCGGTAATAGCCACTGGTGGCGCTACGATCGAGCCCAGGAATTCCAGCCTAGTTCGGCAAGGGTGGAACTGGACTTTTAAAATCAGTTAACTCTCTTGCCGAAACTGGACTTTTAAAGTCAGTTAACTCTCTTGCCGAAACTGGACTTTTAAAGTCAGTTAACTCTCTTGCCTCGGGAAGATGGTGGGAGCCAGTTTTGGATGATAAATCAAAATATATCAAATATGTAAGTCACCATGTGTACGGGCTCAATCGTGTGAACTGTCGTGTGAAATACCAGGTTCGTCTTGAAGTCGGTTAGGCCTTTTATTTAAATGTTGCATGGTTTACGGATTTTTTCTCTCGAAAAAATAAATAAATAGAGGATATTTCATGTGTCAAGTGAAATATCATGTGTCTCTCATCGAGTGACAGGGGGAAAGGATATATTTTCAGGAGATGAGAGAAACATGATATTTC